GCAAACCACTGCCACCTACAGGACTAGAAGTACTGAATGTCTTGTCAAATTGTATTTTAGTTATCATTTAAACTGTTAGCACCTTGAATTGGATTCAGTTCATGTATAAAATATAAACTTTTTAATGTGTTTCGTATTTTCATTTTTATAGTCAGTGATAATGAACATCTTTTCATATCTGACAGTCTTCAAACTGATGTTGTCATCTGAGCAGTTTGCTTCGCCCACGCACCAGATTAGGGATGCAATTGGTGATGTGACGGGATTATGGCATGTTGTATGTCCCCTCAGTGCTTTCCATTTTTTTTTTTTTCCAACATGGTCTCCTAGCACTGTCACACACTTTTCCCATCTGTGCACAGGCTTCCATATTTCCTCAGCGTAAAAATCTTTGGACTGATGTCTCAGCCAGTCGCTCACAACACTTTTGACTTCGTCACATCCAAACTTCGTGCCAACGACTGTGAACTGCTGAGGTAGGTCAAGAAAAGACAAAGAATAAACGCAGGGGTCATTGGTCAAAAGGAGTCGTTTGGCATCATGACAACGAAAGGCCTCACACAGCAGCTCAAACGGTGCACACCATCAATGAGCTGGGCTGGGAATTGCTCCCTCATCCCCCTTACAGCCCAGACCTTGCCACTTCAGTCTTTCACCTGTTTGGTCCCTTTAAAGCGTTCATGAGAAACACAAAGTTTTAAAGTGAAGTTGAAGTTTCATTTGAGTTCTCCAAATTTGCTGAATGTAACCTTTTTGTGTATCCATTTTTGCTACGACCCCCCCCCCCCCCCCCGTGAGCAAATGCAAATGAGTAAAACACAGCAATCCACATGCATGATAGATAGGCAGCAAGCTGTGTGTGCTATTGATAGCAACAGGCCTGTGTGTCAGTGTTCCAGCGGTTCAGTCATTTTTGACTACATAGTGGCCATGCTTGCTCTTACACTTTGAATGAAGATGGAAAACTGTAATTTTGTTGATCAAGTAGCTGTTTTAAACTTTTGGAACTTTGGGTGTAGAGATTAAACAGTATCAATTTTTAAATATGACAATTGTAGTGTCTTTATTTTACCCTGTGTTTTAAGCTCTTGTAAAGTGTCTTTGAGTGTGATGAAAAGCGCTTTCAAATAAAATTTATTATTATTATTATTATTATTATTATTATTATTATTATTTATCTGGACTACTTGCTGTGCATAGATACTCCAAAAGCGTTGCAACAAATCTTTTTGATTAAAAACAAACAAAACAAGAAAAGCATTTAGCAACTAAAAGGTGGTTAGATCCATTTGAAAAATATGTCACGCTGAAAATGTGAAATTAACTTATAACAGATCCGGAAGTTAAACCATCGCAAATCATTGCCAGTTACGTGTGCACCACTCATCTAAATAGTTACTTTGAAGTTGGTTGCGTTTTGCATTCGTGATGTAATAAATTGTATTAAAGTCATTCAACCAGAATACAGTGCTTATGACTGAACATTTGGGCCCACTATGTTGCTGTATTATGTGTATCCTAATGGTGTTACTTCTTAAGCAATTTTTTGGGGGGTGGTGGTACTTGCTTTAAAAAGTTTGAGAACCACTGCTTAACTTGCATGATTGATATTATAATATTTATGTTTTGATAGGTCAGGGGGTGCCCAACCTTTTTTTGACCGAAAATCTACTTTTCAAGCAGCCAACCTCCCACCATCGACCCGTTACCGCACGTGCCTGTTTGTGAAAAGGAAATCACTGCCTACCCTAATGGGAGATCTGGCACAGGGAGGCAGGGATGCACTTTTGTAACGTGTTAAGTGCAGAAACATCACTATTGCAGTTCGCATGTATTGCATCCCCAAGACAATTTCGACAGACAAATTGACCACTTGCCAGTGTAGGGAATGTGGGAGGTACTTACCTTGTCACTTCCTGTTTCAGCTCGTAATTGGCAATGTGGCGAATGGGGAGCGCACATCCGAGAAAATGTGTGAATAATTGATGCCCTGTTAAAAAAGTTTACTCCAGCTCAAAAGCGTGATCTGATTTTCATTAGTTAATTTTGATTACATTTTTATTTATTATTGCTTTCGTCAGATTGAAGTTACTTCTGGGACCACTGTGGGGGTTTCTTTTACAAACACAAAGTTACCAATTATATTGTTCATGGATAGACATGTAATGTGAACAACTTTATTTAGTTGGTCTGTGAGCATTATTGTTTCTCCTTTGCTGTTTGTTTTTCTTTTTTTTTCTGAAAATCAATGTTTAGGTTACTCATGAAATAAACATTTTCTTCATGAAACATTTTCTCAAAGTAACACTTATTTGTTGAGCAATATTAGGGCTCATTAACACAAGGCAGTCTGTACTGGGCGATTCGTGTGACCTAAAAAAATAGCAATAGAGTTCGCTAACGATAACTTGCACATCCTGAACATTTAAAACAGATAAAAAGGGAAGCCAATTAATGTAGATTATGTACTCATATCCTGAAATCATGTAAATATAATTATACATAGTGTCTAAGATGTGCAGTAAAATTTGTACAAATCCTGCATGCTGTCCTTGAGAGGTGTCTGAGCTGGTCCGCCATTGCAGTACACCTCTAATGTAGGTGATCATTGGTTGCCACATAACATTGACAGAGACACTATTCTTGCTGATCACAAGCCACAATACGAACAAAATAATTTGGGAACTGTCATTTTGAAATAATTACTTAAATCATTGTATTGATTTTTTTAATCCATTTCTGAACTTTGTGTCGTGGAGTCTGAAAAGCAGCTCAAAAACATTAAACGTTGATCAACAATATAGTACACTGTACAGAATGTTTTGATGTGTGTGCTGAAGTGCAGTCACGTAATATGTATTCTTCTCCTTGACAATATAATTTGAGCATCTGAAAACTACTCTCTCAACTTTAGTGACCTGCTGTTCACCATTTGTCCATGAGACAAAAAGAGGTGCATTTTTACCTTATCGACCGACGACAAGTCATTTGCTGTCTAAATAAACCTCTCTCAAGCGCGACATTAGTAGTACAACTGTTAGTTGAAGTAACAACCAGGTGGAGACTTGAACTAATTTCATGTCCTTATCCTCTGCTACAAGGTGCCCTTTGGTTAAACTATCCATTGTTTCGACAAAAAATATTCTTCTTTCCGCTTGGAATTCTACCGTTGAATGAGTGGCGAAGGAGAGGAGTCACAACAGAGCATTGGCCAGGCAGGACACAGTGCCATTTAAGGATACACGCCAATGAACACAGTGAGCCCAGTTATCCTAGCTATTTTGGAACTGTGGTAGTGGGTAAACAGTTACGGTTACATTTGTGGTTATGCAGTGTCATCCCAAACCTTCTTTGCAATCTGGTATTCCTCTCATATATATAATATATACCTGTATATATGATAAGGTACAGTTAGTTAGTGTTTTGTAAATATTTTTTCTTTTTTCTACCCAGACTAACATGATATGTAATTGTGCAGGATGTGCTCGCAGTTTACTGACATATGTGACCCTGTGTCCTACTCTTACACAATAACTGGGACTAAATCTGTGCATTCTTGTGGACGAGACGAAAATGTAGTTCACTAAATAAAGACTGGGCTAGAACTGGACATTTTTAGTTCATGAACAAAGATGAGATGAAAATTATATGATTTTGTTCAATCTGTCTGCCTCCTTTCCCTTGGCTAATCAGCTGTTGTGCCAATGTAGTTAGACCTGAAAAAATGCCAGCAAGAGCGCACACAATGAAAGAGGTGCAACATTACTTGCTTGTTTTCATTTAAGGTTTTGGGAGGGGTGGGCGCAAAAAAAAAAAAAAAGCTGCATTCAACGATCTATGCCTGCATTGAAAAGAGAGCAAGTACTGTACTCACTGGTGTCGAAGTTGACTTGGTGTGTTCAGTAGCCACTCACACAGCAGGGCATCTTTTTTCAATGCACCAAACACTAATAACTAGTATGTGAAGATGCTAGAAAAGTTTATTTTTATTTATTTATTTATAAAAATAAAGCGTGAGTATGCCACAAGCGCACACTCATTGCTTCAGCTACTTATTTTTCGTGGCCGGACTCAGCCGCGCTCAGAACAGTTGTGTACTCCAAAGCTCTCTTCTAGTCTCGGCAAGCTATATGTCACACGCTTGCTGTAAGACAGGTATTCATCGTCCTTTGAAAATGCCGGATGTTGCCATCGTTTTTCTTGGCTTGATGTTGCTATTATCGCGAGAAGCCAACATTGAAATCCTGATGGAATTTTCGATCAATTGTCCGGGCTAACTGGATTTTGTGATGGCGCAGAAAACGCCGTACTGTGTTTTTGGGGTGTATTGCTGTCTGCTGCATTTTAGTCTGCACCCTAAATGGGCGCCTACACTTGCCCGTGTGTTTCCTGTTTGGATCTGTGTGGCTTCAAAGCCCCTCCTGTGCCTGGTGCTTCCATTCGTAGACAGAGAAAAGTTTTTTTTTTTTTTTTTTTCCCCAAGTCTTGTCTCTGTGAAAAGGACCGTGGTTATTTGACCTTGGTTGGTTGGTTGTCTTGCCAGCTGATTTAGTTGTGAAGGTTCCTTGAGGTTTCATATACAAAGCAAGTTCAGTCACTAACCTCTGACCATGGTGAGTCTTCCCAGAAAAATGGGAGATGTTACATGTGCAACGGAATAATGGTGTTTGTTCTTCATTTGTCACATCCTGTAGTAATGGACATATGTTCCATTAACTTCTTCCACAGTGACTTTTTTTCTCCCCACCCAAATTGATAGAGCGCACTAATTCACCAAATCACACAGAATGCTGTATGGCATTGCTTGTTCTCCAGCCAAAAACATCAGTAGTATGGTGCTTTGTTCCTGATTGTGCTGGATTTACTCAATTTATCTGGCTACTGGAGAGTTTACCATGTCTGCTCCCCGGCCGTTCTTGACAACAGCATTTGATTTTGATTCATGCTGTACCATCCAGCACAAGTTTCATTTAATTTATTTCTCTTTCTTTTCCTGACAGAATGAGAACGCCCGAGGGAGGCAGTTAAAACCTTCCACTTGAGAGAGAAGCCGACATCATACGGGGCTGTGGTTGGACCCAGAGACCCCTTTGGGGGGGTGGGAGGTGGGGGGTGAAGGGCCCTATCAGCCTTGTGTGAGTCTGGACCATGGGGGATGGAGGCATCAATGCAACGGGAGGAGAAGGGGTCAACCAGTCCCACGTCCTGTTTGACAAATTTGTCCAGGCAACCACATGCAAGGGCACACTCAAGGCCTTCCAGGAGCTGTGTGATCACCTGGATGTCAAGCCCACAGAGTACAGGGTCTTTTACCACCGGCTCAAATCCAAACTCAACTACTGGAGGGCCAAAGCACTTTGGGCCAAGTTAGACAAGAGGGCCAGCCAGAAGGAGTATAAGAAGGGCCGTGCCTGTACCAACTCAAAGGTATCTCTCACGTTTGAACCACTACTGCAAGAAGTGATTCCGCTGTCTGTTTGCCATGACCCAAATTAGAAGTTTGATCTCATCCCAGGGCCAAAATGATGACCATGTCATGGGCTTACAATACTATACAGTGACGACAGAGAACACAATCAAGTTTACAAGTCAATATAAAACCCTTTGCCAAGAGCTTGTGTACCATAGTTGGTTTAAAAAAAAAAAAAAAGGAAAAAAAATAATATATGAGAAGACAAGATGAACTCATTAACAGAAAAATGTTTACCAAATTGAGAAAGCAGTAAAAGTAACTCAATAAAATCTTTTTGGGGTCCTTCCCCTTAGTACCCCAAAGCTGGTTAAGGCTGCCCTATGTCGAAACAAGACCCTGTTGACGCTCAATGCTACCCAATATAAAATTGTTGACTTTATTTTTCTAACTTTGACGCTAGTGTCTGATCATTGGCGCTGGACCGTGTGGCTTACGAACAGCCATCGAGCTCGCCTTCCTGGGTGCCAAAGTGGTGCTGTTGGAGAAGAGAGATGCCTTCTCCAGGAACAATGTGCTCCACCTTTGGCCCTTCACCATTCAGGACCTCAGGGGGCTTGGTGCCAAGAAGTTTTATGGAAAGTTCTGCGCCGGTGCAATTGATCATATCAGTAAGTTGCTGACAGCACAATGTGACAATCTATGACGGTTTTGGTGTGTTTAATGAAATAATTTGCCTGTAATTTGTGATTTGGAGGAGCGATGATGTCATTGTACTTGTTTTGTAGGTATTCGTCAACTTCAGCTCATGCTGCTTAAAGTGGCTCTCCTCCTGGGCATTGAAATCCATGTCAATGCAGAGTTCAAGGGGCTTATTGAACCTCCCGAGGACCAGGAGAATGAAAGTGAGTCATAAAAATGAAAAGCAACGTGCTTTGGTTGAAGCGCAATATTTGCAGTTTTCTGTAATGTTGCATTTTTTGTGTGTTTTACAGGGATAGGCTGGAGGGCTGAGGTCCACCCCAGGACACATCCCGTCAACGAGTTGGAGTTTGATGTGATCATTGGAGCGGATGGAAGGAGAAACACGCTGCCAGGCAAGTCGTCCTCTCCTTTTCCTTCAGCCGTGAGCACGTATTCCTTTAACAAGTGAACAAACAAAAATGGCAACGTTATCCTTGGTTTCCTCTGACATAAATATGTACATCATTTTCAAATAGACATCTGTCATCCGTGTATGCGCTGACCTTAAAACCACACACACAGAGTTTGTGCATTTTGCTTTGACATACTGTAATTCTGCTCTACTCTATACTGTAAATCGATACCATTATTCGGTCCCCCGTGTGGCTCTAGTTATTTCTACAAATTATGTAGCTGTGTTTGTGGTTAATAATAGGTTATATGAAATCAAAAATACAGTACAACTTTTAAAAGATGTAAGGTTATTCCGCCTCTGTCTAAAGTGTTCATCTGCTTTATCATTTAGGTTTTCGACGGAAGGAGTTCCGTGGCAAACTTGCAATCGCCATCACGGCAAATTTCATCAACATGAACACGACAGCAGAGGCTAAGGTTGAAGAAATCAGCGGAGTGGCCTTCATCTTCAATCAGAAGTTCTTTCAAGACCTCCGAGAAGCGACAGGTGCAAATTGCAGAAAATTTCACATTATGTAGAGCAGATCACAGCTCGGTATACGTAATCAGATGTTCAGCCTTCTCTCTCACCCTTAGCAATTTGTCAGTCCAATTATAAAGCTTTGATACCAGTTTTGTCCAAGTTTTTGCTGACATGGCGATGTTCCCAGAGCTCTGTTATGTTGTGCTCTGTGTCGCATAATTGCCTCTCTTGTCCTGCGCCGGAGGCATAGCAGTCTGCTGCTGCAATGGGGAAACATTTCGGGTTTGGTGTGTAACACTCCTTTTATTTTATTTTATTTATTTATTTATTTTCAATTGGTCTTTTTAGGTATTGACCTGGAAAACATTGTCTACTACAAGGATGACACACACTACTTTGTGATGACTGCCAAAAAACAAAGCCTGCTGGAGAAAGGAGTCATTCTGCATGTGAGTGATTAAAAAGCTGATCGCGTGTGTTTGTGTGTGTTTGCGTGTGTTCGCGATAGAGAATTGTCAAATACCATTAAAACGGTCTAGTAGACAGTAGCTTCACGCACGTACAGGCCGACACCGTTTGATTTTTTTCAGTCCTCTCTGTTTTCCTCACCAGCCTAATGGTCTAACCAAGCCAACTGTGGCGAGGACTCAACTGTCAACTCAAGCACACTTACTTAATCTTTGTGCCCATTTCGATGTCGACATTTTCTTTCCTCTCCCTGGCTCACGTCCACAGGAAAGCGCCAAAACAAATCTGCCTTCCTGTAAAAACATTACTCAAGGTGTGTCATCATGGCTACAGGTGTTTTGTGTTAAAATAACAATTATCCATTCTACTTAAAATCTTTTTGGTGTGCAGGTACACTTTAGGCGAGAGGGAACTGTAGAAAAGGCCGACAACCTAAAAGCAGAGGAGGAGGAATAATGTATTTGAACAAAGTTAAAAACCATGTCTCTCCTCTGCTCTGGAAAGGGAGAAATGAGGACAGAAAATGCTGGCAGGAGAGAAGCGAGGCTACATAATTCTGTCAGGCTATATCAACTGACAGCTTCCACCGCTCTCACCTTCTGCCAGTTCCACCCTGGCATTAGATAACCCAGAGAGCTTGAAACTGGAACAATGTACCTCCCACCACCCGCGATGAAAACAGGTTACTCCCAAAGCATGCAGTGATATGACGCTACATGTTTGAGAGACTTGTAAAGAACAGTTCATTCTACACACGGACGCTGAAAGCGTTGAGTTTGCACAGTGATTTATGACAGCCTCTGAATATTTACAGAGTGTTGAGCTGTGTACTCACGTGCAATTTCTTACTTATTTCCTCTTTCAACATGCAATGCAGTGACAATATTTATATGTATCTCTGTATTCATGACCTTTTAAATTGTTCTGTCCACATTGAGATCCAGACGCTTAGTAATTCTGATATGACAGGAATTGCGTTGGGTTTTGTGCAGAAAAGAATCTCAACATATTGATCACATTACTACTTGCTATGGTTTTCATTCCTTCGTAGTCACTTGAGCAATAAAAGCTGCCTTACAATGCAAATGGCCATTAAACTATTGTGTTGAATCATATGCAGGTCATAGAAGTTGTACCTCCAGAAAGTCACATCTAGACACTACGAGCCATGGCCAGATAGTTTGCTGTATTTGTCAGTGTAATGTCAAGAGTTTGGAGATTTGAAAAGGTCCCAAAAGAGAGGCCAGGACACCAGGAGAGGTGCAAATGGCAACAGCCCAGTAGCAGGATGAATGCTACTATAGCGCAAGGAGGAACAGGAAGAGCTGTCCGAGCCCTACTAATTGACCATGAGCATGCAACTTAGGCTTTTGTGTGCAGGTTTTTGTTCTCATTTAAGTTTTCCCATTATTTTTTAAGCTGTGTAGTATCACCCAGGCCATTATAAGGCCATTGCACATTGTAACGGGATGTAAATCCAGAGTTGCTGCGATTTAAGAGTCATCATTGACCACTTCCTTTTTTGTTGCATCTGCAGGACTATGCGGACACAGAGCTGCTGCTTTCCAGAGCAAACGTGGATCAGGTTGCCCTCTTGTCTTATGCCCGTGAGGCGGCCGATTTCTCAACGAACCACCAGTTGCCCACTCTCGATTTTGCAATCAACCACTACGGCCAACCTGATGTCGCCATGTTTGACTTTACCTGCATGTATGCATCGGAGAGTGCCGCCATGGTGCGCCAGCGTAATGGCCACAAACTGCTGGTGGCGTTAGTGGGAGACAGCCTGTTAGAGGTAAGCGGTATTCACATTGCTGCTCATTTGTATTTGCTCTTCCGTGGTCATATTTGGGAGTTGAATCCGTTGCTGTCTCCAGCCCTTTTGGCCCATGGGTACTGGTATTGCCCGAGGTTTCCTGGCAGCCATGGACTCAGGCTGGATGGTGAGGAGCTGGGCTCAGGGAAAACAGCCATTGGAAGTGCTGTCTGAGAGGTGAGCGTGTGGAAACACTGATACAGCCACAGCAAACTCAACTCAAACGTATGTGTGCATTCCTCTTCAAATACACCCCTTGAATCTTGGAGTGGTTTACTCGGAAATGTGCCTCTATGTGATTTGAACCCTCCGTCACACCTTTGTTATTACTAATAGGATGAGAGGATCTAAATGGAATGTGACTCCTCAGTTGCTGTGTGTACTCTTATATAACCAAGTTAATATGGTGGTAATATGGCCTGTTTCCATGGTTAGGTCTTACTTGGAATAATCCATGCATCGGATTAGTAATCAAGTTGACTACTTGTTTTGAAACATCTGCTCTTTACTCAGGGAGAGTATTTATCGTCTCCTGCCCCAGACCACGCCAGAAAATGTTAGTAAAAACTTCAGCCACTACAGTGTGGATCCCACTACACGTTACCCCAACATTAGCCTTAACTTCCTCAAACCCAGCCAGGTGAGTCTGACAACCAACACATATCTTTTTTTTTTTTAATTGTTTACTAAGATACCCTATTCAGTTACAAAAAAAGAGCCCGAAAAATTATATTTACCTCCACAGTCAACTTCAGGTCCCTGAGATCAACCAGCAAAATATGCTCCTCAAAATTAGTTAATTGTTCCTTACATAAAGTAATTGATTAGCAAAGTTGCTCCTCAAAGAAAGAAAGTTATCTCGAGCCTTGCCACAGTTCTAAATTACTCCATATTGTTTACTAATTGTATCTCTGACAGTGTTAGTCCAAATGAGCATTGTCTTCAAAAATATCTTTTACTCTCTAATTGTTTGCGTAAGATAATGTAACTGAGTGAGTACCAGCGTGAGTGTACAAAAGAGAAAATAATTCAGACATGGTTCATTTGCAGGTGAGGCACCTCATAGACACAGGGGAACCGAGAGAGATGCGTATTGAAATAGAGAATGTGATCAACTCATCAACACCAAAGTTGACCAGGAATGGTTTGTATTTACTTTGTTCTCTATAAATAAAACACTTTTACCTACCAAAATACATCATTCACTTTCATAATTCACTTATTAAAGCATTTATTTTTATATTTGTATTTTTTTTCTGCTGTAATTATGTAACGTTGGAGTATTTCCACTATAGACAATTGCCTGCTTGACAAGCAGTTGCAAGGTAACACAAAGTCCAGATGCATGGTATTGCTGTTTAGGGATTGATCATTTTTAAAAGTTTGTGGTTTCCAAATTGTATCATCGAAGATGAAAATCCTTTTGCATTGTACTAACACATTGACTGATTACAGTATATTCAACACGTTACAGCACTTGCGTTCTGCATCCTTTCCAACCCTTTTCATTTGCATCCCTTGTCGTCTTTATGGCATTGAACATTTGACCCCTCATGGTCCATTACATTTGCTGATGGACTGGTTTATGTTGGTGCTAACGTGGTTGATATTTATGGATGATAACCCTTAACGAGTATCTGCACAGCCTCAGCCTGAAGGAGGCCATAACATTATAGCCCAGCAGGAGATGCATTATATGGTCAACATTATTTGGACAACTTGTAATGGAGATTATTAATAAGTAGAAAAAATATGAAAATGGTTAATACCCCAAAAGTTGTATACTGTACAGTAATACGTTTCACGATATACAGAAAGTATTTCATGTGTTTAGCGATAATTATTCTTATTTTTTTAACCTACTCAAAATCTGAAAAAATATTAAATGGGTTAAAGATAAGCTAGAACAAAACACATATCTAGAGAAAAAATACTGTTCAAAATATCTGATGACCATTCACATGGACAGTTTGTGAGTACATTGTAATGTTTAATGTTTACATCAGTGCTCCCCAAGCAATACCATAATTGTGTGAATTTGTGAATGATGTCAAAGCAGTAATGTTGATACAATTACATTAAATATCATTCACTGTTCATAAAATAATAATCTTAATGGAAGCATTGAGCCAACTGATCATTTAAATGAGCAATGTTAAGCCACACTTTTGTTTGGCTTGTCGAACCTTCTATCGGACCTCATTGATCACCTGTCTAGCGGGATATATATTGCTATTGGTTTATCGGCCAGCCCTACAAGTTCGGACAAGACTTTCTACAGCATTTTAGAGGATTGGAATTGAGAGCATTTACTATATTTTGGACAGGAGGGCCTGGCTCACAATTTCCATGGAGCCCAAAGGTTTTTAATGTGGTAGAAATCAGAACTGTGAAGCGCTTTCACGCTTAACTTGTGCAACCCTTCCTTGGAGGATGTTTCTCTGTGTACTGGGGCACAGTCATGCTGGTACATGAAAGGGCGCTTCCCAAACGATTCCATCTAAGTTGCATCAATAGAATTTTTCTAATTCTTAACGTGACACTAAATGGTGTCCCCCAGATCCTTATGTGCAGTGTATACATTTTTTAAATTAAGAGGTGTGTCCAAATACATTTTCCATATAGCGTATGCTCTATGCTACCCCAAAAAGGGTAATGGTAATGTCATCCATGATTACTCCAGATTTTACTTGAAGAGGTAATGCAATACTTGAACTTCCTGTCTGTTCAGAATCTGTAGCTCGATCCAGTAAACTTCTCAATTGGTGCCAGAGACAAACAGAAGGATACCGAAATGTTTGTGTCAAAGACCTCACCATGTCATGGAAGAGCGGTCTTGCCTTGTGTGCACTCATCCACCGTTACAGGCCAGATCTCATGTAAGTATTTCAATTGCGCATAAACTCACAAACAAAGGATCACAACTTGGCTCAGCGTGTTAAGTTTTTCAACAATTTTTACTGTCCAGTTTAGATTGCTTAAATATTACATTTGTTTGGAATGGCTTGTCGTGTTCATATTTGTTGCATACGCTGTTTATTGTCTGGTTTGGGTCTTGGGCCTTTTGGTTTTGCATCATTAATAAGGTAACAGACACAGCTCATACTCCTTGCATGCATGTGCGCAAAAAGCTATAATGTAGTTCAATGGTCTCCTGAGGCAGCATAACAGCTGACAGAAGCTCTTTGTGTTGTCAATGCCGCTTTAAGGTTGGGAGTTAAATTGAGTGGTCACTGTGTATGGAGTCTTGAGTTCAATGATCATTCATTGGTTGGCAAGGGCACATATACTGAGGATTGTTTCTTACACTGTGTGTTCAAATCTGATCAACTTTTGTCAACTTTGATGTTTCCCCTTTCACCACCCTTAGTGACTTTGACACTCTGGATGAGCGAGATCAGGAAAAGAACAACCAGTTGGGTTTTGATGTGGCCGAGCGGGAATTTGGCATCTCACCATGCATGACTGGCAAGGAAATGTCTTGTGTGGTGGAGCCTGACAAACTTTCAATGGTCATGTACCTCAGCCAGTTCTATGAGATGTTTAAGGACACAGTGCCACCTGGAGGTGAGGGACTGAGATTCTATTGTTGTGTCAGCATTTAGAACATAATCACCTGTAATCCTCGGTATGTGGCGTGCGTATGCGCGTGAGTAAACTTCCCATATTTGTATCCTCTGTGTATTCTGTTTCAGACAATCAAAATCTGAGTCCAGAGGATAAGGCTGCTCTGATGGCAAGCACCAAATCGCCCATCTCCTTCCTTAGCAAACTTGGGCAGAGCATAGCAATTTCAAGGAAACGTAACCCCAAGGTCAGCGTTGGAACCTAAATATCGGAATATACTGTAAAATTGATGCTGTTGCAGCTGGAGTACTAACATGATATTTCCTCAATAGGACAAAAAAGAGAAGGTTGTTGACAGTTTGGGGAAGAGGAGAAAAACCAGCCAGTCTGAAGATGTGAGTTCTCATGACAAATGCGGTGCTTTTGTCTCATTTTGAAATGGCACGTAGTCATCATCTTCAATTAGTACAATACCAAAAATAAATGCATTAATCCACATGCAAATCTTGTAAAACTTTGAACTAGAAGATTCACCTGTGAGATTGAATGTGCATCATGATGGGCTTTAGAGTAACTCCCACATAAATTAATTTCGGATGAAAAGACAGTTTTGGAGATGCATGTTTGTTTGTTTGTTTTTTTTTTTTAATGGGGAAAAAATAATGGTATTGTGTACTTCATGACAAAACAATATAACTTGTTAATTTATTACCAGGAGGAAGGATCCAAGGCTGGCCAGGAGGACAGACAGGCCACTGTCCCTACTCTGCTGTCAGAAAAGAAGATGGACTCGGCTGCTGTCGGGAACAACAATAAAGTCAAGGTTATGGCTACCCAGCTGCTTGCCAAGTTTGAAGAAAATGCTCCTGCCCAGGGTTCAGGACTGAAAAGACAGGTATTTACGCGAGAGTTTGTGGACTTTTTTTCATTCCTACGTTGAATATTTTGCTGAAGCAGTGAGTTTGGACCTTTAGTCTCATGACTGAGGAGATGTAGGCGGTTGTGTCTAAATGAGATGCGCTCCAGAACGGACGTTGGTCAGGCAGACTGTTGTTCCTCTTTCATGAAGGCGACCTCACTGTGCTTGTACTCAAGGGGCTGGCATCCACAGTTCTGAGCTTTATTCTGGAAGAGGGTGTTATTGCTATACTGGGCAGCATTGTTGAAGGAGAAAAGGACAACTCTCAAGTCATGCTCTTTTAGAATACATCATATACTTACGTCGAAACCGTTTGACTGTGCCTATTGTACATGCTATAGCATGACGGTCAGTTTATTGAAATCTTCCCTTTTTTATTGTTCTTGTCAAGTTGCATGTTGATGGTAATGTTGTGAATGTGCCATTCTTTGAGCATGATCCTCTCTTGACTTTTGTTGTCTTAGTTTTGAAAAAAAAAAAAATGGATGTTCCATCCATGCATCCATTGGTCACTTCTTTGTGCCTGTTTCTCTCTCCTGTTCATCTCCCATCGTGGATTGTTCCATGACGGCTTGCATGCCTTTTTACACCATTGCCGTCTACTATTTTTCATCTTTACACAACCTCGAAGGGGGACTCTCTGCCCAATCTGGACTGTATTTTGCACCCATCCCCGCCCAAACCCCTCGAGCCAATGCGCCTAGCACCTGTGCCAGCTTGGAGAAAGGTAAAAATTGGACCTTCCCATTCCCTGTAGAGACTCCCAGACACTCATCAACTAACAATATTCCCCTGGAGTGTGTCATAGCTGCATTATACTAGATATGAACTTTTGTGAACCCCTATGTAGTAACATTGCAAATATCCGGTATTACTCACGGTGCTACTAAACCAATTGATTGTTGCTGGGTGGTGTTAAAAAGAAAGTGTGTGAGAGTCTTTCTCATGTCCTGGTACAGAGACGCACACAACAGCAGGAGCAGCTGAGCATTCGCTACAAAGAAAAGATCAAGTGTCAGACCCTGCCCAACAGCGGGGAGCAGGTATGATTAGTAGTGCTTCCCGAGTAGTTCTCCACATCCCCCCAATCCTTTCAAATTCCCCAAAAAGTAGCAGTACTTCTTTTTTGGTTGCACATGATTAGAATTTGGTAAACTGATATAACTTCCCCTCTTTTCCTCAAATTAATGAAATGAAATATTTTAGTTCAACAGATTTTAATCATGTGCCATTGATAGATATGTTCGATTTAAGTGTCAAGTAAATCCAATGATACATATTTTCAGTATAGTGAATGGGTTTGAAAACAGGCCCTCCAAAGACACCCTCCAAATGTCACATTTCCAGAAACTACACAGATGCATTGCTAATTTAAAAATGACTAATTTCTGCATCCATAGATAAGCGTATGTGCTATCTACAATTCATTGTTTTTGTACCTTAGTTTTGTGTCTTCAACCCTGCCATTGATTTAAAGCACACAATATATTTTAAAGCGCTCCTGTGTGTGCTAAATACTCAGTAAAACTTTCTAGATTTCTATCTCCTCACAGTTTATATTGCTGCTGCTGTGTGTGTGTGTGTGTGTGTGTGTGTGTGTGTGTGTGTGTGTGTGTGTGTGTGTGTGTGTCATGGAAGTGGTGAAACTAATCAATAGCTTTGGGACCCCGCTCTTGAGGCCTTTAATCAACTGAAATAATTAGTTTGTAATGAGTTCTCAAATGCTAGAATTCCTCATTCAATGGTATTAATGAGAAACTAGTCACTAATTTTGTCTTCTTACTAGGGATGTTCAGGACTTTTTTTTTCCAGACCAATACCAGTATGAATGTTGGCCCTTGAGTACTCATCGATACCAAGTACCGATACGACTTGTACTTATGATGAATACAATCTCGATTAACACAATGGCAAATAATGCTGAACAAAGGCCTTCCTGCCGCATGTGACGATTCACAGATGTGTAAAATGGCCACACTCCAGCATAAACTACTGGCAAGGAAGACTTATTCGATGTCAGATTATTATTATTTTTGCTTAAAATACTGATGGCTGGTATCGGCAACCTTCGAGTACCCGGTACCTTGAAATAAGGTTGGTACCAGCTTGATACGATACCTGGTATCAGTCCTCGCCCATCCCAAATATAGACGTCATCATCCTCACCATCTTGATGCTGAATTTGCTGTTCCTTATCCCTCAAGGCCAGAAGTGCTGTCGACCAAGCAGCCAGTTCAAGCTCTCGGAGCTGCCCAAAGAAAACCATTCTGCTCCTTTCTTCCTCCTCCTCCACTTCTTCGCTCTCTCTTCACACTGAGGTGACACACATTCTGCTGTGTTTGTCCATTTGTTTCTTGTCTGTCACAAATCCTTGGCCCACCCATGTACTTCACCCCAACTCGACTTTAACTTTAGCCGTTGTTAGTTTAGACATGACCTCTGGTGTGCACATTTTCTCTGTAATTCTAGAATAGTGCGCTCATGCTGTCTTTCCTGTCATCATATTACATGATTTTGTTGCAGCATCAATGTGCTGGGCTTTTTTATTCATAATCAAGCACAAACTTGCTGTACACTGAATAACATACACAGCTCCTTTTTATATGACTATTTCTGATTAATCCAAACAAGTGTTCATCCAGCCAAATTATGTTTGCCTTCAAGCATTTGGGTGTCACTTCGGACGAAGAGGAACTTGAATACTACGAGAAGCCTGTGAATTACGGGGTAAAATGACTCCTTGGATATTCACATCATCTTTTTTTTTCATATGAAGCCGAGCCTTTTGTGGCAAGATTGAGATTTACTCAATATTGATGAAGGTACATGGCGACTTGTAGGCCACAGGTGTCGGGTTTTAATGGAGTTTCCTGTGCAGGAGTGGAAGCCTTTGCACCTAAAAGATCCAGGACCTATCCGTGTACCTGGTATACGGGAGAGGGCAGACTGCCTTATCTCCAAATTTAAGGGAAAAAATGTCATGCCTCCAAAGGTGATCAATTTGCATGGCTGTGCTGTGACTATCAAACATGGCTTTTAAATGTAGGATAACCGTTACTCAAATAGGTTAACACTTATAGATTGTAAAACATTTTTGATGCTGATGTTTCACACTATGCACATTCTAATCGTCTAATTCCCCCTTTTGAACTTTCTTATCTCTGAAGCCGAAGAAAAAGCCATCCCGTTTCTTTTTAGAGCAGTGGTATTTGTCCCGTGGCATCACCGAGCATCCAAGCTCATCTCGCTCCTCTTCTGAATCTAGTAGAAAGGTTAGCTTTTTTGTATACCCCCAATGAAACGAATGCGTAACAATTACATGCATTTTAACACAATCAAATATTTGGAGTGATTATAGAAATTGGGGAGAAAGCCAAAAAAAACGTATTGAAAATGTTTTGGATATGAAACAGACATTTGGTTAATGTTCCCCTGCAGAATCCAGCAAAGTCTTTGTGTTCGGCTGTCCCAATGCCCTTATATGTGCTTAGTATTCAGGAGAGGGCCGAGCAACTGGCTTCTCAGTTGGATGGCAAATCAACTGGATCGAAGGTGAAACGTCATTGTTTACATACATAGCGTTGACATTTTCTGTTGTTGCTGTACATTGACATATTTGATATATTCAGTCCATAAGGGGAAATTCTGTTTTGCTCCTGAGTTGATAAAGAAACATACTGTACTATTACTGACCTTAGGTTCATGAAACATTCATTGCTGTTTTTAAATAGCTTTTGTGTAATCTTTCGTAAGGTCAATTTTCTATACTCTTAAGCAAAAAAATGCAGTATGAATTTACTTAGGTAAGACTGAGACACAGTATTAACAAAAGAAAATTGTTCCAATTGAGTAGCAGAGCACGCTATACAAGCTAACCGTCTACGGCATCAACATTCCCAGATTAATCTTAAAATTGACTACTGAAACAAAACTGTTTTCATTTCTTCTTCAAATTCTCATGGAGCCTAAGGAAAAACCATCCAGTTTTTTCATGGAACAATGGCACCTGGCCCAGACCCAAAGTGCCTCTGATCCATCTCTCTCTTCTGACACATTCAGACAGGTCGCTGTTTTATGGCTTTGAATAAGAAATGCAGTGAACTAATGCTAACACACACCAGACCCCGTTGTTCAGTCAAGAAATTATCTCTCACTTCTTTGTAGTGTTTTATATTTATATATATATATTTTGGATTGCCCTGATCTGCTTGTGATATGTAATAACTCGTTTTAACTTTTTATAATAACTCATTTTAACTTTTTACAGTTGTGTTTGCTTTGGTCTTTAATTATCTAATACTATACACATTACTGTTGCAGGCATTTGTGTGTGTGTGTGTGTGTGTGTGTGTGTGTGTGTGTGTGTGGGGGGGGGGGGGGGGGGGGTGGTTTTCACTGAAGAGAAACAAATACATTGCTTTCAAGTTCCATTTTATTCCTTAAAAGAATTCTGGGAGTAACCCAAGCTCAGATGTGCCGCAGACAAGAACATTCACACTTTGTGCTGCCAACACAAATGCTGAATACAACTTCAGTGCTTTTTTTTTTTGCGACATGCAGCTCTGCGTCTGCATTTGTTGTGCATCTTCATCAGGGTTCAAGCAACTAAAAGCCTCAGTATGCTTGCTGTCCCTGAACAGAGATATCTTACTGGTAAAACTGTGGGATTTTCTTTCTGAAAAGAAGAGTTTTAGGAGCGAGCAGGGTGAGAGGGATCACAGATCATCCTCTTATCCTTAGCAGATAGAAAAAGGTTCACACACTTTTTAAAGACATTTTACAGACAACCTTACTGAGTGAGCTGTCTCCCGTTGAGGGCTACAGTGCCATAAGGACATACAAACGCTTGACTTCAAACTAGGCTTGTGTGAGTACTTTCAGTATTTGAATGATTTTTTTTTTCAGGCGAAGCCCCATGCAAAACCTCTCGTCCTGTTTACTTACTCTTTGATTGGCAGTAGATTAGGTTGATGTTATCAGCTGGTTGATGTCAAGTGTCGCGACAGGCAAGCCAATGGTAACATGACTTTGCAGTTACCAGCCATAGGTAGAATTCCACCAGTAAACATTTTGTGGTTAAAAATCAAATGCTCATTCTCATTCCTCTGCCTCTACTTTCATTAGTGTTTGAATATGGTTGTCAGCCCATCTAAACCACTAATCGTACCCATACATTTTCCATGATGATGTTTCCCGAGTTACACCTTTGCTCGCATGTACCCGTTTCTGTTGTGCTTAGTGTTCCTTCCTCCTCGTCTGCATCCCCTTTTCATGTTCTCTTTTCATTTTCCTGCATTGTTTTTCTTATGTTTCTCCCTGTAATACTTTTCATAGCGCTATGTAAGGATGTACACAGGGGGAGTTAGCTCATTGGCTGAGCAGATAGCCAATCAGCTTCAATCGCAGGAAGAGCCCAAACGATTACCTGAGAAAAGAGATTTGGTAAGCCTGCTGTCCCCACGATCAATGGCACGTGACTGCATAGATCTGTCTACAGTGTGTAGTAGTGCTCAGTGGTTGCTGCGATGATAAGCCCGTGGATTCAAAAAGTATCAGCGGTGTGTGATAGTGCTGTGTTTATAGCTCCTTTGAATAGTAATGAATAATGACATCTTACTTTACACTTTGGGTCAGCGCGTTTCTGAAGCAGATGGGTATATGATTTCAGGCCTTCATATCATATATAACCTCCCTCTAGCGCTTGAATTTGGCCTGTTACTGAGTTGTTACAATTTTTTTCCACAGGGCTCTCTCAGAAAAGAATTCCCTGTCAATATTGGAGGCAGCGATGTTTGTTTTTTCTGTCGGAAACGAGTATATGTGATGGAGAGACTGAGCGCCGAAGGGAAATTCTTCCACCGCAGCTGCTTCAAGTGTGACTACTGTGGCACCACTCTCCGGCTGTCCTCCTATGCCTTCGACGTGGAGGACGGTAAGGCTAAACCTGATGAGTCTACGTTATACTCTTGTCATCGGGGGCAAGAGCTTATCTCCGATTACTTGATATGTCATAAAAAACATGAAAATTCAAGAGTTTATTGACTGCATAGATTATTAAGGATGCTTTTTACATCCATTAGCATGAGATAAAATTTAGTTTTGAAACAAAATATTGTAGTTTAAGAGGAAAAAGTAATCTGTTCAAGCTTCTTATAATTTTAAAGTGAGATGCTGCAACATTGCTGCATATTTACCCCGAAACTTGCACATGTGGGTTATTGTTCCAATTATGTGCTTTCATAAAGGGACAGCCCACTCTTAGACAATTGGATGCAACATCAGCACCAGCACGTGGTATGACGTCTAAATATTTGCCTGAGAGCAACTATTAACTTTTCTTTCCCAGGGAAGGAGAGTTCAGTGTCAAGTGTGAAACTTTAAACCCCTGGCATTCCCTTGATCACTGGCGCTCTCCTGCATCTATTGTTTACTCAACGTTACTGTTTGTTTCCCTTGAACATGTAAGGTGCAGTATTAGGTGAAGCATTAACGCAAAGCCCCTTTTGAGCTGCATGTAAAAGCAGGCATTGTTCTGTGTGCCCGCCAGTGTCAATATAAAGTTGATTCACTAATCCGAAAAGCTGCAATTTAAATGGTGATTGACTTGTGGAGCGGAGTGGAGGAGCGAGGTGAGGCAAAGAGGGGGAGGGGAGGGGGGAAGCAGGCTGGCATAGGTGTAACTGAAGCCTGCCACTGTAGGTGTGCCGCATTTTCTGTCTTTCTAGACAAATGGCATCTACTGAAGAAAGCTTGTGGGTTAGACATTCTGACTAGAGTGTATGTTCTTTAAACACGCATTTGTTCATTTTTATCCACAGGCAAATTTTACTGCAAGCCGCACTACTGTTATCGTCTGTCTGGATATGCTCAAAGAAAGAGACCTGCGCCTTCTCCTTCCCCAGCTCCAACCACATCTATGGTATTTAATTGATTTGAATTGTAGCTAAAAAGTGAAGAGAAGTGCAAAGTGTGGAAACATAAGGTGTTGCTTGTGGCAAAATATCAACCTTTCAACCTTTGCAGGAGAACCAGGATGCCCCAAATCCTGTGACAATGTTGGATGGCCCTGGAAGGGCGATGGCGGTGGCAGGCCCCTCAGCCGATATCCGGCCTTCAGGTACTCGACTTTCCTCTCTTGCTATTGGCGCTGTGCCGTACCACGTGGGCATGGCCACGGGTTGCGGAGTCTCTCTGCGTTCCGTCTGCCGCACACTTTCTTGGACGTGCCACCAGGTGGCACACAACCCCCTTGACTCTCCCTTCCTATGTTGCTACTGCATTTATCTCCTCTGCTGTTTCACCATCAATGCCCTGCTCAACTTCTTCTAGCATGGCCCTCCTGCCTCCCTTTAGTTTCCTTCTCTCCTTCCTTACCTTTGCAACTAAGTTCTGTGGGACTACATAGGTTTTGCTCGTGCACATTCTCCCGTGATTGGTTTCATTGAGTCTCTCAGCTTGCCGAGTGTTTGTGTAAACAGTCTGGTACACTGTCTCGGTGAATGATTTATTCCTTTAAGAGGCATCATTTGTTATGTTCACATCTGTAGTCATTTTTTTTTTATTAGCACAGGCATTTGAAGCACTCTGGCAACATTCTCTTAAAAGTGAATGGTGCATCTTAAACCACTATATATTCTTTCTTGACTTGGAAATTAAAAAGAGTTGGATACAGTTCTCTTTAGTCAACTCTCAAGGCAGAAATTTTAAATACATGTCAAAATAAAGAATTTTAATCCCAGCGCCTTGGCATTAAAGCTCACTCTTTTGGCATGCCTGTGTTTTAATGAAGCGCCTCTTTCCAGATTTTTTTTTCTCTTTTTTGGGAATGTTAACCGTTAGTGGCCTCTGATTGCTCGCTTTTATCTCTGCCTCCTCCGATGTAATGTTTCCATTAGAGCCTGCCCGTTGATGTTTCTCTGTGTAACAGTAACACACTTTTACTCCAGCCTACCAACCTACTAGATTAGTAGACTTACTTTACTGTGACCAAGTGCTTGTACCAGTGCTTTTGTGAGCTTTACCTTTACCCCTCCTTTCAGAGCATCTTAAAACTGCTAGCTGGGCTGTTGTGCTTTACTTAGTGCCTGTGATTGGACTTCCTCTGCTGTGTCATCTACCACTGTATCCACCAACCTCTCTTTTTAATTCCTCCAGGACTAATGTATGAGTTTAATGTTTAGTGCAGAGTAGAGAACTTCGACTTATCACGAGGACTCAAGTTGGGCCTGCTTCATTATGTGGAGTGTGGAGTTACAAGTTGACTGTAGGTTTAAATAATGGAACGATATGAAAATATCCACCCTGACATCTTTTAATAATCTGTAAAGTAATTTAAATCTGTGAAATGATTGGAGTAGCCCACTAACTAGGTAATTTCTGATTAATGATAACACAACACATTTCCCATAGTTACTGTAGGTAGATCGCTGACAAGCTGGCATTTCAAGTTTAACTTTCAGCAGATATAATTTATAATTTTCGGTGCAAATTAGGTTTGTGATGGTTTAATAAGTCTGTCAGGTATGTAGATAGTAAGTTTAAATGTTTTACTGTCTGGACTTGCTCAGGTGAAAGGTTAAACTCAATTGAAACAAACTGAAAAAATAAGAATGATGAACAATCCAATGTTACACGTTCTCTGTCTCTCAGTGCTCATTTCAGCAATTTTATTCCTGCACAAATTCATTGAGAGACAACTGGCGGATTTTGAAGGTTACATTTCAGTATGATTTACGAGTACGAAAAATCAAGTTTTAGGATTTGCTTCTCAGGATGGGAAAAAGGCAAAGCACCCACCATGTACCAATGTCGTGCTGTGCTGTATATATACAGTATATATATTTGTTTTAGAAATAATATCTAATTCAATAAATTCAGTTATAGATTTAAATATCGGTGTCTTCTTGTCACTTTGTCCTGTGTGCATAAATAGGTTTTTGGAGTCATGGTGGCATTGAATGCTAATAATTCATTAGAAACTTTGGGTGGATTTGTTTTGTGTAGATTTGGGCACGCACGCATGCACACGCACGCACGCACATGTTCCCACAGTAGATACACCTATGGAGAGGTATTTAGAAATACAAAAAAAATGTATTGCTTTTGTTACAGCAGCGGGGTTTTTTTTGTCTTCAGCGACCTAATTGCCGTACAGTCAGCCTCCGCATACACATGGTTCGGCTTTCGTAGATTCCACTTTTTCGCAGATTTTTTTTCTGTATTTTTTAATTTTTTTTGGGGGGGGCGGCCCCCCAATTTCATCTAAACATATATTGAATGTTCATCAGTAATTGTTAGAAGAATTCTTTGGGTTTAAAAAGAAAAAATATATAATATGTATATGCGTCTGTGTGTGTGCACATGTATTTTCATCCGTGTACAGTATATGTACTTTTTTTTTTTTCATTGTTTTGTTTCATTACACCCATCCTCCCCCAAATATGCAATTCATTGGACGTCAATTCTACGCATGTTTTTGCGGGCTGGACCGCCTATTCCCTGCGAATAGCGGGGGTCGCTTGCTTATCATCACGCCCGTCTGAAACACCGATGTTTCACATGGGTTCTCTCTCCAAATTCTCAACTGTAGTACCAGAAGCCAACGGCCTACAGGAGGCAAGCCTCGCAAAGCGCCTTCGTGGAACACCTGAGCGAATTGAGTTGGAGAACTACCGACTGTCCCTGCAAAGGGAGGAGGAGCTGGAAGAAGTGCCAGAGGAGACGCTGGCAGAGCATAATCTCAGCAGCGTCCTGGATAAAGCTACAGACATTGACCTGGGCTCCAGGTACGAGTTGGAATACAAAATTACACAATTTTTTCCCCAGAGCACATTCCAATGTAAATATAGAACCTTATTAAAGGACTGTATAAAGCAAAATGAAATTTAATTACAATATTGGATAGACTATTGTTAAAAATGAGAGATGATGGATTGATTCCTTTCCAGATCACTTTCTACTGCTGGATTGTCAGAGGAAAATGCTCAGATAGACACACTTTCCTTATTAATTTGCGGGTTTGCGTGTAGAACACGGGTCATGTCACTCCACGTGGAGTAAATGTATACAGTATAATACTATTGACAGTGACGTACAATAGCATCAGAAGATGCTCAATGTTGAACCAACTTCAAGACATAGCGCCTGACTGTTTTGTTGTTGTCACAGTAGCTCCGACTCAGACATGGAGGACGATGACGAACATGATGAGCAGGATGAGGTGGAAGTCGAGTTGGAGGAGGAGCAGCAACTTCACAGCCCCTCAGACCTCGGAGGCGTCACTTGGAAGGAGGCAGTACTGCTCCACGCCCAACTGAGAGGTGACCACTGCGATGTCGAGGATGAGGCTCTCGCTGAACTAGACGAGGAAGATGAAGATGAAGAGTCAAGTGAAGGTACGGTTGTGACTGTGATTGGGATTTGTTTTTCCTTTTGTCTGTTTTTTTTTTTTTTTTTGTCTGTTTTTTTGGTCGAGTCCGACACCATTCCGAGCTGTTCTCCTTTTGTTTGAAGTCTATTTCATGTGTGATGTCTCAACATCTCTTGTCCTTAATGTGTCCTACTTTTTCCACTTTTTCCCTTCTGTTAAATTTTGTATGATTTTTTTTTTGGGTGGGCCTCTGCCTCCGCCTGCTGGCAGAGGGGGATTACTGCCCCTGGGACAGGGAGCTCCAGTCAGGCCTTTGGCTGGACAAGTACCTCACAGACGAAGATGATGTTTGTACTTTTAAAGGTAGCAGCACAACTGCTTGTGGATGTATTTGCAGTTTGATATGAGTGTGCCAGTTCCGGCTGGTTTGGCCTGCTTATTCAAGGATTGTGCTCTTTTCTTTTGTTTTATGTTGCAGTTTCAAGCAAACAGTATAAGTTTACAATTACTGTCTAAGAAATCATTCTCATTTGTGTGGCTTTTCATGCCAGGCCTTCTCCCGTGTAGGCGATTCAATTATGGGCAGCAGTTTTTTTTCGTTTTCTTATTTTTAATCTTAATTTCAATGTTTGCAGTTATTTGAGTGCGTGCATGCAGCTGTGCCTTCTTTATTATGATTGCATCTTTAGTCTAACTTCCTCTGTGCCTCTCTCTCCCTATCATTTTTCTCCTGTCTTTTCCTGTCCTCCCGTTTTCCCTTTTCTCTACCTTTCCCACTTGATTGTCCCATTTGTCCATTTGTCCATACAAAACTACGACACTGAAACATACGCATGACACCCTCATTCAGCCAAGAACCTACAAATTCAACAAGTCCTGCAGCCTTTGGATCCTCTTGCGATTCCAGGTGTGTCAGGAACACACGAAGAGTCTGAGACAGATGGGGGTGGCCAACTGGCTTCAACCACCCAGCCCATTGAGCTCACACAGCCCTCCTCTACAGGTAAAGCATTCAGAGGAGCCAAGACGGGGAGCATTTCGCCGGGGCCCAACTCTAGACAAGTCGACCTTACTGGAATAAAGATTAAAGTGTGTCTAATTGCATCAGAGGAGGAGCCTCATCCTCCTGACTAACCTAACTCAGATTTTGTTTACATTTGTGTCACATTGCTTTTTTCCTGGAATGTCTAATTATGTGCTATCTTTTAATTTTCTTTTTACAGTCATTGTTGTTCCTCTGGGGTGAAAAAAGTTCCTCAACCCCATCCCAGTACATCATGTAACCCACATGTCAATGCTTTTTTTTTCTTTTTTTTTTGTTGGGGGGGGGGGCTTTATTCGTTTGTGTTCTGTTTTCTCTCCCATGTGTCCTGTTACTTTACTGTTACCTTACACCCGTACCCCATTGAGCTGTATCTTCTGGTTTGAATGTAGCCCCTGCCCACACATCTGCCCGGCACGAAGCAGTGCGAGTCTGGTTGGATTCAATGTCTGGAGGTAGCACAGACTTACGAAGGATCATGCATCCTGTCGAAGACTCATATATCTATCACTGTCTTTTGGCTGGCCTTTTGTAGCTTGCACGAATGACATACACTCACAAAGCATGCTGGAAGGCTGCCGTTCTCAAGAGTTCATCTTTGTTGTGGTCTATTCATGACCTGTTTTTCACCTTATCGGCTCACCCTTTCAAACTCCAGAAATGTCTGTTTTCCTCACTTTTTTGTCCTTTTAATATAATACATTGCTGATATAGGTAGCTAGCGTTGCCTGCAAACTCAGTATTACCTGCCATCATGGGTGATGTGTGAATTATTTGGTTTTACTTAGAGTGACGTAAAATGGTTTTATCACTGATTTAAAAGTTTTTTTGAATGTTGGGGGGGGGGGCTTTATTCGTTTGTGTTCTGTTTTCTCTCCCATGTGTCCTGTTACTTTACTGTTACCTTACACCCGTACCCCATTGAGCTGTATCTTCTGGTTTGAATGTAGCCCCTGCCCACACATCTGCCCGGCACGAAGCAGTGCGAGTCTGGTTGGATTCAATGTCTGGAGGTAGCACAGACTTACGAAGGATCATGCATCCTGTCGAAGACTCATATATCTATCACTGTCTTTTGGCTGGCCTTTTGTAGCTTGCACGAATGACATACACTCACAAAGCATGCTGGAAGGCTGCCGTTCTCAAGAGTTCATCTTTGTTGTGGTCTATTCATGACCTGTTTTTCACCTTATCGGCTCACCCTTTCAAACTCCAGAAATGTCTGTTTTCCTCACTTTTTTGTCCTTTTAATATAATACATTGCTGATATAGGTAGCTAGCGTTGCCTGCAAACTCAGTATTACCTGCCATCATGGGTGATGTGTGAATTATTTGGTTTTACTTAGAGTGACGTAAAATGGTTTTATCACTGATTTAAAAGTTTTTTTGAAAGTTGCTTAAATTGGGTGGTCTATATGCATGCTCTTTAACAATTTAGCCAGTGTTGTTCAGCTGAGTGTAAATTGCTTACAGTGAAAGTTATTTTTGGGTTCCAGTGTCCTTTATAAGAAGACTCACCTGCCACATCATACATCACTGCTTATCCTCTAACTCAGGGTTGGGCAACTTAAACGATGGCGAGGGCCAGCATTTTCCATCAGTACTACTGGCAGGTCACATGGGACCCTGCACAAAAATGCCATTTTAAATAAGGACAAGATACATATATACAGGTCTATTGTTTTATTGAAGCAATATCCAGAACAGTGCGTTTATATATTTTTTCTCAAATGCATTTAGAAAAGATACACTTCTCAACTACAAAAAAAATAACGACAGGCTAGGTTCTCCTCCTCCTGTGTAAAGGGCCTGCATGGATAAAAAAAAAAAAAAAATCCCATTCAAAGATATCACAAAACTGCTGAACAGCAAACCAACGTAAAGTGCAAGAACTCATTTTATACTACCGTATGATTTTCCTTCCCACATTCATAGGCTGGCTCACTCACTTGTGTGAATACAGTGCACAGTATAGGGGAGTAAATGTCATTCCATGTGTGTGTGGGGGGGGTGAAATAATTGTTTATATACGGTACTTTGGAGATTGTTGTTGTCGTGGCAACTTTCATGGCTGATAGTGTCTCTAAAGAAGCTAGGTTTGCATTTAATTCCGGTGAGAATATTAACCTATTTTATCTGAAAGACAATATTTTCTTGACCTAATTCGATCCTAGTAAGAAGTCCGAACGATGCAAACGGTCAGCTCTCCAGTAAGGGCAACCACATTTTCACGTTCAAAATTTGATCGAGCGCCATCTCGAATGTGGCCAGTAGGCCACCAGTTGCCCATTCCTGCGTTATCTTATGCTATCATGTTTTGGTTGCGCCATTTTAATTATAAATAGAAGATGCATGACTTTGTTTTAAGCTACTCTAACTTTGCCTTTTGTTGCTATTTACTAACGTTTCATTTTATTATTTTATGTTACATAGTATATTTTCATTTGAAACCCAACAAGGATTTATTTGGTACTTACTTACTTTACAATTACAAAGTTGTATTCAATTCAATTCCACATCACAGGTGTCAAACTCAAGGCCCGGGGGCAAGATCTGACTCACCAAATAATTTAATATACCCTGTGAAAGAAAATTATTTTTGTTGACTTTATGATTCCTACTAAAGTACCAACATTTAAAATTGTCTTCACTTTTAAAAAATGTTGATATGTTGCTTTTAAAATAAATGTATGGGAATAATATTTGAACAAATTTTCCTCACCTTTAATTTCAAAACTAGTTATCCATTAATTTGTTGTGCACATGTACTATCAGAAAACCATACATTGAGTTGACAGTAATAATGCCCCTTTGAAGGAAACCATAACTACGATGTGGCCTACGACAAAAATGAGTTTGACACTCGTGTTCTACGTCTTAAGTTGGATCTTTTTTTTCCCGCTGACTCAATTTTTTTTTTTATCTGTTCAGTTGTCTGACTACGCTAATTGAACGGCTGTAAAGATGGCAGATAGACAAAAGCAACATTTAATTTGTGTTGCCAAACATTCTGGATCAAAAAGACTAGTGGCTTATTTTATTATTTATTTCCGTTACATCAGAACTTTGTGAGGATGATGATCTGGAAGCAGAAGCAGAAAGTCCCAATATGGAGCTTGGTACAGAAATCGACCAAGGTCAGGAGATAAAAAACAACAACATTTCTATCAAACATTCAAACCCGAAGTAATTGAAGAGCTGCTTTATTAATGACATTTTATTTGTAGATGACATCCCTTCTGATGCTGAAGCTGAGGCACGATTTCCCCCACCATTGCACAGTGAAGCTTTTCCTGAGGAAGACAAAACATCTGAAAGTGTGGGATCGGCTTCAGATAATGGTACATGCCGTCAATCATTCCATCAGGCTTATAACTGGAATGCGCTTTTGTTTTATGTGACAAATGGAGCAGCATCTTTTTTGTTAATGTATTCAGGACCATCCAGCACTGAACCGTATCTGAAAGAAGATGATGCCATCCTTTCGCCAATATTACCTGCAATCGAACCTGAAAGACAGGTCAGACAATCCCAATGCTCTTTTTCTTCAGGTGCGTATGTCTCTGTGTGTGTACTAATTCCTGACCTGTCTTTATTTTCAGTTCATAGAGAGCTCTTTTGATTCTAAAGTGAAGTCCCCAGACACCTGCTTTTCCCCAAAACCTTTGGTTTTTGAGGAAGTAAAAGTTGAGCGGACAACACCATCACCAACTTCCAAGAGCTCTTCGCCTTTCATCAACCCTTCACCTGTTGCTTCTCCAGCTGCTTCCTCTGTGAAGGATCCCTTCTCCCCTCCCATGTCACCTTCCAACTCCACTACCAGCTCTCCAGTTAATCCAGCAGTCGAGGTCCTTGGCAGATCACCTGTAAAGTCACAGGATGGCTCACCAATCTGTTCCCAGCCTACACCACAACCTGAAACATGCCCACCCAAGTCACTGGTGTCCCCTCACAGGTCTATTTGCCCTCTCACAGGCAACCCACTTTCCCCAATATGTGCACAGCCTTTGCCCTGCCATGAACCTTCATCACCTGTGGCCTCTGACTCTCCTGTCAGAACCCAGCCTATTCCAAATGTCACATCAACACCAATGGCCAGAACTGACAGAGCTACTCCAAATTATGAGGATTCCTTATTAGCTGAATCTCTGTCAAGAAAGACTGATATTATTGAGGAATTTTGGTTAAAGAGTGCTGAGATTCGAAAGAGTCTCGGTCTTTCTCCTTTAGACCGCAGTAGTAAAATCTTGGATGGTAGTGTTGTTCAAAGTCCAACACAAGACTCCACTCCTGCCCAAAAACAGGCTCAGGATCTATCAGAGGACCAGAAACCTGCTTTTACTGGACGCACTGTGATTCGCAGACTCAACATCACTCTTGAAGGTCAAGTCATTACACCCATTGCTCCTGTGGAGGGTAAAAGTAATTGCCCTGACACGAAAGAATTTAGCAGCAGCTCAGGTCTGGGCCTGAATGGTAGTATGGCAACAAGCCAAACGGCGAACAGTGACAGCTACACCACCTCTGACTCCATCATGCTCACCCCACCCTCCAGTCCACCACCACCTGTGCCTAATAATCAATCCCCTGCCGTTCTCAGGCAGCAAAAACACCAGGTCTCCTGGAGTAACGGGACGGGAAAACCCCCATGCGAGCTTGCCAAAGAACCACCAAAACCAAACACTCCTGTTCCTGCACCGAGAACCCAAATGAGTCCTGTATCCGCACCCAAACCTGCAACCAGAAAAGTGTTGTCACCATCAGCAGATCTTGTGGAGACATCTGTAGTTATCATGAGGGAGAAGAAGCAGCCTCGGTCCGAGGAGCTGAGGAAGTCTTTTGTGGAGACGGTGGAAGAAATTCCATTTGCTGATGATGTGGAGGAAAACTTTGATGAGCGAACGCCTGAGACAAGCACTAATAAGTTTTACACTCCAGCTACCAGCAAGGCCAGAGCTGACAGACCTCCCTTTCACCTGGCTTTAGCAATGGAAAACGGCAAACCCATTATTCCTCTCAACCCAGTTTCTAAGACGCAGAGAGCCACTCAGTTCTCCCCAGAGGCCAAAGAAATAGCTGAGGGGAGGATAAGGGCAAGAGAAAAGTCCATTAAGAGTCAGGCTCTTAAGGAAGCAATGGCCAAGCAGCTAAATAAAATGAAAGAATCCAATTTGGAAGAGGTCACCTCACCTAAAGTGGCCTGGAGTGTCACCCCGGACGTGTGTGGGAAAAGTAAAATGTCTGCGGTATCTCCAAAGACATCTGCTGTTAAAGCTCTGGAATCAAAGAAAACAGAGACTGTGCCCGAGCGGCTCTTCAGCAGCAACAGGAGTCTGGACAGCTCCGTGGCGTCCTCCGACAGCTCATCCACAAGTAAGAGCAAGAAACGAAGTTCTCTCTTCTCGCCCCGCAAAAACAAAAAAGAGAAGAAGGCAAAGAATGACGGTAGCCGGCTCTCGGGTACTGAAGAGACACCGCCCAAACCCAAGTCTTTGTGGAAGGCTGTCTTCTCAGGATACAAAAAGGACAAAAAGAAGAAAGATGACAAGTCATGTCCCAGTACACCATCGTCCGGCTCTACCACTCAGGATTCTGGGAAGAAGAGAGCATCCCCTGTTGGAAAGTCAGCAGGTAAAAATGGATGATGTGAGGCAAAAAAAAAAAAAAAAATTGTTTGAGCGCGACTTGGTGCTTGACTCCGTTCTTGCTTATCTTATGTGACAGATGCGAAGTCGCGCAGAAACTTGAGCTTTTCGGAGGATTCAGACCTGTCATGTGACGACGTACTGGAGAGATTGTCCCAGAAGTCAAAGGCAGATGTGAGTCATCATTATGACTGTTGTGTCTTTCACACCCATGTTCTAAAGGGCAGTAATCACTTGGAAAACATGCATCAGAATGATCTTTTTTCATCACCTAAAATATTGAGGCAGTGTAACCCGAATACATCTCCCTTTCACTTCAGCTAATCAGACAATTTTAGTACACGGGGGTATGGTTGTAGCACTTAGAATAGCCAAATGAAAAGCAAAACATGGTTTACAAGTTGTATTCCTGGTCGACACAGTGGGTGTATCTTTTCCATTTTTAAAAACGTTTTCCTTGTGAATAATTTCCATTTCTAGCGACACACGGACATCTTTGACCTAGTGTCAGGCATGCACAAGGAAGCAATGAAGGAGGAGAAATTGGACAAAGAGACGAGGAGGGAGTTAAAAGAAAGAAAAAGGGGGAAAGAGAGGTTCAAAGACAGAGAAAAAGCGGTTGATCGCAAAATGGAAAAAGACAATGAGGTATTTTGCAGAAGGGGCTTCAAAACTGAATTTTAGGCAAATAACATGCTTAAATACCGTATATTTCTATGACCTTAGAGCACACTTTCCATTGCAAAGTCTACTTAAATTGGAAAAATAGTGCAATTTTCCCAATGTGAATGAAATGTACTCAATATGACCCTAACTTATCTATTGTCATAATTGTGTTTTGTGTTTGATCATTGAATAATTTGAATGATCAAGTGTAATTTAGGTCCTCAGTAGAAACAAAAAAAAAACGCATCTCCACATTAGCCTCATAAGAGAGTTTTCAACGATAGAGGTCTGTGATTTACATGCATGTTAATGCCTAAAATTCAAATATATTGTCTCCCTTGCTTCACCCTGTGTGTGCTTAGGTGGTATCGATAGACCCGCTTGGGTTTAGGGTCAGGGATATGCGGTCATTCAGCATTGGAAACAACAACATGTACTAGGGCTGGGCAATTCATTGAAATTTGTGATTTTGATTTCTCACGATCATAAAAACATTCTTATCGAAAAATTAAAAAAATGTTTGCCGAATGGTGCAGTAGGTAAGTTTCTGCGTTGTGAAAGTACCTTGAATGCACCGTGTTGCTTTTGTAGAAGTGTGTGATGACCTGTTATTATGCACGCCCTTAGATTGCTTAAAATGTTGAATGACACCCTCGGTGAAGTTTACTGTAAAGCTAACTCACAACAACATGAATTACACGTATTGTAGATGTAAATACTGCTAATATAACTAATGCTAGCACTCAATGTACATGATCAGCATAGGTGGTATTGAAAATGAATGTGTCTGTGTGTGTGTGTGTGTGTGTGTGTGTGTGTGTGTGTGTGTGTGTGTTTATTATGATACTCATTTATTTTCTGGTTGTTCCTTCAAGTTTTATTTCAAGTTGAGTTTTGGTAACCGTTTTGAAATCACTGAATGATCCTGTTTATTAATTGTGATTTAAATATCAATCAAAATAATCATGATAATAGTTTTTTTTCTATAATTGCCCAGCCCTAAGACATACTCTATGATTTTGTTAAATAAAGAAAAGAAAAATCATGTTAACTTTTGTTGAATATCCGTTAGACTTAAACATTGAGCTGCAAACATAAAAAACATGCCTTGCCACTTGCGATCCAGTCCCTCGCACCCGTTTACTCCTTGGGGTTACGTTTCTGTGTTTTAGTGCTTTTGATAAGCCTGTTCTCACAAGAGTTCAATCTGATTTTCTGTGAACAAAAACACTGTACAATTTTCCAACAAATTTTGACAATCTTTCAGATAATTAAGAGGCTTGCTTTCTATTTTTTCCAAACAAAATTGTGAGATCTGCATAATATACATTATTATGTATTCAATTCACTTAGGCTGCAATCCTGTTTTTTGAAATAAGCATCTTCAGTGCAACTTGTCTGCCACATTGTAAGGTGTGTTACAGCAATTTTCTACATATTTTTTTTAATGATTTCTTACTGAATTCTTGTGAGATCATGTTGATTAGCATAATTACCAAAGCTACATGTCCATAAGTCAGACCTTATGAATTTGTTTTTTGACAACGTTACAGCTTGAAATAGATTGCTCAGTGTTTTGAACTAATTTTATTTCTTAACATATTCATTTACTGTCCCTGTGCCCACTGTTGTTTTTGTTAGTTGGGAAAAAGTAACATTGTCTGTGATTTGTACATGTAATTCAGTTTAAATGTGGCTATTATTTTAAAGGGGAAGTCAACGCAAACTTGTTCATTACAATATGTTCTATGCGCCTCCACTAGTCTTCACATGGCCTTCTGATTAATCATGTGTTTGTAGTATCTGAGTTGAGCAGCAAAGTCCACCCATCTCAGTGGAAAAGTGGCCACCTCCTAAGAAGTACAAAACTGCGTGAATTCTACTGCTTAACTCATATTCCACAAACACAATATTAATCAGAATGCTGTGTTGAAACTAGTGGGGCTGCATAGAACATATTCTTATAAAGAAAAGTTTGGGGTTGACTTCCACTCTAAATATTTTTGAACCGATTTAACATAACCATTAACCCATCTAATCATGTTATGTTTGATTACTCTTTTTTGTTTGTTTTTTTTTTTTTTTTTTTTTTTTTTTTTTGTTTTGTCTTCCCCAAGTCTGTTTATGTCCCTCATGCACTGGCGTTCAAGAGATCATATGCCTCAAAGGTAGTATCACATCCATTGCCATCAATAACACCCCCTTGTATACCTGATCCTGTGCGCATGTTCCAGTTTACTCCATAAATGCCTTTGAGCATCTGGCCTAGAACTAACCGTCCTTTCTGGAAGCATGTCAAGTGGGATCACAGCACCCACTCACTCGCTCACACTTACACACTGCTGTCCAAAAATGACTTCTCAGCAGCGCTTCACTTTCAGGCCACAAAGACATCCGCTGATGTCAAAGGCTGCCCCTTTCTGACTGGTATGACATTAACCTGCCTATCTGTCACTGCAACATGGTTACTCCAGTGTGGATGCTGGACAAACATTTTGCTATCGGTACTATTTGCTCCCTCTTGCCTCATTCAAGCTTTTAACGCCCTTCTCAGTAAGTTTTGTTTGGGGTCAACATCCCCGCACTGCATTCTCTCAAAATGTATTGCCTGTTGTAAAGAGAATTTCCTGGTGTACAACAATGCTGTGAGAGGTCCACTGAGGTTTGTATACGTTCAGTATTGATGATTTCTGTTTTAATATTTATGTTAAAGATACCCGGTGGAGCTTTTGGTCCATGTGCTGTTTGCAGATTAATTTCACAAGGCACCTTTGTGCATATGCTATTTCATAAGATTTAAAGGATATGAGAAACAGTCTAATTTATTTTCCAAGTCAATGTACATAAGTGCTAGTCCACACGGTTCACCACCATGTCGTGGACGAAATAAATTTTCTTGTTGATGAGTTCTTGAGAGCCCTTTGACAGGTCCACATTTCTTTGGTTTGAACAAAGGCCTCATCTAATGCCTTGTTGTGATTCCACTAGAAAACCTACACAGAAGAGGAGCTCAATGCCAAGTTGACGCGTAGAGTCCAGAAAGCTGCTCGACGACAAGCTAAGCAGGAAGAACTCAAGAGGTTACACCGGGCCCAGGTTAATAGCGAAATGAAAAAGTTTTTTGATAAAATGGAAATAATGATTGTGTTGTTTTAATCATTTGTAAGAATGCAATATTTCCTATTTGTGCCACTAAATGAAATGCTTAAAGGCAGATATTCTTTCACTAGCTATGTACAGTAGATTCATCTGGGAATTGTGGGTGTTCTGGTTTTTATGTAACTGTTGGTTTTCAGTGCATTGTTGCAAAATTCAGCAAGAGGTCAAACTGAATCCTAATTATTTATGTTGTGTATGCCAGTGAATTTAAAATGCACTGTGTTAGGCAATGTTTTAGCACGTCTCTTCTGACCACGTGCACTGAGAACTACTGTATCCCTTGGTGAAGAAATTCACTCTGGTGGTTTGTGCAACTCATCTGCAGTTCTCCTCCCAGGCCGCAGAGTCAGCACTAAACTACACTGGAGAAGACTACTCCTGCAGCTCTTAGCACTGTGCCTAAGGGCCTCTTGTTTTTCTCCAGCTACCACATGACACTGATTAAAGTTGCATCAATGCAAAAGCAGGGGAAAACTTCCAAAGTAAAAGTTCTCAGCTCTCAAATTGTCGCGTTACGCACTTACAGCTAAATTTAGACACTGACTTTACAACTTCATGAAAATACAAAGCAGCTGTAACACAGCAGTTTGTTTGGCTTTAACACTTTCCATTATTTATACCGTATTTATGCTGCCGTATTTGACATAAACGTATATTTCATGCTTTTGACTGCTTGCTAGTGAGATTATGCTAAGTAAGAAAGAGATGGTCAAACCCTTTCCCGTAATAATGTATTTGGGAGTGGTTTAACACACTGATCGGTGTTAGCAGGCTCCTTACCATGCATTCTGCCGACAAGCACTATGTGGGGAAATAAGGTGGTGACAGTTGAGGATGAAATATAATCTTTCTATATGACATCGGACATACAGTGTATATACCACTGGAGGATTTTCGGTGAGCTAGATTGTGGCACTCTCCAACTATGCATTTGTAAGAATAAATTGCAAATGAAGTGGCATTTTAGAGGTGATATTCATGGTTTGTTTGAACATTTTGAAGACTTTTGTGGGAATCAAAATGTGTCTTCTTTTTTCATTTTTTAACAATTAGATTATCCAGAGGCAACTGGAGCAGGTGGAGGAAAAGCAGAGACAGCTCGAGGAGAGAGGCGTGGCTGTGGAAAAGGCATTGCGAGGAGAAGCAGGTACACACTCATTTATTATCCTTCTTTTTCTTTTTTTTTAAGCTCCAAATGGCGGAGTACCGCACAAATCTTACTGCTTCAATATAAAATGTATGTTCCAGGAATTTTGTGACATTCAGACACAACAGTGTTCTCGCTAGTTTTCACTGCAACTGCTTGAATGCCCCCCTGCCCTTTGAGAGCAAGTCTCATCATAATTTGATGCTTATTTGCATGTGGCTATTTCTCAAGCTACAAAAGCAATAATAAATTGTTTTGATGAATACAGTGACATAAACTAGATTTGAAAAACACAAGAGGTGTCCCTTTGAGATAATTTAGATCTTGTTCAAACATTTTGTTTTTCTGTGCAATGAAAGCAATTAAATGTTGTTTCTCTTCAGCAAAAAAACATTTTTTGATAAGGGGCTATGACAGATAGTATAAACAACTTATTTGTGAATCAGCCCCACTGCTCATTATGTTGTGCAGTTTGATGGACATTAAAAGGACTGCATTATATACGAGAGAGTGGTTGTGGGAACGTATTACGAAGGTACTATAGTATAGGATTGTCATGTGTATTCCAACCTAATTAATTGTGATGGTGAATCATTGCTGAAAAAGCTTAGAACAATCAGATACATGCATGTATGATATTGTGCAAAAATCCGGGGCCAGTACTATACAAGCATTGTTTTTCGTTTTCCACCCTTTTTGTTGTATTGAATTAGAAAATTGTAAACCAGTAAAAAAGGACCGATACAATTAGACATGAATACACACAAACCAAAATCGTTTCCATAAAACTTTGTAGATGGGGGGGTGCACGGGACAAGCGAGAAACGCAATTGGCATCAATCTAAACAAAGGTACACAAACAGAAATACCTGTACATTTATACATGTTTACAGTATGAGTCCCAAGCATTGACGCAACCCGTCCACCACCCAGAATCATAATGGCACCTCCCGTCTGTTCATAGTACGCCATGAATAGTCTGCTAAGTAATGCATAGAGGGACAAGATGATGCTAAGCTCAGTTGTCTTTTCCATTTCTTCATAATTTATACCTGTTGGAGGGATGCGCTTTACTGTGTGACATTCTTGATATATACAGTGTGGTCATCCCGTGATTGCTAAAAAAAAAATGTAAATCTAACGGTGGACTAAAAGTTTTGCACAGTATTGTATATTCATTGAACAGAAGGTATGTTTATTGGAATTATTTTCAAGTGACTGTGCTCTCCACCCCAATCAGTTGTTTCTCTGCTGTAACATGTTTGCAACTCTACTTTCTTAAAGGAATGTACAAAGGTACTTATACATTACCCAAACAGCACAAAAGAAGATCAGGTATTAGATTCACTAAAGTTTCTCTTCATACGAATGACATGTGACACTGTTACATAGGCTCCATCTGTGGTGACACACTGCAACAGTTCTCCATCTCTGAACATTGTAATTTGTCTCTAACATCCGCCATTTTTAGAAGAGCTGCATGCACTCAGGAGAATGTGTGTCCCGACAAATATTTGTTTGTGTGTGTGTGTGTGTGTGTGTGCTTGTTCTGGTTGCATGTCTCCTCCACTGTCACCCAGCGAGGACCGTTTCCCTGATTCGGGTCCTTTCTGATGGTCAACGCTGTATGGTAGAAATCAAATTCAGATTGGTTGACAGAATTATAGGCTATTTTCCACAAAGATTTGTTGCGTGTAGCCAAGTGTTGCTACAAAAAATCCCTTGCTTTAGATTTATGCTGCTGCAATGTAGGACAGCAGCAATCTGGATATCATGTTGAATGTCCAATGTAAATGAGATGTATTGGGCCATTTTTGAGCAGAACATCACAGTCATGCTGGAAGAGAAAAGAGCCTTCCTGAAACTGTTTCCACAGATTTGAAAAAAAATCTTGGTAAAATGAAGTAGGAGTCGCACAGAACTAAGGAAGTCTGACCTTAAGCCTGTTTTTTTTTTTTTTTTTTAAATTTTATTTTATTTTTTAAGTGAGCTCTCTCCCAAATATCTCTGTACTTATAGTGTATCATGTGGTACTCAAAGATCCCTTTTAAAACCCAGATGCTCTTTTGATGAGAAGTAATCAATTATTCAATCATGATATTATAAAATGAATCTTCTATACTTGGCTGGGTTAAATAATCTTATTTGATTGGATGACACAAAACTGGCATAAGAGTCCAAATAAAGTAAGGCTGAGACAGTTCTCAGCAATACAGCAAGTCTGTAAAACAGATTGCTTATTTTGATCACTGTCATGTGCTCATGCTCACAAGCTGTTTGTGCTGGGCACCGTGGTGAGTACAGAGGGATATGTCTTTTGAGTGTCCCTGTGGTTTGAAGTGTACCTATGTGTGTGCATGCATGCTCATTTTAGGAACATTGTTTGTGTGCCCGGTGTGGGGCAGTGTGAAATAACTCTTGTGTCTAATATATCCCTGTCATTGTAGACTATTGGGGAGATTCTAATTACAGTGAAATCCTGGACTTACATCTGGGCGGTATGTATTTGCAATCTGTCGTTTACAGACTAACCTAATGGCTAACTGAATCTCTCCCCACCCTACCTTTTGTTTTGTACCCATCTACCTCCATTGACTGTCTGGCTGATTGGTTTTCGCATCATTGCAAAGCCTCCTCCATTCCACTTGTCCGTATTCTCTGGCCTTCTCCTCAGCAACATGACAAAGGAGATCAGACCAATAAGATTGAAGTTGATTTCTGTAAACCTATGAACAATGGATTTTCGAATAATGTAAAGACAACAATAATTCTAGTAAGTTGCAGTGGTGCAGCACATCACACGGCACTAAGCGCATAGGTGTTGCTCATATTTTGCCCCTCTCCTGTGTCTAAACAAGAAATTCTGCTCCACTGTGAACTACAAGCACAATAAGAGATGCAGAAATTAACCAAAAATGGTAGTACTACTATTGTATTTACAGTAAGATACAAATAAATGTCCACTTCTTAACACATTCATGAATGTAAAATGTAAGGACCCGCACAATGACTGAGATGTGATGATAAAATAAATTACATTCATGACTGTCACTACATTTTTTTTAACCCATAAAAATACCACAATACGCAACAGAATGAAATGTCGGCGGATTACCTATACACCCGCTCTGAAACAAATGAAAGAGCCCTGCATAATGCCGGGCCTTGTCACCATTTTCATGCTTTCTGTCATAGGCACATGGCTTCTTCATGCAAACGAGTCCTTGCCTGTGAAACCGTTCCCAACAAACTAAACTTGAATATATAGTAGAGTTCTGACAAGTCTAAACGAAAATGTACAGAATTTTAAAATATACAGTAAATAGATCATGACCACTATATAATTGTGCCCAGGGATGGGGAAACATTCAGAGCGTAGCTTGTGTCCTTCTATTAAAAACAAATGTGTTGTTTGTCCCATTAACTGTGTCCCCCAGTGTCAATAATACTTACGCCTTGTTAATATTCCTTATAATCCAACCTTCTCCTATGTGCTGTAATTGTTTCCCATCATCCTTCCCTGATTTTATTTTCCCCCCCTCATACCTGCTCAGTTGTTGCTCCCCCAGTATTTAACCACAGCGTGCGCCAATGTTAAAGCAACCCCTCAATCTAGTCTTAAGTGTGATTAGTCTGTAGTCAGCATGTTGGACTTGACATTTTCAATGCAGTCTTGTTTGAATACGAGGTGAGATTTCAGCCCTTGATTCCACTGTAAGATGGTATCTTTTATTTAGAAATGTCTCCCCCAAATTTTAAGAGGCTCATGACTTTTCTTTGTTTGGCCTTGTAGCTTGTTTTTACTCACCCATGCGAGAAATTGCTTGGTGTTTGGACATAACGATGAACTCACTCCCACAATAACATTTCGTTCATAGGCTCACTTGTCACAAACTAACATACACCTTCACAATCCACGGGGTTCCAATACAAGAGCTGTATCGAAAAATTGATTTGATTTTTACAAAGATAGTAATGCTCAGTTTTGATTCAACCTCTCGAGGGGTTGTCTTGGATTGCCTGCAATATACATGCAAGGTCAAATGATCAGAAAATCCTCTCAGTATGAATTCGCCTTGTGGAAAAAAAAGTACATATACTGTATATACAGTACATAGCTTTTGTATTGGACCTCGATGCTGTCCAGATGTCTCATTTGTTATGGCTTTTGGTTCGGAGGGAATTTAACGACTGATATTGTGTGAGCTGGTGTTAGGGAATTAAGGTGTTGTTCCATGTGTGTTGTCTGCCTTATCTGGAAAATTCTTGGTCTTGAATCTTTCGGTATCATTTGGCTTTTTTATTTGCCTTTCTTGACTCTGGCCTGTACTCTCTGCTTCTCATGCTAGCTTTGAATTCAGCACTTTAAGTCTCGTGTAAACAAGAAATTCTGCTCCACTGTGAACTACAAGCACAATAAGAGATGCAGAAATTAACCAAAAATGGTAGTACTACTATTGTATTTACAGTAAGATACAAATAAATGTCCACTTCTTAACACATTCATGAATGTAAAATGTAAGGACCCGCACAATGACTGAGATGTGATGATAAAATAAATTACATTCATGACTGTCACTACATTTTTTTTAACCCATAAAAATACCACAATACGCAACAGAATGAAATGTCGGCGGATTACCTATACACCCGCTCTGAAACAAATGAAAGAGCCCTGCATAATGCCGGGCCTTGTCACCATTTTCATGCTTTCTGTCATAGGCACATGGCTTCTTCATGCAAACGAGTCCTTGCCTGTGAAACCGTTCCCAACAAACTAAACTTGAATATATAGTAGAGTTCTGACAAGTCTAAACGAAAATGTACAGAATTTTAAAATATACAGTAAATAGATCATGACCACTATATAATTGTGCCCAGGGATGGGGAAACATTCAGAGCGTAGCTTGTGTCCTTCTATTAAAAACAAATGTGTTGTTTGTCCCATTAACTGTGTCCCCCAGTGTCAATAATACTTACGCCTTGTTAATATTCCTTATAATCCAACCTTCTCCTATGTGCTGTAATTGTTTCCCATCATCCTTCCCTGATTTTATTTTCCCCCCCTCATACCTGCTCAGTTGTTGCTCCCCCAGTATTTAACCACAGCGTGCGCCAATGTTAAAGCAACCCCTCAATCTAGTCTTAAGTGTGATTAGTCTGTAGTCAGCATGTTGGACTTGACATTTTCAATGCAGTCTTGTTTGAATACGAGGTGAGATTTCAGCCCTTGATTCCACTGTAAGATGGTATCTTTTATTTAGAAATGTCTCCCCCAAATTTTAAGAGGCTCATGACTTTTCTTTGTTTGGCCTTGTAGCTTGTTTTTACTCACCCATGCGAGAAATTGCTTGGTGTTTGGACATAACGATGAACTCACTCCCACAATAACATTTCGTTCATAGGCTCACTTGTCACAAACTAACATACACCTTCACAATCCACGGGGTTCCAATACAAGAGCTGTATCGAAAAATTGATTTGATTTTTACAAAGATAGTAATGCTCAGTTTTGATTCAACCTCTCGAGGGGTTGTCTTGGATTGCCTGCAATATACATGCAAGGTCAAATGATCAGAAAATCCTCTCAGTATGAATTCGCCTTGTGGAAAAAAAAGTACATATACTGTATATACAGTACATAGCTTTTGTATTGGACCTCGATGCTGTCCAGATGTCTCATTTGTTATGGCTTTTGGTTCGGAGGGAATTTAACGACTGATATTGTGTGAGCTGGTGTTAGGGAATTAAGGTGTTGTTCCATGTGTGTTGTCTGCCTTATCTGGAAAATTCTTGGTCTTGAATCTTTCGGTATCATTTGGCTTTTTTATTTGCCTTTCTTGACTCTGGCCTGTACTCTCTGCTTCTCATGCTAGCTTTGAATTCAGCACTTTAAGTCTCGTGTCCAACTTGTTGGAGTTCGGTATCCTGTTAAGAAATTTGAATTACATCACATTTCCTTTACTAGTACCTATTTGCAGTTGTGATAATATTTAAATGAGTAAACATCTTTAGCTTGGACTTAAAATGAGCTCAACGAATATGTTCTTCATAACCCTCTTGCGTCACACTGCACATAGGGAAAAGTCAATCAAATCTATTTCAAATAGTGAAGGAATAAAATGTTAGTCCAGTCGGTACAGAACTGCTCTACACTTTGAATGGTACAGTGACAAGCCCATGCTACCTGAATAACGTTATTAATCCAGTGATTATGCCACCATGCCGTGGTCGCATCACGGCATGGTGGTCGACTAGTTAGCATGTCCGCCTCACGGCACAGAGGAGCAGGGTTAGATTCCGGCTCCGCCCTTCCTGTGTGAAGTTTGCATGTTCTCCCCGTGCCTGCGTGGGTTTTCTCTGGGTACTTCGGTTTCCTTCCACATTCCAAAAACATGCATGGCAGGCTAGTGGAGCACTCTGAATTGTCCCTAGGTGTGAGTGTGAGCGCGGATGGTTGTATGTCAGTGTGTGCTCTGCTATTGACTGGCAACCAGTTCAGGGTGTCCCCTGCCTATTGCCCGAAGACAGCTGGGATAGGCTCAAGCACGCCCCGCGACCTTTGTGAGGATAAGCGCATCGGGAAGTGGATGGATGGATGAAAATAAATATACATGTATACATACATACATATTGGCCGCTTTGCTTCATCAGGTGTGGGTGTCCATGTTATCACTGGAGATATTTGTAAAGAAAGAGATCAAGCAGGTGGACTACAAAAAAACAACCACTTTGAATTACCTTAAACCCTTGTAACTGCTTTTCAAACACCGATACAGCATAGTCAAGCATCGCTTTCTTCATCTTCCAGCTTGTCAGGATTGCGTAAAAACACAGGTGGTGGATTGAGATGCAACCCAACAAATTAGGCAATTTTTATTGAAGGAAAAGAGCTCACGAGCACGAATACGAACAACTAAGTGACATGGCGAAGTCTCGTGAAGTCAACCAAAATAACTCACTGAAGAAGGTGGACAAGAGTGCCACAGGAGGAATATACTAAACTAAACAAAGCACAAAACTTAAATAAAATAAAAAGACAAGAAGTACGAGTGGCGCGTTCTAGGACAATACAGGAACAAGCACGAGAATTAACACAAATGCTGTGGCAATGGCAACAAGCAACAACGATATATTGTCTTCTTCCCGTGAGTCCTGTGTCTAAATAGCCTGCTGGAAAGCTGACTCATGGGAAACACATGGAAAATAGGGGGAAAAAAAGTACAATACTCAGAAAAAGCTTAAGTTGTCCTGGAAAATAATTTTGTTTAGCACTTTTCTGCTTCACCCGCACTGCTTCTAGCCGGCACATTGCCCCACGTGACGCTACCAACCAATGAAAATGGATATTCGCTGGCAAGTGGTTTCCATATGACTTTGTTGATAGATTTACTGACATTTTTGACCCAAGTAAAGATTTATTTTATCCAAATTGTCAAATCTAGAGACTCCAGTTCGAATGTTGCTGTAGCGCTGTATATCGAGTATGATATTTTTCTCCCTCTCTTTCTACTTTGTTGAGTGACAGAGCTGAAGCAGGCATGCCGTTTTTACACTTTGAGATGAATTCCATCTCTGTTTTTCGTAGAGCCGACCATAACGCTTCGACCCAGCAACAGGTAACAGGTAGTCTTGCTGGGTCACGTTCCACTCGGTATTCAGACTTGCTTCACAGAAAATATGTGAGTGAGAAAAATTCATTTGGAATCCGGCTCGAGTAACCACCTTTTCATGCAGTTTTTAGCTAGTGTTACGCCCCTTGCCTATTCAACCTGGCTGTTGCGGTGCAGTGGGTGCTAGCATGGGCTAAGGCCTCTCTTCAACCCGTCAGCAGCTCATTCGTCAGTCAGCTATATTCCATCATCTCCATTTACTTAGCAATGAAAGTCCTTGAGATGACACCATCCAAGTGAGATCGCACATTAGTGTTGTGACACTTGCGAACGAGCAGCTCTTTTGCTGTGAATGTTGAGAATTGATTTGCAGCTTTGAGGGAGCCCTTTTTTGTGGGGGAGGGAACCAATTGAGTATGGTGTTTCTTAACATTGGAGCAATCTGCTTAAATGTACAAAATGTTGGGTACAGTTGTGGAAAATAAGAAAATAACACCTCTCCAAAGCTTGGCAGTGGAATTTATTCATGTATGCTTTGATAATTTTACTCCTAATACAGTAAATGGAAAAAGTGCCGAGAAGTCCAGGAAAAGTCCTGCAAAAGTCCTAAAAAATAATTTTAAGGAAAGAGTGGGAACTTTGTCCTGGTATTTATTTATTTATTTGTCATCCTAGCCTCCAATTGAATTATGCAAATGCTAATATGAAGATTCAGTTTGAGCACTGACTCAGACAGTTTCATTGGTCCATTGTGATGGTCAGATGTGATGAGATTGTATCTAAATCTATTGGCAGCATGAAACTCGTTAGTAAAAATCCATAAATTAACCATGTCACATTCAAAGCCACAAGATTCAAAGCATGGGAAAAAAGTAGCAGTTTATAATCCGGAAATTACCGTAGTACTAATGTTTCACATTTACATGGTGCTCAAAAATCTGTATTCATCATAATAGTTATCGGCATAGCATACTTTATAGTAGCCATCATGGAGAAGAAATGGCTCAAGTCATCAAATCGAATGGTGGCGCTGTAGCATATGTGTTGTTTGAGCAGACGCGGTGTACTCATCACTGATCGATTTATTGCAGTGACATCAAGCTCATATTGACGGTTCATATCCGATTTGTGGCTTACAGTCGCATTAAGTGGTATCAGATAAGTATCCAGTTTTTATGCACGTTTTGAAGAAGCCTGATTTCCATCTGAGGATATACAGTATGATTCCCTGCTTTTTTTTTTTTTTCCTCTTCACTTTAACCATGCGCTGTAAATTGAGCCTATTAAGGTTTTTGTATTGAAGTGCAAGCCTTTTCATTCCATGGCATCCTCAAAAGAATAATGTGTTGGCCTAATGGAAGTGTCTCGAGAGCAGTACTCGTGCATTATCACAAAAGCCTTTTCTTCCAGGTTGTTTTGCTATTTTTACTCCTACTTTATTCATCCCTCATACCACAAAGGTGATCACTCCCACCTTCTCCTCCTAGGTGATTTGTCTTGTTCCTATCTCACTGTTCCTGCACTCCTTTGATATCCTCCTCCATGTTTTTCTCTTTCTCATCACACGTGTCCCCTCACCCTGTATCGTCGACTGTTTCCTGCTGTAACATCTCTGCTTTTCTTCTTCTCTATCATTTCTACCATCCCTTCTCTGTTCCACATCAATGTCCCGGTCTGTGTCAGTCCCTCGCTCCCTTTCCCCGTGTCTTGTGGAAGTTGAGCCCTTTGTGGGGATGCACCGTCGGAGAACGCTCCCCTTCTGCCTCTGCTGTTCCCCTGAAGGTAACCTAACCTCGCCGCCTCTGCTTGTCGGGTGTGGCAGGTTACCACGGCAACCGCAGGGGTTCTCCAGAACTGGGCTATTTCCCTGAACCCTCCCCAATTTTCTTGCCTTCCGCCATCTTTTTCTTTACCCGCTCTGCTGTGATGCTGTTATGAACCAGCTGCATGCATGGTTTTAAAATGCAACCATTTGAATAGTTCATTGTAGCGACCGCCATTCGCCATTTTCAGATAATTGATAAGTATGACAAATCTCCACACAAAAACAGTAACTTGCGCTTGGAGGCTTGATTCAGGAGTGACATCCTTGCATGGTGTGAAGTTGTGTTGTAAATATTGGAGCCTGCACAAAGCAAGTTTTTAAAATTAACGAGTCATCTGGTTTGTTCTTGTAGCTAATACCTGCCAATGGAGATTTTGCCTGGGTTTCAATTTGTGAAGTGTGTGAAGGTGCAAGCTTTTGTTTTCATGTGTGATCTGATTGATTTATGCTTTACTTTTTACGTTCCTTGAGGGCTCTCCTTTGTTTGGCACCTTAGGCTGAGGGCTGGTGGTGGTGGGGATGGTGGAAAGAAAATGTCAAAAAAAGTCTCATGTCTTTAGTTACCCCTTTACCTCTATCGACAACATGTGCCCCACCCCCACTTTATCTTCTAGTTGAAATACGCCATGCTAATTACTTGTTACACTTCATTTAAGTTTGCAATTAAAAAAAAAAAAAGGTAAACAAGTACCAGCTCTTTAAATCTTTGTACTTCCGACGGAACAGTAGTCATGGCAGCTAGCTTTTTGGTTTTCAGAACAAGGATTTACAGCGCCCAAAGGTTTGTACTTTTTGCTATAATGCGACGTTGGATTCTGGTTAAGGTAAGCCGTATTAAACTAAAAGGGAAAATGTGGACATTTTGTCGTCCTCATGTGCTGCCGGAGGCTGAGTGCGCTCTGGTCACTATTTCTGCCTGCACTGTGCTCCGGTCATGTTCATGGTCTTGGATTTTGATTTAGATTTTTTTCTGACTTAGAATGAGATTTTTTTCTGATTTTGAAAGAAGAAAAATGGCAAGAAAGTACGTAAAATAGTTAAATAAACCTGCAATCGATGAAGTCATGTTCAAAATTGAAAACCCACGATAGACTGAAGCCGCAATGACCGAACAGCGAAGTAGCGAGGGAACACTGTATTGCCATTGTCAGCCAGACTTCACTAAAAACCCTCAATTGATAGACTTAAATACACCGTGTGGAACTACAGCAAAATTACAGAAAATAAGAGACTAAATTCTTTTTACCTATACAGTCAAACCTCGGTTTTCGAACGTCTCAGTTCTCGACCAATTCGGTTTTCGACCAAAAATTTCGATTTTTTTATGCCTCGGATGACGAACAAATTGCGGTTCTTGAGCAAACTGAGCACACTTGAATGCACCATTTGACTCCTCTCGCCTTCCTTACATGAAGAAGTGACGCTTCCTCGGGTAGACGAGGAACTGACGCTTCCTCGTGTTGCTTTCCATTGTGAGCAGACGTGTTCAGTTAACATTTTTATTTTAAAAAGAGCGTGGTTTCGGTTTTCGAACAATTTCGGTTTTCGAACAGCCTTCTGGAACGGATTATAGACGAAAACCGAGGTTTGACTGTATTTTGAATTTGAGAGTCTGACCAGGCCAAACTAAACTCTATGTAAAGTCTATAATAACGTACAGTATTTAACATATTCATTAGACCGCATAAATATGAGAAGAGGCCATCAAGCATCATTAAGTATTCTGCGTACTCTTTCAGTGAGCTCTAGGATTGAGACCATTTCAATGATTATATCAAACTGAATAGTACCCTTCTTTGAGCACGGTCAAGCATGACATTCTACTGTTAAAATAATGTTTTCTGTTCAGGACGCAAGTTAATGACGAGAAAGTGCCACCTCAATCGAGATTAAATGAACAAAATTGTATTTGGGGGAGGGGGCAGGGGACGGGGGTTATATCTGCAGTCTAAATGCATACTGCTCACAAAGCATTTTTGATAAAGTATGTTGTCATAGCATCTAGCACCTTAGCTTGGCCATAGAATATCTCGGGATTCATTCTGAAGAAAGGAGATTTGTGGCTCAGAAATAGTTTGCTTTTAAACTGCTCTGCTTTGATTGGATTTGAATGATTTAATTTCTGATGGTGGGTCATTAGCTGGTCAAGCAAGAATTAAGGAATTTATTGAAATATATATATTTTGAACACATGTACAGGTACTGTGTGTATGTGTGTATATAGTTCTTGGCTTTGGTCCAATGTTTTTGCTGTCCCTTTTTTTTGGTTGTACTTCGTAACCCTCATCTATTCTCTCAACACCCCCCATCCCCCCTGCCCTTCCACACACACGCACCTCATCACTTTGTACTCTATTAAACCAAGAAGAGACAAAATAATAGTTACCCCAAAAAGAACAGTCTGATCTGCAATATGCTAATAGATCATTACAACAGATTTTCTTTCCAACTTTTAAGTGTGTTTGTATGTGTGTTTGAGAGTTGTTTGTATGTACACCTCCCTGAAGTCAAAACCACCACGCCATCTTTATGTGTCTCTGGGAAATATGGATAACCGACCACATTGGTGTCAAGTCCATCTTTCCACCTCACCATCCCTCAACGAGGACATCCCGCCTTGGCTGTGATTGCATTCCCCAATGTCGATCCTTGAGTGTCCTTGTGTGTTCAATCTGATGTCTTGCATCTCACCGCTACACTTCTCCAACACTTTTCTCCAGGTATGGGAAAGAAGGATGATCCCAAACTGATGCAAGAGTGGTTCAAGCTCGTGCAGGAGAAGAATGCCCTAGTCCGCTATGAATCTGAACTCATGATATTGTAAGTGATATACTCAAAAACATTTGATGTTCGATTCTCTTGAACACCCTGCAATGAATCGATTTAAGTGGCAGCAACACCCTTTGAATGGTCCACTTTGTGCTTTTTTTTCATGTTACGTTATGTTATTCTCGGGAGCCACAGCAGCCCACTTTGCCCGAAACGTTTAAGTGACATGGGATTTTAGCTGTGTTCTTCTCTGTATTCAACACCATTTCCCCCCACTGTATTCCAGTTTTGTAGCAATACCTACAAAACTTAAATATACAGTATCCCCCCCTTCCCCCCCCCAAAAAAAAGTACCACATTTTGGGCAAATGAAGCCGCTGTGGCAATCGGGAACATATACTCACTCCCAAACTGCATGTCAGAACGCAATGCATTGTGTGACTGGGACTCTCGGCTGTCACATGGACGGCCCCGCCATGATTTAATGTGACAAAACATAGAAGAAATAAGAAAGAGCTGTACAATAAAATGTAAATCAAGCCAAGGCGGACACAGGCTGCTGGATCCCCTCCGTTATTTAGATGAGATGGTACCTTATTTTAATTTGGCTATGGTAAGTACAATTATTTTATCAAAACATTTATTCGGATAAGTCACTCCGAAAGGCTGAAAGTTCAAAGCTACAGAATTGTTCAGGGTTGATGGGTGTTCTCCTGTTCATTTTTTCTTTTAAGTGCCAGAGAATTGGAGCTCGAGGACCGTCAGAGTCGACTGCAGCAGGAACTAAGGGAGCGAATGGCTGTGGATGGTAAGTTTGTGGATCATTCATTGCCCAGTCCTCAACACTGAGTTCCCCCCTCATGTAAATATGATAATCACCTCTTTGTATGAAGAGATTGTTGTGTGCGAAACAGCCACTGTATTCATGTGGATTATTGACATTGGATGGATGTTTCAACATTATAGTTCAATATTATTATTTCTTGCAGATGCATGATTTATATCAATGCTTGATAAAATTTGTATTTTTTAAAATCGATTTGTGTCGGCAACATAAGTTGTATGCCTCCTATTTAGCTGGATATGTACATTTGTGCAAAAATAATGTAGGCAACATTACTTCTGTTTACATTTGATAAATTTATGTAGTTACGCAGGGGTAACGTACCCCTCCTTGTAATACCATGAAAATAAAAGCTGTAATTCAATGAACAAAAGAGTGAAAGGAGGACAAAACTGCCCACTCTAAGCTATTTCTGCTGTTGTATCTGGTAATGCATGTGGAATACTTTCACTGGGGAAATTGTGGTTATTGAGAAACTTAGCCCCTGTGGGGGCAACACTCTCCCCCGAGTAGCATACATTGTGGGTGTCTATGACCCCACATTGTTAATTATATTTGTCAATGCAGATTATTTATGGTCGGCCAATGCGCCTTTTCCATTTTCTCTGATTGCTCATTTGCCTTTCTCTTTTGCAGACCACCTCAAGACTGAGAAAGAGCTTGCACAGGAAAAGCAGATATTAAATGAGATGCTAGATGTGGTGGAGCAGCGTGATGCCCTGGTAGCACTACTGGAGGAGCAGCGGCTTCGAGAGAAAGAGGAAGACAAGGACCTGGAGGGTGTAATGCTCTCTAAAGGCTTCAACCTTAATTGGGTTTAACAAGAGTGAACTAATTGCTCCAAGTTGAAATGAGCCTGGGGGTCTGAGCATTTTTTGATCAGCGTCGTGCAGCAAACATGGGAAAAAAGGCAGTTCCGTCTGAGTCTGTCACACCTGCAGCAGTGAATGTGTAAAGATTCCCAACGAACACACACATGCGCACACTTGGCTGCTATTAAGACTGGTGGAAGCAGCGCAGCGTTTACACATCCTCAGCCCACAGGCAGTTCTAGTTAATCACTTTTCAGGTTTGTACTGTCACTTTGGGTAGAAAGACATTTGCAATTTATCATTGCAGCCTTGATGTGCTGGCACCTTTGGGAGCATGTTTAAAGACTTGTTCAATCCAGAAAAATCGAAAGGGAATATTGCAATCTGGCCCTGCTGATGTAAAGGAAGTGTAAAAAATAATGTGTTCTGTAAATACGTTGTGTAGATGCAGTAACATATTACTGTAGATCAAGATCCTCCTCCTGCCTTTAGCAAGAACAGAAAAGGAAGGCTTCTAAAGCTGCCTTCCTCCCCACTGACACGCTGACTTTTTCCAAAGGAGCCACAGATGTTTCTCTCCTTTTGACGTTGTGTTTTGTGGGTCCACACTAAGAGTCCTTCAAATATGGTCTCTAATATACTTTTAAACATTTTGGTGCAAGAGATTGATGAGTGTATTAGTTGTTGACTGAAAACTAATATCAAAGCTTTATTGAGTGTCCGTATGCATGTGCTCACACACAGACTGATTCCCGGCAGGGGAGCTTCATTCGACTGCCGGGCAACAAATGTGCTTAGAAGCTGCCCGGTGTTCACATTCCATCTGTAGAAAGCCTTCAACAAACGGTGACATATACAATGAGAGAACCCATCGTAACGGCTCACTTGGGAGGGAATGCATCGATGGTAAACCGTGGGCCAAAACAGCGTGGCCTTTGAGCCTCTGGGACTCACCCACAGCTAAGAAAACTTAGGCTTCAATGCCCTGAAAAAAAGTTCCCACAAATCCCATTCTACGCCACGTTCTGGGCAAACTGGACCGCAGTCGGGAACATAGTGTAAACATAGCCTAATCAGTGAAAACTGCAGCCATGATGAGTATTTTTTATTTTGTTTGACACACTACAGACATAAGACCATTTGTCACTTTTTTAGGTACACAATAGAAGAGCATACTAATTCACCATCCTCTTGCCTTTTCTTTTCTGTCTGCTGTTTATTGTCCCTGAAAAGCAAAATTAGTTTGGTTCATTCAAGCCACTCTAGAGAGGGTGGGGCAGTTGAAACTGGAGCGAACTCAAAAACAAGGGAGTCCATGCAAAACAAAAAAATAAATCCCGATAAAATGCAATATTGTATGGGGAGTTTTAAACACATCGTTGAAGTTGGCACATTCACATCGCTGGGAGTCCACACTTAACATCGGGTGAGTGTGAGACATTCACCTGTAGTTTTCTTGTCCCAAGGGAATTTGGAATATGTTCAAAATTGCAAAAGAAAAAACACCAAAACTGTTGGCGAACGTTTGGGTGGCTAATTTGTGACCTTGTACAAACCCTGATGTGAACGCGCATTTTGATTTTGCTACCTTCTCCACGAATCACAAGTGTTTGCGGCTCAGTGGGGTAGGGCCTTTATGTAACAAGGAAACCAATTGGTTATTCATTACTAAGTAAATGTATGAAGTAAAAACATAGTTTATCTGAATCCACAATTATTCTACAGGATTTTCAGTAGGACACTCGAATGCTCCTCAACCTCCATGTTATATTTTAGCTATTTTATTGTTTAATAAAACCCTTGTCCCTGGGATTATCCTACAAAAAATACTACTCCTCAAATTTACGAAGTTGCGCCTCAAATGATTTGCAAAATATTCTCTCTAGTGGCACTGTAGTAAAACTGTTTTTCTCCCACGGTCCAAAATGATTTTGTGATTTTACAAGTAATCAGTCCAGGGTGTCCAGCCAGCTGGGATAGGCTTTCGTTTCGCCAGTGACCTTGAAAAAGTTAAGAACTGCATACAAAATAAATGAAAGGATGATTTCAGGGATATTATGTTGTTTTACCTGTAAATTTGTTCATACGTACCTTATAAAATATCATGGGAAAACACATAAGCATTTGATGTGATCAACAGCGAAGGCCCCAGTTCTTGATATGAAATTTACTGTATATCACAATGATAGCTAATGTTTACAAATACTCGTCCATATCATGTCTTGTATTTTCTGTCTCCTAATATAACCGTACAAGTGAGGAGATTCACACACTAAAGCAAGTGGCAGTGTTCAAACATACAGATGCCTTTTTTTTTTTCGTTCCGTAGCCTAGGTTTGTGTTTCAGTGGATGGTTTTTGTTTTTGTTTTTTTTTTGGGGGGGGTCTGTACAAAAATATTTATATATTTTGTTTGAGGTTCTGGAGTGATGCAAATTGGATCACTGACAGGTTTTGGTCATTGGTTTACAGCACATAGCGTACACGTTATATCTATGTACTATAAGTTGAAAGAGTTACACAATTCTTTGTGTGTAGATTGTCAGTGTGATAAGTGTGACATGATTGTACTGATATTTATTAATGTGTGAACATTGTATTATATGTAAAGAATAAGAATTCAGATTTGTAAACTTCTGTTGACACGACTTATGTAAATGCTTTGTGTAGCTGCCTCTGTGTATTGGATGTATGCTGCAAACAGCAATAAAACAATGATTTCTTTTTCACGAAATGGTCGCTTTTGTGGTTTGGACATTACAGGAAAACATTCAGAGAAATTGACATTTTGCCATTCTGTGGACAGATTATTCTGTTTAAGGGCTGGAGGCAGTTTAAGTAATCTGATTTGTGAGGTTTATGACTATACGAAGTTTGACCATGCATTTGCCCTCTGATCTGTCGGTAAACTTCAAAGTGTTAAGGACTTTACCGTTTGAAGATGTGAATTTTATTTATCATAAAATAGAACTATTGTCGTGTGGAATTGGCACTGATTGCTAAAATATGCCAAATACTTTGCATGTAAAATCAAATGGGTTTATTTGCTAGGATGTTGCTGCAATAATATCCAGATGTAAATTTGGCATGTAACTGCTGGATGGTATTATTTTTGCAGGAGACGAACATTTAATCTCCATCAATAAACCCTATTGGAGTTTTTAATCTATCCTTGTGAAAAAATGTTTTGAATTTGCCACATCTAGAGGGAGGTTATTTTAACACAATTGAGCAAAAATAATGGATAAGTGAATGTAAGCTCACTAGGTACAGTATATCAAAACGCTGCATTTTCTTTTCTTCGTGTTTATAGTCGCTTTTCATAGTTTTGTATCTTTTGAAAGCATCGACAAAGCTTTATTATAGATTCCTGTCAGTGCAGGAGTACCTAATGTAGTGTCCTGTGGGTGGTTCTTTTGCGCTTTTTATTTGTGCACTTAGATTGAAAGGTTGGACTTCCGCAAAGGTTTCCGCTGCGTGTCATTTTAACCTAACTTGACTCAGTGAAAAGTAGCGAAGGAGTCAAAGTTTGCGGTCTGTAGTTATACTTTGCATCCATACAGTAACCTCAAAATGGATCCTTTGAGCTTCAGGGACTGTGCGGTAAGTCTTGCATAAGCCGTCATTTTCGAACGAGTCGAAAAACGTTTGGTGGTTTTTTTCGCGGGTGGTAGAATTCATACCAAACGTGGCGTACGCTGCGAGCCGAGTGTTAGTTTTGTGGCACCCTATTCCATCGGCAAATTACATGTATTGCACATTAATGTATTGAATAGTGTAGTTCTTTTTTTAACATATTTAATTTCTAACGTCAACAAATTTAAATGTCAATATCAATTAAGTCTGAAATAATGTATATAGCTTAAATTATAAAAATGACTAACCTAAAAGATGCACGAGTTCTACTACGCATGCATAAAATAAAAATGTTTCGTCTGTGTAGAAAGTTTCAACTACAAAACACCAGCATTAGCAGACAGAGCATTCAAAGGGAATTCCCGTGATTATATCTATAATTTTTTTGAGACACATATCAAAAAAGTGCTGACTCTAAACATTCTGTGAAAAACAATTTGACCTCTTTTATTATTGCTAGGGCTGAATACATTTTCACTGACCCCAACCAAGGCTGATTACCTCCAGACCCGCTGAATCAAGAAATCACTACTATCTGACAAAGTGAAGGTAGCCAAAAGATATTAAAAAGCAGTTAACAAAATGCCACAGCACCCGCCCAAAAAATCAAGACAGATGAAGAATAAACTAATTCATCTATCAGTCATTAAAATGATACAATGCCATTCCTAAGACTTTTGAACTCCATTATCCACAAATGGAGTAAACATGGATCAGTGGTGAACCTTCGCAGGAGTGGGCGCCCCTCTTGCAGAAATTACCCCAAGAGCACAGCTATGGCTCATTCAAGATGTCACAAGTGAACATCTAATGAGCTGCAGGCTTTCCTTGCCTCAGTTAAAGGAACACTCCAGAGAGAATAGCCTTTTCTTCCACTCAAAACTCTCCATGTATTTTTTGATCATGAAATTATTTGTTTTTATGTTATTATTTGTTTAGTTGAAATCAGTAAGTAACTACTGTACTCTCAAAATGCCCCTATTTCCTCTGCAATATGGCAACGACTACTGCCTCTTTCAGTATCCTGGTAGGAGTCAGCGGAGGAAACGGACACAATGTGTCCATTCAAAAGCATTGCACATACATCGCTAGTGTTGAAAAACGCTGATCAATCGGCAGTAAAACATATGTAAACATCTCTACTTATGCCCACTTTGCTGACTTAAACATCGTGAAACAATTCTTAGTTTTTCTGGAGCGTCGGGGGACTTTTATAGCTCCTCTTTACATATAGACCTATTACATAACTGCCAATTTGTAGTGCGCACCTCTCAAAAAAGACAATTCAATAAGTGACTCGATACATTGGGTGTGATACGATTCACGCTTGATTTAATTGAGTTTGGTTGAATCAAAACTAATTTTCCGATTCAGATCATTTTTTGTGTGCACACCTGGAATATATGCAAAAAAAAAAAAAATTCTGCATGTATGAATGGCTAAATGAATGGAGTTAACGATGTACACTTTGTATTGCAGGATGTCCTTTATGCCTAGGCATTGTCTTATGGGTGGTTCTGCCATTGTGAATTTTATTAAAAACATAATCCGTGGACACAAACTTAATCATTTTGGGATGTCTCTGTAAGAAACATCAGAGCATACTTGTGGCCAGGCCTTTATTTGGTGTTATAATTTTTAGCAGTATTATTTAACCATTGCTTTCCATTAGCATCTATGTTAGCTTTTCAGTTTTAGTAGTTAATTGTCATGATTATCTTCAATATTATTACAGCGCATTGAAGGTGTACAGTAGATATATTTTTTTGCTCCCCTGCTATGGCCTCGGCGGGTACCCTGAGCCTTTTGTCTATATTGCCTAATGGGTTATCCGGCATTGACACTGAGACTTGAAAATAAGATGATACTAAATCTGATGAAGTGGTCAACACTAGTGATTTGCAGGGCAAACATGAATTCCGAACGGCTTCGTCATTACAGTATGTCCCGTGTTTAAAAGTTGCACTTTGGTACATTTTATTGATTGAGCAGAACTGACTAGACACTTTTTCCCACCCAGGCTTGGAGGGCTGAGGGTCTTCCATTCTCCACCAGCAGTAATGAGGCGTGCAAACTTTATGATGCTATTCTCACTCAGGTAGATAATTTACACACAGATAATGTACAACGATTGAAGTGAACTCATTTTCACACTTTGGTAGGAAAGGTGAGAAAATTGCTGCGTTGTTTTCATTGTGTCAATTTTGTTTTCTCCTTAGTATGTGAAATGGCGCAACATTGACAGTATCGGAGGAATTGAGGGATGCATTACTCGTATCAAGGAGGCTGATCCGGATTTTGGTAGGCTAACCAGATGAATTTCATGAAAATATTGAAACGGACATCTTGATCAAATATTTGCTGTGTTGCGTGAAGAATTTCAAAAGGGAGGATAGAAAAACTAACATTTATGAATATCAATAAGGCCCAATTTTCATTGAAAGGCGCCCGTGCGGTCAGAGTAAAAACGAGTGTGCCTTCATTTTCCTGCAGAGGCAAGTCTAGTTGACCGTGTTTGGGCTCACGTTGCATCTCATCGGGCGTTTCGGCGCCCGGCGCGCTTGACAGTTTTGGTCACAGAAAGTAAACAGCTCTTAAAAATGGGCGCATCTTCATTTACATTGAGGGGCAGGTCTAGTTTAGCTGCCTGTCGCTAGGCATTTTAAAAGCACCCCCACAGCACACAGCAAAACTTTTGGGAGTTCGTCACATGTGGGGCGACTCCATCATTCGCGAGGGCGGATCTTGCAGCTTGCCTGGATACTGCGACAATTTTGCGTGCGCGGCAATCTCATCTGTCAGACCCGAGCAAGTCAATTTCTGCTTTCGCAATTTCAAGTATGTGTGCCCTTCCACCACTGCGATTTTAATTGGAATGATGGAAGGGAGCTGGTTCCATTGGCCGGGTGTCTGCTGCGTTCCATCCCTCAACGGTGCATACGCCCCCTAAAGCCTAGTTCTCCCTGTGCAAAGTCTGGAAAAATACCAGAGGAATAAAAACCCCACCCATGCGCACAGTTAGACAAGACTGCGCGAGAGTTAAAAATAAATAAATAAATAAAAAATTGGAGGAAAAAAATTGTACGTATGAGTGCGAGGTGGTGACAGCAAACTCAACTCACCTCACAACAAGAAGCAGTTTGGAAGAACAAAATGGCCTCTGCTGTTTTGTTGCAACTCCAAGTTTACAGTCAAAACTAAACAGATAATTTTTTGGGTGTGTATTTTGGTAAGCCTAACAGCATAAACCTCATCGTTTTTTTTTTTTTTTTTATTGACGCAGCATCAATAAAAAATACCAAGCTAATAATCCATAGAGCTTGAATCAATGCAATTGACCTCTTGTTTGTTGAATTTGTTGTCTTTTGGTGCTTTGGCTGCCTCTCAAAGTTGGCTCTTTGGAACTTCGGCCAGTTTCCCTGCCAATCATTGGCAGACAAACTCGATGTGAGACTGATGATGACTGACTTGCAGAGTGGTTTGCTCACAGGCACATAGCGTGGAAAGAGTATATTTGGCGTTCCAAGTATTTTCAACCATGGCCACTGGTTCAAGCCTCTAGGGCAGGGGTCCCCAACCGCCGGTCCGCCGACCGGTACCGGGCCGCAGGGCATTTGGTACCGGGCCGCACAGTAAAAGTACGTTCGAAACAACTGGATCAAAGTTATGACTGAATACTGTGAGATCGCCACAATAGCACTGTTGCTATTTCCGACATCCTACCTGTGTGAGGTGGGGAGTTTCTGCAGCAACAGCGACTTAAACAAAATTACGAAGTAGACTGGACGTAAACCACACACTTGAGGTGTCATTGTCTCCTATTACCCCGAGATGGGACTGTCTAATTTCAGAAAATCAAGCTCGGGGCTGTGGTGAGTCGTCATTTTCATGCACTTTGAATTTGCGTTGTATCGTATTTTGAAGGCATTAAACATTACCAGAGCGATAAGAGTGTTGCGACCAGATTAGACGCTCCTTTTGTTTATTATTATATTTCGAAAACACCACAGTTTTCATGCAGCTCATACCATATTATTTTGTTGTATTAATCCGTCACACCTTAAATGCTGGTCCCTGAAAATATTGTCTGACTTAAACCGGTCCGTGGGGCAAAAAAGGTTGGGGACCCCTGCTCTAGAGACCTTAAGTTAGAAAGCCTGGACATTAACAAGTGACATTGACTGGACCCAATTGGCACCAAGTCCCTTTGCGACAAACAATCAGCTTCTCGAGGATGTCCAAATGAGCCATGTCACTTGTATCAATGGTGAACACCAATTAAACACTCAGGTACCTGGAACACTTCAATGAAGCAGAACAAAAAGGCAACCATTGCTGGGAGTGGATGGATGATGCAATGCATGCTCCCTGAACTGGCCTGAGGTCATTGTTAAAACTTACATGAGCCGAATATGAATGCATACTTGTAAAAGCTTGTTTGAACTACATAAATATTAAAATAGTGGGTGACCTCATTGCTGTCTTGTTGAAATGTCTCTCTGCTTTTTCAGAGTTAGACTTCATTAAAATGTGTGGTTTGGTTTTGTTTGGAACATTAATGTTTATTAATCTAGGAATTGTTTGAATATTACAAGAAAGCAAATTTGTGTGAGCTCTAATGAGAATAAATGCATACGATACAGAAAACACCAGAAGTAAGAATTTCGAGAGACCTAGTTTCAACAATAAAGCGGTTTAAAGCCTTCAGTTTGCAGTGAAAAAGTCCAATAAGCAATGAATGATATGAATTCTCCTGGCAGTGATGGGCCATGTGATGAGCACGGGCTTAGAGTTGCTGGGAACAGCGACCACCCCCCGCCTGAACCAACGTCTGGCCAGCGCTGTGAAGAAAACGGTGGAGCTGGCCGGCAGTCAAAACCTCACCCCGAGAGAGAAGCTCCACGTCAAGGGCTTGGAGTTGTTGTCACATGGGTGAGCTTTCGAGAAGTCAGGAGATGAGGATCAGGCTGGCAGTTTGGGGATTTAGGAATGCCGTATGTTGCCAAAAATGTGTTGTGGTAAAATTACACAATAGAAAAAAAACCACACACAATAGAATGGAACTGCCAAGTCTGAACTAGGTTCAATATACTCACACAATATAAAGTCAGTAAGGTTTTATTATACAGTCATACCTCAGTTTTCGACCTGAATCAGAATCGCCTTTATTGTCATTGTATAGCATACAACGAAATTTGGGTGCCACACCTTAGTGCGTTTCGGAAAAAAAAAAAAAATAGAATAATCCATTCCAGAAGGCTGTTCGAAAATCGAAACCATGCTCTTAAAAGAAAAAAAAAAATCTATTGAACACGTCTGATCACAATTGAACGCTACACGAGGAAGTGTCACTTCCTCGTGTAAGGAAGGCGAGAGTAGTCAAGTGGCGCATTCAAGTGCGCTCAGTTTGGTTGAGAACCGATTTTCGGTCGTAATCTGAGGCATGAAAAACTCAATTTTTGAGCAAAAAACGATTTGGTCGAGAACAGACATGTTCGAAAACCGAGGTTTGACTGTACATCAATACAGTATTAACAATTCGTTCTACGTTTGTCCCCAAAAAAAATAGCACTGTTGCGTGCCATTGTAATGACTCATGTTTCTTGTAGGAATTTACCCAGAGCCAGTGATGTTTGGGAAGACATCCTGGTTGATCATCCCACAGACTTACTCGCCCTCAAGTTTGCCCATGATAGCTATTTCTATATGGGAGCTCAAACCCAGATAAGGGATTCGGTTGCTCGAGTACTGCCCCATTGGAAGCCTCATACCCCTTTGTCCAGGTACGGTACATTACGTGCATTCGAAATTGCATTTCCAACTCGTTGCCAAGACAAATGGCGTACCTCATTAGGAAGAACTCTTAGGAATGGGTGACTCCAAGCGATTTGAACTCAACACATAGCCTCATCATCTGCCACGTTCATTGGCGTTCTTAAGCTTTCATGACATTCACAGGATTCTGTTTGTGAAATTTCACCTATGTTCTCATTGCCCAAGCAGTATTTATTTTGAATCTGCAAAAGTTGAAAAGACACAGCGAGACTCTTCTGCATTTTCAAAGATATGACATAAGATGGCTAAGGAAGGATCAGAATGTATTGTCTTGTACTAATAATATGTACTGTTTTAGGGGGACTTCTCTGCTGTTGGGCATATTTTGATGTTTTCTCTATTGACTTTGTCCATGCAAGAAACCCTTTAATTTTGATGCTATAGTCAATCGTTGGCCGTCCATCACACGCAATTTGTCACCAATCCTAAACCTTTAAGGGGTCGTTTGTCTAGATCAACGCAAGAGCTCCAATGCATGACAGATGAGGTGGTTGAAGAGGAGCTCAAATAAGGCCTTGAAGGAGTTTCGTCAAATATTTCCCGATGTTAAAACCATCAGGAATTATTTGCCCATATTAAAGCAATAAAAAAAAAAAAACTAAATAAATAAAATTATGGTTACTCCTCCCTCCTGATTTTCAGTCCGTAATAGTCAACCTATTACACGTTTCTTGTTCTCAACCATCTCCTTTCTTCATGCTGCTCATCAGTGATGGCTTTGTGAAACAAGACAATTTTGTTGATTGGAAGACTTTCCTGCTGGTTTTAGATTCAGTGGAAATGTGACACGAGGAGTTGGTTATTGATCACAAATGAGTCTTACAGCCTAGGGAAGTGCTACATGTGTCTAATGGCCAAACGGGTTTTTTGTAAGAGAACATGAGAATCTTTTACCTTTTAAAGTTGGAATAGGAGGTTATCTGAGGCAGAGGGAAAAAAAAGGTGTGGTAATGGCCTTCAGCAAGTGTATTTGAACAAACCTCTTGTTAACAGCCATAAGCCCGGAGGATGTCAGGCTATGACAATAAGTCGATACCTGTTTTTCCAACTCCTGTGGTTTTCAACCAAGGAACATCATTTGAATTGCACGGCCGTACACGCAACCTCAAATTGCCACTGGTATACTTAGTCCACCTTTACCCAACAAATGGGCACGTGCAGATATTTTGTTCATAGAGTGCATTCTAGTGAGGCTCAGTGTTGACTGATTTCAAATTAGTCATTCATTCTCTGCTGTCATGATCTTCATCTTGGAAAATCAAATAATGGAATGATAAATGGAACTTTTCTATTCATTTATATTTTCAGCTATCTGAAAGGATTGTATTCTTTTGGTCTGCTGGAGACGCACTTCTATGACCAGGCTGAGAAAGTAGGGATGGAGGTGAGACGGTCTTCCTGGTTTCTTGTGTGATTTAGCTCATTCATGATGCAGGCTGCGTCTTTGTTGAGTGTGCCGCTTTGATTCACAATTAATATATATTTGATGTCCATTAATGAGCCGCTCATCCTGGCCCCGGGAGTCACATTCGACTCTTTGAAATAATGCACAGCAAGTACAGTTGAAGATTGAAGGTTGTTCCAAGATGCTGGTTGAGCAAACTGATTGAAGAACAAAAAAAAAAAAATTCACATCAAATTGTTGCAAAAGCAATTTTAACGCTATTATCATGTTTAACTTCGCTAAATATGTATAACTAGTGGTAAATCAACCACTGTTTAAGAAATACAAAAATATTAATACCGGTAGTCTTATGCAGGGGTCGCCAATTTGGTGCCCAGGGGGATGAATTAATAGCCCCCAATCACCACATTAGCCCAGAGATCAGTTTTACAAATACTGTAGCTCACCAATGATGGGACATTGTGATTACCTAGGAATGGTGTAGTTATCCATCCATTTTCTGTACCACTTGAAAATTTCGAAATGGAAATACGTGTAGATATTTATAGAAACCAAGTGCTGCATGACGATATTTATATCTTTCATACCTTGATAAATCGTTGTTGATCATATTGTGAGAAATCATTAACCTGAGCGCTGACTTGACAAAGATTGATAACATTCATTCTTTGGAATGGTCCCAAGTCGATCATGGTGTGGTGTAGAGGGAAAAAAAACCCACACACACAAACTCTTGTATCTACTTTATTTTCCTATGTCGTTCATGTTAGGGGCTGTTATGGCTAGCTATTGCTCATCATTGTGTGTGTGTGTGTGTGTGTGTGTGTGTGTGCGCGCGCGCGTTAATGGTCGATCGCGAAGGTTCGTTGGCTTGAAAAGTAGATCTTCGGTCAAAAAAGGTTGGGCGCCCCATCTATGATTATGGAACTTCATTTGTAAGGAGAGAAGGGGGTCATTTTTTTCTTGAAATTTTTCAACAACATTTCATCTCTCAACTTTCTACTGTCGTTGTAAAACACAATACATTAGATCAGTGGTTGAATCAGTCTCAGGGGTTCGACAGAGCCTCTGCCATGGAGATTAAGACACACCCAACTCAACATGTCAATTAGTTATGATACGCCCGCTTGGCCATCACTGGCTGGTTCATTTTGTGCACAGTTAAGAAAAAAATATACTTCATACTACAATTAATTGTGTTTACTTTTTTTCATCAGTTTTTAATAAATGTGTTTTTTATATCTTGAATTTGTAAAAAAAAAAAAATCATATTTTTATTTTACATTAATGAAGGGTTCGATGAATGTGCATATGATTGGTTGGGTTCAGTACCTCTAACAAGGTTAAGAACCACTGCATTAGATGCATTATCATCTATTCCAGATGAATGCAAGGCATCTGCGTTTCTCAGCCATTGTTATTTTCTTCACGTGAAGGCCCTTGCACTGGTTCCTGATGACGCATGGTCCGTCCACTCTGTCGCCCATGTCTATGAGATGACAGCGGAGGTGGACAAAGGCTTGAAGTTCATGGAAGCGAGGGAGAAAGACTGGCAGGTATAAACAGTGACTTCCTAGGCAACGTGTTCCTCTGATGAATCATGTTCGAGTAAGCTTGAACAGTTCTGCTCTCATCGGAATCTATTGAATGAAACAGCCTTGGGAAATGTTCTCTTCAATAAGTGTTGTGTCATTGCAGGTATCCGATATGCTAGCCACTCACAACTACTGGCACTGGGCGCTGTACTTCATTGAGAAGGTAAAGATTAATGTATAATGAGTCTTCTCAGTCGAGCGCAAAGTTGGCAGCCAAGTCGTTTTTGGAACTTGTATTTGTGACGATTTCTCCGGGGTAATTTAAAGTGCACAGTTGATTATATTGCGAGATTAATTTGTGTTTGCATCTGTGCTGTGCAGTCTTACCAAGCAAGCATATCTCAAGTCTGACGTTATTTCATGCTGTCGTTGTCACCTCGCTCTCCACAGGGACAATATGAGGCTGCACTGCAAATATTCGATTCTCAGGTAAGTTATATCCATTGCATTCTTAAGCGGATGTGCTGTGAGAATGCACACTCATACTGATTGCATATGCCAGTATACTGGATGATAATTTTGCACCCTCACTTGGGATAAGTTAAATAACCAAGATATATTAGAAACGACTCTCAGTATCAGGTAGGGAAGTTCTCCTCTAAATCATAATTCTATTGCCACAGTAATACCTCTCTGACAGTGTCAATCAATACTTTTTTTTTTTGCATTGCTGTGTAAGGCATGGATTGCTGGGTCATTCCAGAATTGGAGGAAGTTTTACATCCCACCCATCAAATTTTAAATAATCTACATACAAAACACTAAAACAAGCAGTTTCTGAGTAAATGTACTTGTCCTAAAACCAAATCTAAAAAACTAAAAGAAAAGAATGCTTGAAAATAGTTTTAAAAATATCAAAGGGTTATGTCGTACCCCCTGAAATGCCATTTTTCTCTTGTCACCCCCCATGACCAAATTCAATCTCAAACAGAAGAGTCACCATATTTAATTTTTTTTTTTTTAATATTATTTGTTTCATTGCTCTCTCTTGTAACCGTGGGAATATTTGTTTTAATAAACATAGTATCTTTATTTTTATTATTCATGGAGTGTGTGTCCCACAACATGCATGCAACACTGCTACCATAACATTTTAGCATGGTAGAAGAAGAGAAAAGCAGTGAATCACATGATACGCATGACTTAATCATCAAACAGTTTTCCAAAAGAATGGATAGAGGAAAGGCATGTCCTCTCTTCTATTTTTCACATTTTTTATAAAATAGTTAGCCTTGATTGAATGCTTCCTTCTAACCCTGTTATGCATATGATCAGAATAAGACCATTAAAAAATATATATATTTCTTTACGTATTTACATAATTAAGTTTGTTCTCTTGGTCAGCAGTAACAGCTAGCTAAAAACCTAGCTTCTACTCCTGAGTAAAAGCTAACATCTGTCCGGATTTGTAACGCTGTTACGGTGATTACAGTGATGGGTAACACCAAATAAAACATGTACCGGTAATAAAAATTGTACCATTGATCCAAGCTGAACTAATCAAGCCTTTGATAGATTATTGCCTATTATTGATGAATACGTCGCATGAATTCAGAAAAGTGAAGCTTTATTTTTTTCAAACATTTAGAAGCCAACATGTCCTCCAATTCTGGAATAACCCAAGTGTTTTGTAAGTGCTGGCAAGAAGTAAGGGATTGAAAAACAGCACTGATTTGCCGATCCAATTTGTAGCCCAAGTTCGAGACGGTTGGCTTTTGATAAGACGCAAGGGGGACCAGATCAACAGGGTGGGATATGCAATGGCCACTGGGACCAAACACCATCACATGTGTTGACTTTTCAAAGAAATCAAGAAAATCCAATGCCACACTTTGATTTCCTCTAGACAGGACAAAAGTGGTCAGCATCCTTTTTGCTTATCGGGACACAGATCTGACTGTCATCCACATATCATCTACCCAGGATGATGATTATTTCATGCCAACATTCAAAATATAGAGGATACATATGCATACATGGCAATTTTCCGCGGATCCGCGGAAATCCACCGTTTTATTTCTTAAATTGATCATTTTTGTGAATCGTCTAAATCCGTTGAGAAAATTTTAGGGGCGGTCAGGTACCTTATCGTCGAGTTTTCACGAGCTCTCCCGAACAGTCTCTCCGTTTTCCGTTTGTAAACAGCCCTGCGATTGGACGTGTATGAAAGCTTCAACTAATCAGATCACTGAAGGCATTATTTGTTGCGGAAGTCTTAGCTCGATTATAAACGGCCCAGCGATTGGTTAACTACAAGCGATTGGACCAATCAAATTGCATGTAACATATTGTTTTACCTGATTCATGGCGGCCTGTTCGTCTCGCAAATTCATTGTTCTGGGATCGTTTTGAGCGGAATTATGAAATTTTTGACGAAAGATCAGGAGTCTTTAATCCTAGAAATTGACTCAAATGTCAAGAATAAATTCCGATTGGACTGGCTTGACACAAAAGTCACTGTAAAGGTTATTAAAATTGGTTCCAAGTTCGACGTTACAAAAGCTCTTGGGCAATTTTTGAAGAAACCAGACGTAGCAGGCAAAGCTTATTGTGTGTATTGTAGTGACTTAATTAACTATGGCTCCCGTGGAGCAACGAAATCTGCTCCACTGATGCCCTTCGCCGATAGACAGGTACACTCCGAGGTATATACTTTTTTATTCAAATATACGAGGATGATATTTTCAATTTTATTTGGTATGCATTTGTAGCAACAGCATGATAACATTTATTTGTTTTTATTTGCGTTTTATATTCATATTGATAATTCACGTTTTGTCTTGGATAAGAAAGCACGGTTATGCATAATAAATTGTATGCATAATAAATATTCACTATCACTGTATGAGGTAAGAATCAACAGCTTTTTATCACATTTACACAACACTTTATGAATACAAGTCATGAACAAATCTTAAATATGGCAGGGAATGTGTTTACTTTTTTAGTTTTGATTTTGAGCAGCAAATTTGGAGTTACATATTGGTGCTCACTTTGCCGATCCAATTTGTAGCCCAAGTTCGAGACGGTTGGCTTTTGATAAGACGCAAGGGGGACCAGATCAACAGGGTGGGATATGCAATGGCCACTGGGACCAAACACCATCACATGTGTTGACTTTTCAAAGAAATCAAGAAAATCCAATGCCACACTTTGATTTCCTCTAGACAGGACAAAAGTGGTCAGCATCCTTTTTGCTTATCGGGACACAGATCTGACTGTCATCCACATATCATCTACCCAGGATGATGATTATTTCATGCCAACATTCAAAATATAGAGGATACATATGTCACACTGTTCTAAGTCCTGTCACTGAAAAAACAAGAACAAGAACGTGTCATGGCGTTACTTCATGTCACACTGTTCTAAGTCCTGTCACTGAAAGAACAAGAACAAGAACGTGTCATGGCGTTACTTCATGTTGCAATAGGTTTGAAAACAACAGCAGGTACTATGAGCTGACAGCCTGACACTCATGAATGCTTTAAGACTGACATAAGGGGATTCCAGCAAGAACCGCCAACTTCATCGTGTTGCTCCTTTTATGTAATTGTGTCAAATCTGTGCTGTGTTAGATATTTCTAGTAAAGGTGAACCCTCTCTCTGAAAGGTAATCAAACATTGTAAAACCAAGGGATCCATGTTGGACCTGGTCGACGCCAGCTCCCTCCTCAGCAGACTGGAGATGGAGGGTAAGAGACATGCCACTCGGTAATCAATATTCATTTCAAAAATTCATTTTTAAGAAATCCTCAAAATCATTCCATTGCAGAGTTTGAGTTTTTGCTGTCATAAATTTTTAATTCCGCTAAGTTCAGGTTATGATTAATATTTTAACACATCAGGTTGACAAGAGAGTAAAAGTTGTAAACGTCACATGTAAAACAATGAACTGGGGAACAAAACTTTGCACACGTTTCATGACCATTTTCCTCTTTGCATGACATGAAAAAAAACGTAATTCAAAGTCAAACAAGTTTGATATGCGGATACCAAGCCGCCTTGTCATTTCTCTGACTGTTTTTGTTTGACTCTTCGAGAATATTTTCCTTGAAATTTAATGTCAAGTTCCGACTTGTTGCACCACCAGCAGCGTATGAGCTCAGGTTTACTCGATATCAGCATATGATTATATTTCAGTATGTTCTACAAAGTACTATCTTTCATTGCAAATCTTTTGTGTTCTATGTTGAAAGCCCAACCATTTTCAACAAAGTACATATAGCTGTACTGCTGGTTCCCATATGTGAATGCAAACACTAACAACTATCAATATTATTTTGAGCGACTTGGAGAAATAACATTTCTTAAAAAATTCTAAATGGTTCCTTGCTTTATATATGTACAAGTGCGCCATGGTCAAACTGCATTTCATACATAGTTGTGACTGACATGAAATTTTAAGATACAAGCTGTTATTTTATCAATTTTTGCTTTAACTTGCAAGCACTAACTTTAGATACAAGTGTTGTATGGTGGCAATGTCAGGTAGGATTAATAGGCATGTGTGTTAATGAATTTCTTTGAAAAGGACACATACCACAAATGTACATATGGCTATTTGTCTGACTTGGTCTGCTATAGTGGCCGAAAATAAATAGTTATTTTTACATCTTTGAAAGTAACAATTCTAGTATATAAATTTACTAGCGTTCCATGATCACCTAGTTGCATGTTAAATCTTGAAATACTATATTTTCCACACTATAAGGCGCTCCGGAGTATAAGGCACACCTTCAATGGATGCTGTATTTTAAAATTGTTTTCATAAATAGGGCGCACCGCATTATAAAGCGCATAGAATAGAAGCTGAAATGGTGGCTGCAGTTGCACTATGCATTCCCTAGATGGAGCTACACTATAAAGGGAATACAATCGATCTTCATTTATCTAGCGCTTTCACAACCGCTGCAGCTGTAACAAAGCGCTTTACAGAACATTTAAAATATCATGTCCAATAAATGGGCGGACCCGGGCCTGTGTGGGTTTTCTCCGGGTACTCCGGTTTCCTCCCACATTGTAAAAACATGCATGGCAGGCTGATTGAACACTCTAGTCTAAATAGTCCCTAGGTGTGAGTGTGAGCGCGGATGGTTGTGTGCCCTGCGATTTGCTGGCAACCGGTTCAGGGTGTCCCCCGCCTACTGCCAGAAGACAGCTGGGATAGGCTCCAGCACCCCCACGACCCTTGTGAGGATAAAGCGGATCGGAAATGGATGGATGGATGGATGTCCAATAATTCAAAATATTGATCTACAGTATCGTCACACTGTCAACTTTTGCTAAAATTGAATGCTTTTAGGTGCGCCTTATCGTGCGGAAAACATGGTAGTATCTTGAATTAAACTACTACGTTAGATATAGTAACACAGAGTGTTAGTTACGCAAAATGGCTGTTTATTGAGTACGCACGTTACCGGCATCACTGGCATTGACTAGATTACAGAAGCATAGAAAAACGTCCATTTTACAAATCTCCTGCATGTTCTCAGTGGCACTCCTTGTGGGTTTAGTTGCTTCAACAGCATCACGTTTTACACCTAATTGGTGTTCTGTTGAAGTTACCACATGGTCTGAGAGCTAAGTAGTCCTGGTACTTGCAGCTCGGTCAAAATTGTCATGTCAGAAATTGGACCACGTAGTACTTGAGAGCAGTGACACAGGCTTTATTCCAACAAGCAATATGAGCAACCAAAGAGCAACCCAAAACAACGACAACAGAATGTCTTCACAAGATACAGAGTTCCCACGAGTCCTTGAAGTTCATAAAAATCCATAAAAAAGAAGTTGTAAAATTATGTTCTTAATTGTCCTTAATTTTCAGGGAAAGCTTCTAAAATCAATTAAAAAAAAACTTAAAAATTAACCTGTGGTGTTCATGTCATTTTCCCCACCCTTCCAATTAATAGTTTTGTCGGAAAATGCGCCTGGCGCCCTTCCCCTCAAATTCCGCGGTCGGGCTACATGCCTTCCTGGTTCCCGCTCTGCTTTTCCCGCCGTCTCCGATCAGTTCCGATGATGATCACGTGATCACTTCGGGTCATTTTGGGCCAATTTGACATCCAGTATGTCAAATGAAGGGTTAGCTGATTGCCCCTAAAAATAAAGATGTGCCCTTCCTTTGGCAGCAATGATTTCAACACCAGCTCAGTGATATGTGGCTTTCTGTTCATTAAATCCACCGTGAATCCCCTGCTGAATGGAGAAAACGTCCTTAAAAAAATGGCTAAATTAGACCTCAAAGGTCTTTAAAAGGTCCATAAATAAAAATTAAGTGGAAGAGTGGGAACCCTGAAAAACAAAAACAAGTAGAATTACTCACTAGCAAAAGCTGGTGGACAGAGACCACAGAGGTACCGGCGAAGGAGAGTAAAACGCCATTTAGATTAACTACACAAACCTTTAGTTCTACTGGAACGATTACTTGAGTTGCAACAAGAACTATGTGTTTTGTTTTTTGTTTGTGTTTGCAATAACCTTGTTTGTTGATTTAGTTATTTGATTTTGTGATGTGCACGTCAGGGTCACGGTAGTCAAGGGACAAATTAAACTTTTATCTCCAGGCGCCACTGTATTTGCTTTCAGATGTCATGCAACCTGAATGAACAACATTTGCGTGCCTGTTAGGTGTGTTTGTGAAAGACCGCTACCGGGACCTGCTGCAGGTAGCGCTGCCTCACACCGATGACCACGTGACTCTATTTAATGACCTCCACATCCTCATGGTGTCCCTGGGAGCGAAAGAGACTGGCGCTTCGAAGCGTCTGCTGGAAGGCCTCCAGGAATTGGCTAAGTAATTTCCGCACCATTTTCTCTCTCCACCGCTTACCTCGACACCATCACCCTTACATAAGAACCACCAGGGGGGCCTTATGTAAAACTGAGACAGGAGCAATGTTGAGTGTAGGATGAAGGGCGTGTGCAGTCAGAATTGAGAGCAGCAGTCCAATTCACAAAGCAGAGTCCAGCAATTGCTTTTCCCTTGGGGTTTTGTGGTTATAATCTGTTTGGGCAGCCTGACCACAGACAGTCATTTCCCATTTTGTTCCCATTTTGTTCTGCAGAAAACCCACGAAAAGCTGCTCTATGACCACTTCTTGAAATTGTCTTGTCTTTCACTGTTATATAAGTCACAGGAGTTACTTCTGAGGGGGTTTGAGTGGGTGGCCGCTCTTGGAAGATTCAGAGTCAATTCCGAGGTGAGAGATGGATGCTCTCCACTGTGCTTTAGTCATCGAGCAGGATGTCAGGATATGATTTCAGCTTTGCATTTATGTAGTTATGCTACTATGCAATTTGACATAATCCGGAATTCGCAGTAACGCAGTGCTACGAGTCAGAGATTGTGATTTGGAAATATAATCTGAGAAAACCCCAAGAGATGGAGTCATCTTTGTGGAATCATGTGAGGTGAATGCCACAGTCTTTCAGAGCAGAATAACAATTCAAATCACATGATTTTGTGCTTCCAATAAGAAATGGAATGGAATGAAATAGAAATACTTTCCGAAATCCATTTATCCATCCATTTTCGGGTCGTGGGCGTTTCTGAAGCTTGTCCCAGTTGCTTTGGCCAGTAAGCGGGGGATACCCTGAACTGGTTACCAGCCAATCATAGGCCACACGTAGATGAACAGCCATTTGCGCTCACAATCATACTTAAAGAAAATCTTGAGTATTCCATTACCCTGCCATGCATGTTTTTGGAATGTCGGAGGAAACGGGAGTACCCGGAGAAAACCCACACAGGCAAAGGGAGAACATGCCAACTCCACAGTCGGCCACTGTCCATAATGTGCAATAAAAAGTATTTAATCAGGCTACACAATATCAAGAATGGTAATTAGAAATAATCCATTCCAGAGGCTTACCTTCTGCCACCATTAAACATTTAAATAGTTTTTGGAGAACAGCTAATAGTTATACAAGTTACTATTAATGACCATCAGAAAAAACAAACAACACAAAACAAACCAAAAAAAAAAACGTTTGGTTGGTGGTTGTAGGTTTTTTGTTTTGTTTGTTTTTTGAAAGCAAATTCTACTTTTTGTTATTGTTTTCAGTCTGTCTATGTTGGGCAGTCATTAATGTGTCACATTTTGGCACACTTGATACCATAACAGTATATTGTTGTATAATAGTAGAGAAAATCAGTTTGCTTTGTTGGGCTTCACGTTTGACAAATAAAACCAATATAAGCACCCCAAAAAATACGGACCCAAACTCTTCTGATTGGTGAAAACTGGAGTGTAGTGTTGCCTCTCCCACTGTAAAGAACATTAGTGTCAAGATCACAGGAAAATTGTACACGTTGTTTGTGTGGCAGCTAACACCCCCAGATTCAAAGTATAGCATCCTTTACGTGCAATGTGTTAGATTGCAAATCAAAGCGATTGAAATAGCAAAAATTGTGTTCGTTCTCTTTTGCCTCAAATAATTGATGCCACATGTCACGGGTTGTCAAGGAAAATGAGAAGATAATGATTATTATCGTCACTCCGTCAAATGCTCAAGATTCTTTTATGTGCAAGTAAGCTGAACATGTGTGTCACGTCACTTACTCATACTCTACCTAGCTGCTCACGGTAGAACAGAAGTGAAACAAATCTAAATGTCATTTGCCGTCAGGGTGAGTGAAAGGCAGCCGCAGCAATCATGATACACTTTCAAATCCACTCGTCAGACTCTTAAGATGGCTTCATTCTTTTCCTGCACTTTGCTCGACAGTAGCTACGTCTGTGGGCTTTGAATTTGTTCAGCGCTATGCTGCCAATGCTGCAACATATTGACTGTAAAATTCAAATGCCTCGCCTCAGGACTGTTACTGACCTTTGGCACAGGAACGTAGGTCGCTCATGAAAATGGGCTCGTAGATTATTTATCCAGCTGTCCGTGTGTTCAGCGACTCGGCAGCATTTTAAGAGTTTTAGCTATTACCAAGTTAGAAAAGTGTCAGATCTTACTTTAAGGCCATGTTGGCACTGGGTGGGAATTTTTTTTTTATTACTTGAGCCGTGCTGACTCTTGTGCTGTTCTCACTGGCTTTTGGAAAAGTGCTATTCTGTTCTGTGACATTTGGAAGTTTTCTGGTGCAAATGATCAATAAGCTCTTTCTCTTGGCAGGACACCGGGTGACAACTACCATCATAAGCTGGCTGAACCCATCGGGGTCCCCATGTGTCAAGCTTTGATGGAATATGATGAAGGAAACTACGATCAAACTGTGGAGTTGCTTTACCCTTTGCGCTACAGTGTCGTGCAGATAGGGGGCAGTGATGCACAGGTAATAAAGCAAGAAACCGCGACGATTATGGATATTTCTTTTCTTCCCAAACTTATTCGGCCTTGAGGCCGGTGATCATGTGAAATTGTGTCTCTTGAGTGAAAACAAATCCTTGTTGTTATGAAAGTGGGCCAGTGGTAAAGAATGCCCTGCCTAAGAGCCGCAGCTTTTCAGCCCATGACTATACTGCACCGTGTAGTGTGAGAATGTTGAGCACAGTGCAAGTGCACACGCATGAATAATGAATCTCTGTGATGGATGCTGATGGACTTCATGCACCGCGCCCCAGAGGTGCGACAGTATACATTCCGTGTAACTCCAAACAGTCGAAAGCCAATATGTCATGTCGAAATGAAGTAGTTCTCTTGTTTACCAATGGCTTTGTCCACTGTTGCTTGCAGAGAGATGTCTTCAATCAACTGCTTATTCATGCGGCCTTGAAATCGGAGAATAAGCGCCACCAGAGACTTGGCAGGTAATGCACAGTTGGGAGTTCCGCATAGGATGTCGCATTCCTTTCTTGTTTTAGAACTGTGCCATGTTTTTTTTTTTTTTTCTGTGTGACTGTTGAGAGATCATGTCGTGATATGATGAAACAAAACCATGAACATGACACGGTGGTCCGGTCGCATGATGTTATCTGCTGACATTTTATGTGCATGCTGATCAGGATTCACTCTGAGTTTAACATAACAGAGCTGTGTTGCGCTGTCCTCATCGATTACGTGATCTTGTCAGCTTGCATTCTCTCTGAATCTGTGTTCATCTCTCTATATGGTGTTGCGTTGAATTCCAATAGATGTCTACTGGTGGAGCGTGAAGCAACAAAGCCAAACTCCCCTCTGACTGATCGTCTGATGCAGAGAGCCGTGGCCCTTCACCACTAGACTGATTGCAAGAAGCACACAGCCCCACGTAATCTGATGTTCCCATGTCTGATTTCAGGACTGACTTGTTTTTTTTTTTTAAAAACACATTTTACCATGTGAATGAAAAGTGTGCACATTTTGCAAATGTGTTCACCCTAAAACCTAAACGATATCATTGATGGATGTCTGCATTTGCTTAATCAGACACAGCTAGTCATCATAAATTCATGGTTTCATTAAAATGAATTTTATATATGTGTGTGTGTGTGTGTGTGTGTGTGCGTGTGTGTGTGTGTGCGTGTGTGTATATATATATATATATATATACACTGTTTATTCTTTTTTTAATTATAAAATTCATTGAGAGGTTTGATCATATAATTATTTTTGTAATAAAAAAAACATTTTTTTAAATCAACACACCTCAGTTTGTGTAAATCTTTTTAGGGCACCAACCACTTTGGTGGGATGGAAACAACAGTACTTGCTGTCAAATGGGCTCTTTTATTTACACTACACAATTCACTTAATCAGACAAACAGTGATTGCTGTTTAAGCGCAACCGACAGTATAGTACATTACGTTTATTTCGCAATCAAGTCACTGCTCTGTATTTCCTATCAAATCTGTATGCAAGAAACCAAGAAAAACCGCACCATCTTATGGATCTTGTGTCTTCTCAGTGGCATTCTTAAGAGGAATCCTCAGTTTATTCTCTTTCTGTAACTTGCTGTTGTCCCCCTCCAAAATGACAGTTTTTTTTTTGTGGGGGGGGGGGGGGGTCGCCCAACTGGGAAATATCAGGAAGGGTGCTGAGGGATGAGTGTAGCATGCTGTACCTGGATAAAAATGACCAGATAACAAATCTAATGTCAGCAAGGCACAAAAGAACACACACACACACACACACACACACACACACACACACACACACACACACACACACACACACACACACACAACAAAAAAGGACACATTACTATATGCGTTTTTATTTATTTAGCTTAATTTGAGATCCAATATTAAGTAATCCAGCACAATTCTATAATGTCGAGTGAAGGAGTAGTTCCACTTAGTCGGATACATATCCTCAATTTTTGAAGTCTCACTTTTATTTTTTGAATATCGCTGGCGGGCAGAATCTTTTTACCTCCAAAATGAGCAGTTTTCAGTAGGCTCCAAACACCATGTTTGTTTAACCATTGGCATTGCATCTCATAGAGTGAGAGCTATTTTCAACATTAGATTGGTCAGTCAAATAAATAAATACCATCCACATGTGTGGACTGAACAATAGTGTAGATTTGTACAACAAAAAAAGGTATATAAAAACCAAATTACGACATTGGAGGTTCAGTGCCATCAATGTTTTTAAAATGGCTCCCGCTTATCAGCTGAGTTTACTCCCATTAAGAAGATCAACAAAATACAACAGGAAGAAAAACTCCTTGTGAGTGCATTTTGAGTCGGACAGGGCACTGCAATTTCCTTTTTACTCCCCTTGCATTCTTCTTTTCCTTACTTAGTCTTTGCTTGTGCTCACGACACGGAGGTAATCTCTTCTTGGATCTGAGAGATCAGGATCTGGGACAGCACAATGCCTGCAATCTAGAGGACAGCGGCGGCTGCTTTAGATGACTCAACAGGCGCTTGTCAAATGTGCAGCCTGTGCCAAGCCTGTCAAGGTGCCTTGTAAGGTTGTCGCAATGCTCATTTGAAAAGAAGATGAAATTGTTCAGGATTCTTATGTTTGGATTTGGTTTGTAATAATGGCAGAGTCAAATTTACAGCATTGTAACCCTTATAGGGCTGCTTCCCTGCCCTACAACGCACACACAAGGACACCCACCTTTAAACTGCAGACTCATTTGGTAACACTGTAAAATCTGCATGCCCGAGACAAAATAACACAACAAAGCTCATAAAAAACAAACAAAAAAAACAAATCCAAAGCATTTATTGTTCCCTCATCAGCGCTTCACAGGCTTGCCTCGTCACCGTTGGGGATCCAACCATGTCAACACAAGAAAGAAAAAAATAGATAGATCGATAGATAGATGCAAAAAACAAAATAATGCCATTACATTATCTTTGGCATTGGCCAAAACTTGAATATGACCACGAACAAGGTTCAGGATTTAGTGTTCAGGGGTTTTAGTGCATAGTTTAACATATCTTCCGAAGATGTACATTTATTCTTCTGTCACACATTAATCTTCAACTTGGCCATGAATCCATAATGTGCAGCCTTATTATCTTTTCATGCAAAAAAAAAAAAAAAAAATCCTTATGTGATTGGGGATTTTGTATACGTGCAAAATTCATAGTCTGTGCAAATATATTGAACCGATTAGTTAACTCATTAACTTTACAACGCTGCATCAACATTTGAAGCTTGAAGGTGATTAATTGCTTATCACGTGTTATTGGCAGCTCGTCTTTCAGTCAGCTAATTTACAGAGGACATTCGATCTGCCTGTCTGGTGCTGTCGCCAGACGTTAACACTTGTGTGGAATGGAGCAGCAACATGCCTGGCCAACAAGCGACACAATCTTCACGCATCCGCGCAGGGTCAAGATTTGGAAATAAGATGGTCGTGGGTGACACGAGAAGTTCAGCTCACTAGCTTTGGCTCTTCCGATCCTCACTCGTCTTAAATTATTCAAACCGGCGACAGCGTTACCACAGGACTGGTGGCCAGCAACGAGTGGAGGGTGCAAAGTGAGGCTTTAGCTGTGTTGCCAAAATGTCATGTCCAACCACGTGCAAACAAAAATTGTGGTAAGTATAACTTTTTTCTGTTTTGTTTTTTTAAATCATATAAGTTGTATGATAGAAAAGACAACCATCAACATCACAACGCTTATGTCACTTTAAACACTGACATCAGCAGGGCCTGGCATTAAATTTTTAGTTCACCAAGCCACTGTGGCTCGTAGTTTCCAGAGTTACACTCAGCATTTTCATGAGCCACAGTTTTTTGTCAGATAATCGGGGTAATGCTCAACCAACCAACCAAGCAACACTTAGGATGGGCAGAGCCTTATGGCAGGAGGCCGGGACAAAGCAACTGTCAGAATATTAAGTATCTACTCTGTTTTTGTCTTACACAAGACATCTTCAAGAATTGCCAAAGATGATCATATTCGATGTTGAGGCTTTGTGTAAATGTATTGCTGGTGTCGGGCCGGAACCTCCTTCATCACAGTTTGGTCATATGGCATATACTTTTTCAAAAATCGAAACTGTTGGTCAGTCCACATGCATGGATGTTATTTTTCCAAATTCTTGACCAATGAAAGCGGTGAAAGTGGCTTGCCCTCTTTGATGATGCAATATCAGGGGTTTAACAAACATGCCGTTTTTGGGTCTCCACAAAAATGTTGATTTTGGAGGTACAGTTGAGGAGTTCCGCCCGACGCCAGTGATATGTCATGTCATATACAGCAGCTGAAACGCAGTATTTCTCATCACTTTTTTTCCCCCCACTAAATATAGTTCCGAAGGTGCTATTGACATGAAGTTTTCACCAAATGTTGGAAACAACCCAAGGAATCTGTACATACAAAGTGGAACAATGAAGATCATAAATAGGTATGTGTAATAATATGAAATTACACAGGGAAAAAGTATTGAACACCCGAAGCAAGTTTGGTGCAAAAACTCACGCAAGGCCATGACAACACCTAAAATCTATCCGTAAACATAACAATCCAGCCCGTCGTCATTGCAAATGAATATCAGCCGGTTTGGTCCTAATTGATGCCCTACAAAAAGATCTCATTGCCAAGGTGTGAGCGAAGACGCATCTCATGATGGGTAAGAGCCATCTCAAGAATATCACAAACTACCATATTTTCCGCACTATAAGGTGCACCTAAAAGCATTCAATTTTCTCAAAAGCCGACAATGCACCTTATAATCCGATGCGCCTTATATATATGAATCAATATTCTGATTTCTTGGATATGTTTTAAATGTTCTGTAAAGCGATTTGTAACAGTTACAGCGGTTGTGAAAGCTCTACATAAATCAAGCTGTATTGTATTTTCTTCAGCATAGCTCCAGCTAGTGGATGCATAACGAAACCGCAGCCACTTTATTGTCGCTTCTATTCTATGCGCCTTGTAACGCGTTGCACTCTACATATGAAAACAGTTTTAAAATAGGCCATTCATTGGAGAGGTGCACCTTATACTGCAGAAAATACGGTAGCTGTTGCAAAACATAACAAAAGCATTGGTTACAGTGGCACGTCTAAGCTTCTGTATGGCGCCATAAGTGGAAAGCCAATCATCCCACCATTAAGTTGCATCAGTTAGGCACTCCTCGCAAGGTTTCTGGCAGAGGAATGCAAAGAATAATAATGAAAATGAATCCGTGGTGGACATTTCAGCAGCCGTATGATCCAAAACATACTGCCAATGAAACTCTCACTCGGTTTCAAAGAACAATAAAAACTGCAAGAATGGCCCTGCCACTCACCCGAGTGGAATAAATCAAATCAAACATCTATGGAAAGAACTAAAATTTAAGGTTCATGTACAACCTTCAAGATGTGAAGACTGCTTGTGTGCTGGAATGGGCCAAAATCACATCAGACCAATGCATGCGACTAGTTATTCCATGCAGGAGACGTCTTTAAGCTGTTCTTGCAAACAAAACCTTTTGTACAAAGTCGTAAATGAAAACCAGTTTGTGTGTTCAATTATGCATGATTTCACATTATTACACACAGTGTAATTTTTGATCTTATTAACTGTAGTTTCTTTGTATGTATGGATGATTTGGGTTGTTCCCAACATCCAGTGAAAATTTCATGTCGATAGCACCCTAGGAAATACACTTAAGTGAGAAAAATGGGGAGGTGTTAAATACTAATTTCAGCCGTGGTATGCATAAATCAATGATTTGCATGGATTTAACTTGTTCTAAAAAATATGTGAGTATGGTTGTACTTTCAACTTTTACATTATCCATCCTGAACAAAACACAAATTGACTCATGTCAGGACAGATCATGTCAGACAGCCATACTGGCACGCAACTGCGTCTTATGCAGTGATAACTTGTCATCGCTGTTCTCTCTCTGCGCCTTTCAGCAACGGCGTCAGCAAAGGGAACGTCAAGTGACCCAACTCCCAAAAACGGGTGAGCCATGATGTTGGTAATGCGGGAAGAAGGGCACTTTGACATTAATTCCAGTCGACAGCAGAGGGCAGTATAATATCCAAATGACTGCACCCTGAGATGGTTGACAAAGGGTGACTTCATCTTCTCAATTCTTATTCCACCAACATTAATAAGAATACCGTGTTTAAACTCCTGTCGGCAGACTTGGCTTCCACTTTTTTGTGCGACAATATTAGTCCCACATCATTGGGGTGAATTGTTCCTGGATTTAGTTTTTTTTGTTTTTGTTTTTTGTTTTTAGATTTGCAGGCATTTGCTTATGCACTTTGCAGCTACAGTCTCTATGTGGAGTCCTTCAAGGCGCATTCCTTCCTTGAAGCTAAACAAATCTTCATAGGTTACTTCATTAGGTGCATCTTATCTTCCAAGTTGTGGGTCGGAACCTACTTACCGGTAATTTTTTTTTCGTTGTTGCATGAATGCAACATCACTTTCGCCCTCCATTTTTGATGCTACTCTTTCTGCTCAGGGTCAAGTCAAAGCTGGAGGGCGAGCCCAGCTGACTTCAGCAAGAGATGGGCTAATGTGTGGGTCATTTTGAGTACGGAGAAGCCATCTCTGTCTTTAGATTTGACTTTGATGAACACTTAAATAATACTTAAGAAGTGATAATGACTGTAATTCACTGCAGTAGAAAGACAAGGATAATAACTACTTTATCTTATTATTGTCCTAAATATGAAGTTGCTGCAGTCGGCTTTCGTAAAGCACACATTCATCAAGAATCTTCAAATCAAATAAAAAACCTGCAGAAATATGAAAGTGCTATTAGAATACTGAAGACTTGAGCATAGATCCTTGTGACATGGGACTATTGACGTAGCTGGTGTTCATGTGCGTGGGCTGTTACCTGAGGCAAGGCCAAACCCAGTGCGAGGGCTCCCACCAGGAACAGATGGGACTCGATCCACAACACGGCTCTGTCTGCACAGCCCACTGGGTAGATTGACTTGTTTACCTCCAGCCGGTCCAAGGTTTGAACCCCAAAGCCACACATAGTGTTGATTACTGCCTGTATGCCAGAAGACAAACCAAGACTGTAAGTCTTTCCTGATGTGAACATTGATGAAAGACTGGTTCTCTGAAGGCAACAGTCACTGTGGGTAGCACTGACAAGGATGTTAACTGTTGTGACGGCTGGGAGAGGGATTTGTCGAAGCCTGTTTACTGCGGAGAATTGGAAAAGAAATGAGGACAATGACAGCAGAGAAATGTTGAAAATCCAGTAAAGGTGCACGTCCATTTGATGTGACACACAAGCTCAAGCAAGTCCCAGAAGCACTGGTGCATTTGCACGACCAGGACAGTAGGGTGCAGCACTGCATCAATTCTCCAAGGATTTGATTAATTGATTTTGCAGTCATGTAAAAACAGGTTGCGACTATGTTTTCTGGGTAGTGTGACATTTAATCAATAGCAGTGGGATGGATCTACTTTGCCCTCGTTAGTTTTCTGTCTTTGGGACGACAGAAAGGAGCTGTCAGGTGTGGCATGTAAGCGCTGGATTTTGTGCACTGCATCTTAGAATGTAAATCGCTGACTGCAAATATGTGTAATCATGCATGCATGAGATCATATTTACATATAAATTATCTGTGTACCAACGTGTGACTTCTGCTCACATTTACAGCAGTCTTTGGTGTATGCATGCGTGCGTGTTTACTCGGTGTTGGCAAAATACTGAATATAAGAGTAAAGGATTTTGTTTGAAGCAGCAATCACTGCCAAAAAAACGGACCTCCAAAGGCTAATGAGATCTAACACAAGAGTGGCAGCGTGCAGACCTCTGCCAAGATTGAATTGATAAGGAAAGTGGAAAGATAAATAAGGACATAAAGCAACTGCTGCTGGCGACCAGTCCAAAGAACATCCTGCCTCCCGCAAAAAGACAACTGGGATAGGCTCCAGTTCAACCAAATGAGGACAAGCAGCATAGAAAATAGGTGTGTGTGTGTGTGGGGGGGGGGGGGGTTAACAGTGCTGTTTTGCTGTTTTGGAATTTGTTCGACCACTAAACAGTGTATGCAATGACAATAATGATTCAATATCAAGAATGCATCCAGAAAGGCAAACGGCAGGCGGCTCCAACCTGCTAACAGCCAGCTAACCCCTGGTGCAAAACCAAATCTTGTCATGAAAATGTCACAAATCCTACAGTGGTGATGATGCAGGGTAATGTGAGACAGCCAGATTGTACCATTTTGGTTTGTGGGACGTGACTCAAAATGTTGTTTATCTGCATGCACAAAAAAAGTAATGGATTCTCACGCAGCAGATACGCTGACACCCTCGACAAGGTTTCATGGAAATCAGCTGTGCCGTTTTTGCACAACCCAGCCAGACGATCTCACAAACAAATAAAATGCTGTCAAGGCAAGACTTTTCTTCACACCTTCTTTGGTGTTGCACTGGCTCTGATTAGATCGTGCCGGCCTATCTAATGTTGTGGCCATCTGGAAATCTTTAGCATAAAGCTGTTGAGACAACGTAAAAAGGCAAATTAAAGTACACCCATGGCTTGAAGTGGGTGCTTTCTGTTTGCAAGGCTGGACACTTCAGTGTAGCCACTTGCGTTTGCTCAGTATTGTTAATACTGTTGAGAATGAAATATGTTGGTGCTCTGGAGAAATAGATCATGTGGTATTGTTTTTTTCAGTCAAAATTTCAAAAAAAAAAAACAATTTTGACAGACAATCAAAGGATTTTGCAGTCATATGCAGGCATTGCCTCAAATCACCTACTTCATGTTAAATGAATGCTTTTCTGAAAATGTCTTTGTTGTAATGAGTTTCTTTCAATCGTGATTGAAAGCAGGCACATATTGTACACAGCACAAAGCAAAAGTGTCTCAAAGAGTTTATCTACTAAAATAATGATCTTTAAAATGTATGTAGTCAGTGTGAAATCTGGGCTTGTTTAGCTGAACACAACAATGGACCACCGCTATTGTCGGGAAATAAGGACTGGGCCGGCCCATAGCAAAAACCCGTGACAAATTGTTTCCCATTATAAGTGCATTGGATTTGTATTTTTTTAACCCTGAAACTCTTGGTCACCGAGCGAATGAGCGTGCAATTGTTCTCTCAGTCACTATGTGTCACAAAGATGGATAGATAGATGAACAAGATGTTCTGTACAAAATAATGTTTGCACCAATTAGGTAAGATTGAATTAATTCCCATGATCACATTATCACTTTCTTTACTTTACTGCTAAGGTTGGTGAAGTTTTAGCACTCTTAAATGGATCTTGTTTGTTGCTCTTTTATGCTACATATTAGTTTTTTCCTGAACAAAACGCTGTTTGGTCCACTTGTGAGTTTTTCACATTGAGACACGTGTGTGTGTGTGTGTGTGTGTGTGTGTGTGTGTCTCAATGTGCCTGAAAGTGAGTTTGCAACTGTCAAATACACACACACATGCACGTGCACACACACACACACACACACACACACACACACACACACACACACACACACACACAGACACACACACACATTTGTTAAAACTGTCATTTAACGGACAGAAGTACAGTACATTATTGAGAAGGATGCAAAATAAGCAACACTTAAAGATGACAGTACAAATAATGAATGGATTGAATGGATGTATATTCCCCAAAATAAAACATTAAAAGCCAATTTGGTGTGATGGTAACACTCCATGACAAAGTCATGCAACCAATGGAGCAACCGTGGTTTACAATGGAAGGCTAGTTTTGTGCTGCTAACAATGTTAGATAGTATTGTAAGCACTGTTTTTTTTTGTTCAATTTGCACATGCATTCTACTACATAACTATTAATCATGACAAGACAATTTTGTCATCGCATGCCATTATGAATAGTTCGAGAATCATACTCATGCATGTTGATGAGGAGTGAGGGGGCAGGATTCGTGAAACCGGTACAATAAATTCTTGCTAGCAGTTTGAACATTTCAAACTACTCGTTTAAATGCATCTCACAGGTTTGCTGAGGCTGGAGTGAAACGCTCATGTTGTGCAGACTCATTCTCATCTGGGAAAGACAGATCACCTTGAAACTTGATTAGCTGTTTCATTACTTTCAGGCAATCAGTCAGCCAATTATGAGTCCTGGAGGATGTCATGTTTGTTTAGCAACTTCAATTTTCCATTCTCACTCCACTGTTTTATATCACTGCTGAGGTTTCATTGAGTGGAAAAAAGGAAAAGACTCACCTCTCCAGGAACGGGAGTGCAGCAAGAGAAAGGAACAGCGCAGCGTTCTGAGCTGGGGTTTTCCTTAGTGCAGTTAAAGTACAAGTTCCATGACCAGTCCGTGTAGTTGTTCCAACCGCAACACTGGAACTGTGTGAAGGACATTTATTATAAATACACAAAATGTGTGTTTGGTAGACTATTTCTCTGCTGCCTGCTAATGATTTTTCTATGATTGGAACGCCTGTTTATTTCCCGAATAGATGATGCCCCATTTGCAGGTCAACAATGCTTGTGGGATGATATACAATATACAGTACTGTATTGTACGTGTTAGGCCCACAAACACGCGCACACACAGTGGGGGCGGGGAAAGTATTTGCCAAATTTCTGATTTCTTTCTATGTCTTGTGTTGTTTTTTTGCACATTTGTCACACCTGCAATTTCTCAAATTTTCCCCGTCCGTCATTCATCAGCGGGTTGAGCACCCGTCCATCATCATCAGTCTGTCATTTTTTTCAAGCCAAACCAAACTGTAATCGCCAGTCAGTCTGTCCGTCACGTTATTTTGACCGTGCTTTAGTCAGTAAAGTTCTCACACACACACACACACACACACACACACACACACACACACACACACACACACACGCACACTTATATACATTTCACATACACTTGTGAATTTTTGGAAATGTTAGGTACAGCGAGAGCATGGTGGTGGCTGCGTGCAGCTATTGTAACCCTTAAAATGTGAAAACGTTTTAAATTAAAGTTTAAAATGACGTACATTAACCAGAATCGCTCTCCGAATTGTGGCCAAGGGTAGGAGCCAATATAAGTCGCTTGCGCTCCGACTCTTGTCTATAAATACTTATCGTCATCTTGATTCTTGGTTCATTGGTGGGTTGCAGCTCTTTGGTGCATACCCCTATCTATTGTACGGGAAGCGCAAAGCATTTCCATACAGTCAATGGAAGCAACCCTAACCCTACTTGTATTCAGCCTTGCAAACAAAGACATGAGACAGGCGGGGCGTTTTCCAGTCAGTTGTCAGTAAAACGGGCATCCGCCAGTGACGGACTGAGCAGTCCATCAGTACTTGACCCTGTCCTTGATGATTCCACTGACTAACTAACCCACTTCTTTTAATGCTTATTCAGTCTTTTTTTTCCCCCCTCATTCGTCAGCAAAACCAGTGTCCGTCAGTACTGCATCCGTGATGGTATAGGGGTGAATTACTGCCCATGGCATGGGTCACTTGGTCATCTGTGAAGGCACCTTTAATGATATGTACATGCAGGTTTTGGAGCATCATATCCGCTATCCCAGTCATGTGTTTTTCAGGTACGCCCCTGCTTATTTCAGCAAGACAAGACACATTTTGCATGTGTTATGAAAGTGTGGCTTTGTCGCAAAAGGGTACTAGACTGGCCTGCCAGCAGTCCAGACCCACCTCCCTTTGAAAATGTGGAGTGCATTATGAAGCACAAAATATTATATCAGGGAGACCAAGGACTGTCGAGCAACTCAAATTGTACACGAAGCAAGAATGGGAAAGAATTCCACCTAAAAAGCATCAACAATGAGTGGCTTCAGTCTGCAAATCCATATTGAGTGTTAAAAGGAAAGGTGGAATAACACAGTGGGAAACATGCCCGTCACATACATTTTTTGGAATGTGTCACAGACATCAAATTTAAAATGACAGGATATCCCCCCCCAAAAAAAATAGTCTGAACATCAAATAACCTGTCTTGTTGTGTATTACAGTGCATACAGGTTGAAAATGATTTGTACATCTTTATATTCTGTTTTTAATTTTATACAATGTCCTAACTTCATTGGCATTGGGGTGTGTAGTATGTATTGTAGAAAGATGGCTTTGCACAACACAGTGATTGCTTTCTGGGGAGGAAAAAACAATGCTCACTTTTGCCAGTGTAAAGGTAGACCACATGATTTGAGCCTCAAAATATACCTGTAGGTAATGCATGTTAAATCTTGCCATTCACGGAGGAGACAATAGCAAACAAAGTCAACATATCTCTGTGGTCACAGGGATATGTTATTTCATGGTTCACGGGTGTGACATGCTCAATCAATCTGTGGTTATGATTATTGTGAAGTCACACAGTAAGTAGGGTCAGAGAGGAATGGATCAGAGCACCTCTTTCTGAATGTAATCCATCAAGTTTTGCAGATCCAGGTCTTCCCTGTAGTGCACAATTCCTTTCTTCACGAACCTTCCCAAAGTGTCACGGGTCTTTTCAAGAGAAACAGAACAGTTTATGAGATGTGGTATTCAGCATCTTGTGGGATACATACAGTTTCTCCACAACTCAGTTTGTATTGCAGCATAATAAGAGTAGGGGTGCAGGCAGCATATAACAATAAAACTATTATTACCTGTGAGATCAATACACCCAATGCATATAAAATACATTATACACATACATGCAGGGTAAGTAACACATTTTGAATGCAAGTTTTCACCATTCTCTGCTTGAGCTAATATAATTCAGACATAGATGAATTATAAATGAAATGCCCTGATTTTTTTGACTCATGAGCAGAATTCCAGAAATAATTGGATGCATTTAGAAATTAAATCCTGCCGCTTCATTCGTGCCTTCTTTCGTCTTCTTTGTGTGCTCCTTTTGAATGGGCCTTCAATTTAAGTTCCTCCCCTCTAAAAATGTCAAAACAAGGTGATACAGATTGAATTTAGATAATATATGATAATGAGAGTGCTGTATGCCGATAACCTGCTGAGCTATAAAATTTCATTTGGCTTGAAATGAACTTCTGTGGGTGTTTTGCGGTGGGCTCCTGGAATTACTCTGATTAGAGCATGTGGAAAAGCAAATTCTGCTGATAAACACACCGAGCTCCATCTCAATTTATTTTATCCCGAAGTAGTTTTGCTAAACAGTTCATGCTGATCTCCCCCCTCCCCACATGCTGTGTGTGCTTGTGGACCTTGGGACCTAACATCATCTCCTCATGTCATTAGTTGCAAAGTCTCCTTCAAGGGATCTGTTGAAATGGAACATTTGGATCCGCTTTGAAGTGCTGAAGCATTTGAATCATTTAGCGATGCTGGGAGGGTTGTTAAACTGTTCTGTTTAGCAGCAGGCAGTCTGTGGACTGACAGAGTGCACAGTGGAGGGTGGCAAGGTATAATAGGCACAGTTTACATTGTAAGGTTAGAGTGGAAATCATATTTAAAGCTTTGTTTATGACAAAATAAACGTGGAAGCCAGCTGGTATATTCAGACTAATAATTTGATTAAACTAATCAGCAGAAGCAGTTGATTTACTTCCCTCGTTTGGGTCTCTATGCAATCAGATTGTTCGAAGCTTTTCACACCCAGCACAGCAGTTCTCTCTCTCCTTGTCTGTTGCTGAATGTAGACCAAAACAAAAAATGCACATACCAAAACATGGGGAGAACATGCAAACTCCACACAGGAAGGCCGGAGGTGGGATCGAACCCACAACCTCTGCACTGTGATGCGCTAACCACTCGACTACCGGGCCGCCCACACACACACACACACACACACACACACACACACACACAATGAACAACAAGTATGTGTTTGAGTCATCCTCATGCAACTTTCAGCACGATATATATTTTTCTTTTACAGTTATCTTGTTTTCCAGCAATGATTTTACAGATCACGAGTGCGTGCGAAGGTGGAAGAGATTCACAACACATTCATATCGTCAAAGGGGGCGGTACCGAAACTTATGACGTGGCATCGGACTCTGTTTCTCCTAAACTAATCAGCTTGTATCAACTGGTGCTTTCCGAAGGTCTGTGTGTCTCCACATTGTCTCCACTAAGGAAGTACTGATATCATCAAGTGATTGATGAATCAATCAAGTGTTTGATGATTCAAGGGTGCAAAGGTCTACTTGCCGGCATGAAGAGAGGAGGCAGGGTGTGTGTTCTCATGCTGACATGCACACACACACACTTATTTATTTATTTATTTATTTATACTCAAATACTTTTTTATGGAAGTGTCTGTTCCTAATTGGGTAATAAAATCTCTTTGCAACCCACAAAGACTAACATGTAACCGGGGATTTTTATAATGCCATGATATCAAAAGTCGGCCAAGTGGCACAAGCTGACGTCCTCAGCATTACCTGAGGGACATTCACTTGCTAGGCTATGGTAATTCACTTCACTTCATTACGCGTTGTATTAATTGTTACAAGGTGCACCACAGTTTGATCTCACCAGGGTTGAGGGTGAGCCTATTCCAGCTGATTTTGGGGAGCAGGCAGGGTATACCCCGGACTAGTCACCACTCGCAGGTCTTGAGTGATTACCTTGCGGCACAAGGCATGCTTAGCAGCTGACGTACTAATTGTTTTTCATCTGACGGTTTTACTGTATATTTATATTTATATTTATTTTTTTCTTTTCATAGAAAAGTAGTCAGTGACACATGGCTCATTCCAGTTTACATAGAAATATTAGGCCCCACCCGGAGTCACCTTGTTACTCTAGTTTAATGACCTAAAAGAGTATTTTAAAACCTCTCCCTTTAAACGACCGTTGTTGGAAGAATGTATTCACATAATATTTAATATTAGCAGCCATTGCTCATATATGTTTCAAAATGAAATGATTAAGCAGGTTAGTGTTGACAATTTACAATCACAATAATGGCTTGTGTGTTAAAGTTGAGCTCATAATGACACTCAGAGTATGGATGTGAGACAATTAATTGGGCAATTATTATTTTTGCTCTTCTAGGATACACTATAATCGCATCTGGCCCACACATGCAGCCTTCGTGGACACACATCATCTTAGTGACTGCCATTGTTCAGTAAATGACATCCATATTAAATACACAAAAATAACAAAGACTTTAATGAGGTTAATGTTCTTTTTTTTAATGGCCACAGAAAGACGCCGCTCTCGTGTTTTTTTTGGTTCATTGTGACATGCCACAGACATGCCAAACAGCCACACCTCGTCAATTTTATTTCATTGAAAAATATGGAATGTGTTTTACAATTTCATTTCATGTTCCCGTGCCTCACGTTTGCAACAAAAGACTCAAAGCAGAATGACTCCTGAAAAGGTCATCCATGTTGTTTGTTGAATAAATGAGACATTTCATAACAATACAACCTACCATATATCACTTGAACACTCCCACATGCTAATTTACTATTCGTCATGTGATCATTTGAACTGCCGCCAATTTGCATGCTGTACAGTTGAGGTAGCTTAAGGTCAGCACTAGAATGTATTAAAATATGAGCTACAGCAAACCCACAAGGAAACTTGCAAATTGTTTGCATGACACCTCACAATAACTTTTAATGCAAATCAGATGTAGAAACTATATTCGGTATGTTATATTATTGAAAAACACTGGCTTCGTGCCTGCGGTGTACCATTTTAGGTTAGTAGTCCATTGCTACGCAGCACGCTCATGGATTGATATGAACTCAAAAAAGTCTTTCACTCAATTAACATAACTGATAGAGACAGCCTATGAGCTGTTTTAAGACAGTACATCATGTATCACAGGAATCTCAAGATTATCAGTGTATTGTGTTGCCACTATACAAACGGTGTTAAATGTACAGGCAGAGATGGGCATTCCATCCCTCGGACGTAACGGCTGATACTTCTGTCCCAGACGGACGGCCAGCAGGACGAGAAGTTTTTTTCGAAAGGACGTATTAAGCAAGGACGGAAGTGGGTTTTTGTCCCTCCCTTTAATTGTTCCTAACCGGGTTAAGTTTGTGTCGTCAGGAGGCAAAATAACAAAGCCAGAGTGTCGCCAAACACTGTCTTTTCTGAACAGGCTATTTCAGCTCAACAGTATTTTAATAGCAACACTTCAACCTACAGTCCAGTCAGAGAACATAACAAAGTGCCGATGACTATTCACTAACGATCACTCCAGCCGGTTAAGAAAGCTGACTGAGTTGTATGTCTCTCGGTTCCCACGTTGATGGCTAGGATTTCTAAAAGAGCAGTTTTTATTCATCTTATCTGATTTGATCATCGTAACTATTGTTGTGTTGTGAAATAGTAATGTTGAGTTGCTTATCACTAAGACATTACAAATATAAAGAAACAGTACAGTGACGTCATTTTTGTTTACTTGATGGCCAGTCTTGTCTGCACCGCCAATCACGGCGTGACTGAAAATAAGGTTCGGTAGGCAGGCATATACACGATGAATATGTCGATGTTTGCATGCAAGAGTCCTGCACATTTTTCAAAGTTTGGCACTGTGTAACGTTGCAAGACATGTTATGTGTTTTCTATTTAATGGACGAGGCTTTTCTCTCATGAAGTGACATAAGCTTTTTAGTGAGCGCCTCTATGAAGAGGAAAACACTTTAAAATCTCGAATACTAGGGCGATCGTTCTAATATTTCCTTGATGTGAGCATTAACTAACGATGTGAACATAAATTTTGGTGACCATCGATGGCAGTTTTGGCACAATCGGCGACGCTTGGATTCCTACATTACGGGTTTAGACTGTCATGTTGCATCACTGTATGGCAAGTGAGAAAGGACATAGATAGAGTAGAAACAGTACAATGAAATCCTAGACCCAATAACGTGGCCCCAGAGGGACTTGCTATATTAATTTTATGTTATAAAATGAATATGCGAGTTACCACAAAGAGGCACATACCTGGTCTGAGTAAAAGAAGCCCAGTATTGCTATGACCAGCTGGGTGAGGAAGACCAGTGTCAGAGTTAAAGAGAACTGAAAACAGAAAAGACAAATGTGACTAATCTTTGTGAGACAGATTTGTCAATATTGTTCAACTGAAAGACCGCCCTTGAGATTGGATTGATCCTGTCGCTATACGGGAAATGCGTCAATATTTGTGAGGTGTCTATTAAGAATATTACTGTTTTGAGGAGGTGAATGTTTTCTCTGAGGGCTCCAATACAGCCACAGAAAGTGATGAAGAACATGACCACACCCACTACAATTAGGATGACAGCCGGGTCGATCAGGAACGTGTCCCGCACAGTGTCTGGTAAAAAGACAGAAATGGGACAGGCTCTGGTTAGTGAGCAGCTGTCTGTTATTTTCCATTCTCTTATCTAAGCTTTTCTATCACCTAATACGTATACAACAGCCATACATTTATAAAATATATTCCATTATGTTATGCCCCCTAAAATCCCCACTTTAGCTGAACGAACTATGAGATCCTTTGTGGATTATTAAGGGCAACTGCAAGCAGTGCAATGAATCCACGTTGCTCCTTTGTGTCCCCCATCCATCCATCCATCCATCCATCCATCCATCCATGTTCTCATCCACTTATTCTCACAAGGGTCGCGGGGTGTGCTGGAGCCTATCCCAGCTGTCTTTAGGCAGTAGGCAGGGGACACCCTGAACTGGTTGCCAGCCAATCACAGGGCACACATAGACGAACAACAATTTGCGCTCACAATCACACCTGGGGACAATTGCAAGTGTTTCATTAACCTGCCATGCATGTTATGCTGGAATGTGGGAGGAAACCGGAGTACCCGGAGAAGACCCACGCAGGCACGGGGAGAACATGCAAAATCCACACAGGAAGGCCGGAGCCGGGATCAAACCCTGCACCTCTACACTGTGAGGCGGATGTGCTAACCAGTCGACTATTGTGCCGGCGCCCTGCACTAACCATTGAATATGACTGCATGAGAACATTATTCCAAAACCATGCATGATAGGTGAATTAAACATTCATCACATTAAGTAAAAAACACATGAGAATAGGGCTTGGTAAAAATTAATACAGTACCTGTGGCTTTCTGGACTTTAGCATAAACACCGATTGCAACTATCAACAAGGAGAAAACCTGGGGGAGAAAAAAAAAACACCTTTTAATCTATGGCCAAATTCGACATGAAATGTGGACAATGGTTTTTGAGACACCTAAAGGGGGAAATGAAAGAAAATATTTAGCAGCCAACTCTACTGGGAAGGTTTGCTCAAAGCTTTTGCGGTTGGATATTGTCCATTCATTTGTGAGGTCTGAGGCCAAAACAATCCAAGGTTGATATTCTGCTGGAACAGAAAAGTTGCCATAAAGCTCGAACTATACAACTGTCCAAAATCTAAAGGTCAAGTTTGAAGAATTGAACTTCAAGGAGGAAACACAACTAATTAATATGTGAAATGTTATTTACTTGTTTTGTTTTAGACTTCTTCATTATCATGGAGACGCTTGACAGTAACATGCTCCCTCTCAGTATTGATGACATTTTATGTGATCTATTTTAGCGAAGTTGGGGCCAGGAGAAATTTCACTGGAGCTCAAAACACTGCTGTTAGAAACGACTGAAGTTTTTTTTTTTTTTTTTTCTGACATAGCCATTCTCTTTGCCTCTGGCATTTTGCTGACCTATGCTACTTGTCACCGGTGAGGTTTTGATCATCACATCTAAAACGATTTTCTCACATCCGAAAGCGTTTGTTTTAAGGTACCGAGAAGAAACAAAAATGCGTGGAAAGACGAGCCCACATCCGCTCATTCATTTTACAGTACAGGTTTGCGTATTGTTGTGGCTACTTCATGTTTGTTTGGACTCATGCAGGGGTAACATACTCAACACTAAAATGAGTAACCTATTTGCCAGTTAACTTAAGCAGGCGGCTTACACAATATGCACGTGTCATTTGTGGAAAGATGCTCACGCTACCACACGTTTAGACGAAGCGTCATGATTGGATAAGATGGTCTTTATCAAACACTGTACGTCCAAAAAAGAAGAAATAGGCTGTTGATGTGAAAAAGGAAGAACGTTTATTTTCCAGCACTCGATTGTGCTTTTAAATGTACGATACCTCCATTGATTGAAAATAGATTAGAATAGAAGAAGCCTTTATTTACATCACAATCCACAGTAGCCTTTTTTTCTTTTTTTTCACATTAAATTAACTTGCTGCTGTAGTCGAACAACTCGATGTAACAGTAAACAATTTTACCAAAGGTTTACATATTCTTTTTCAAAAATATTAGCTTGTTTAAACAGTCTGGCAGCTGCGCGCTCCGCAATAATAAGTAATTCTTCGCGCATGAGGAGATTTATGATTGAGTTTTTTTTTTTTACTCCGTGACCTCTGCATTGTGAGTCAGATGTGTGAAATGTCCCACTCCAACTGTGTCACCAGATTGTGAACTTGTATTGTTCAATTATTATAAAATCCGAGATGTTATGCAGAGCTACTTTCTTTGCCTTTCTATATTACGTGATCATGTTATGAAAATCAAACAAGCACCACTTGACCTTGGTCAGAAAAAAAAAACATTTCTCATATGAATGTCTTTTCTTCGCTGAACTTGAAATGTTGCCATCGTTTGGGAACAAACGGCAAATGTGTTTGAGAGATGAGAAGGGGGTGAAAGCAGGAAGGAGGGATCAAGGGGTGGCTTGTGTGAGGAGCTTGGCATTCTCTGTGCTTAAAGCCAAACACAAGAAAACCCTTACGGATAAAAGAACAGGCATCACAAATGAGGTGTGGGCAGCCCACGCTGTGCCCCAACACAATGAATGAAGGCTGTAAGAAGTTACTGGAGTAGGGGTGTGGATGTTGTGATCTGCTCAGGGTGCCAAAATTCTAAACAAACAAACAAACAAACAACTAGAGCTTTCCCTTGTTCAAATGGTCAAGGCTAATTTCTCTACTCTTCTTCATTGATTTCTCAACTTGTGTAATATACCATACAGTATATTTTACGCTCCCTCGTATTCACAGCTATACATTGAAAAATAACTGTGTTTCTGCAACAATCCATGATGATGATTTGTGTTGTTGATGATTTGTAGCTGTGCTGACTTGAGGCCTAATTTGAGTTGAAGAAACGTGCTTATTTCTTATATTTTGTATTCCACTTAAGTAGAATGTGTTCCCGGGGTTTTAGCTCTCTTCACAAAAGAGCAGCAGACAAAAGAAAACGTTCTCATTTTGTACATGCACCGTTGTGTTTTAAAGATTTTTCAAGTCAGTTTTCTTTCTTTTGCTTTAAGGATATTGTTGGTTGTGTAGGAGTGAGGCCAGTGGCGTACCCATTTTCCACTCTTCCACGATGTTTTTATGAGTATTCAACACATGCAGGGTGAATATAAGCCTGCTCGGTTTTTCAGGCTTTTCAAAGAGATGAATCAGGTGAATTGTGCAGGGACGTGAAAGCCAGATGAACGGCGCCATGGGGAGCACGAAGACAAAAGGCCTGATGGATTAGCGCCACAGTGTTCACTTCCAAGCTCATGTCCCAAAAAACAAAGTCAACAGCCAGGCCATGTGCCTGCTGGTGTTGCAGTTACTGTACTGCTGAAAACACAGCATGAATGTGAACTGTTTGTCTTACTGGGACCAGCCCGCAAGTAATGGGGGTGCAGCGTGCAACAAATGGTTATTTAGAAAGACTCATGTGGAATCTCGTCATACAGAATGTCTCGAGTGAGGTTCCCGAGTTGCTCATTTATCGAGTCACGGTTGGAGTGCTGCTGCGGACAAACGTGAAAATGGCAACTAGTGATTGAAGAGATGCGAATCAGCTTCCTGGCTACTATCAAGGGACTGCCCCCCCCCCCCTCACCCCAGCTGATGTCTCTTCTCTCATGCATGCATGCGTGTGATCTGGCTCTGTGTTTACAGCTGAGTATACCATAATAATAATTGCGGTTCGTGCCGCGACGTCCCGACAACTCTGTGGATGTTTCCAGCTAGGCTGACTGCCATTCGGAGCTTTGTTGGCATTTCTCAACATCTGAAGGGTAAATTTAGCCCGTGTAATCACAGTTGGCTTGTGCATTTCAATGGAAAGGCATTGTGCCCACCACCCGAGGCTATCCAATCTCACTTTTTCTCGATTATTCACTACATTCCTTATTTTCAGACACTTCAGGGAATTCAATTTCTTGGACGTGAAGAAACACGATACTTTGTTTGCTTATGATTGTTTGTTTGATTATAACATCGATATTAAATATGAATTGGAACTCCCCCCCCCCCCCCGGAAAAAAAACCCCTTGAGGCTGTATAATTGCTCCAATGCCCGTGTCTGTTTTCACAGAAAGCCAAAGAATCTGAGCTGTGATAATGAGAGAAGAATGAGCGCTCACTGGACACTAGTCACTCAGTCCACTCACAGGTTTGGTGGTATACTGCATGTGCAAATGTAAAGGTAAGGAATGCAGTTAAAAACATGCAACATTCAGCAATATAAAGCTTCAGCTCCGGTACATGTGCTTTGCATCGTTGCGACAATGACTTGATTATAAAATGAAAATAAACCACTCAGCATTTGTCACCGTGATAGAAGACCAAGCAGAAAATGAAAACAGGCACCAGCGGGGGAGGTGAGGTGCCCCTGCAATTTTTTTTTTCCGCAGACACAATCGAAATTATATTTCTTCATTTATTATTAATAGAATTTGCACCATGGATTGATTCATGTAACCTGCTCTGTGGGTTTGAATGGACTATTTAAGAAAGCCCTCGCACCTCGCTGCTATCTGATGATACCATGACTGTGCGGTGCTCAGCAATTTACAAAATCTGTCCGTTGCTTGTTGTTTTTGTACAACTTTACTCACCCAAAATAAGAAGCTGAAAAAGAAGAGAAAATATCGAATCCAGGGGTTGACGAAGGAGAACGTCTCTGCTCGATCCAGGTGATGCTTCCTGTCCATTGCTTATTTTGGCTCTTCCAGTCTGGCACATCAAAGCACAATGAGTTTAGCTCCAAAAGAGCAATCAGATTCACTTAACCGCCATATGAGTCAGTGAGGAAGGGGCTACATTTGGGTGTCAGGCAGTTTTAAAAAAAGAGGCGGGGGGAGGGGGCAGTGACATGACCACATGATACTGGTGTAGCCCAGAAACATCCACATAGACCTGAAGGTGAGAATAAACAAAGTATTTGTGAGTGACTACATCTAAACAGTTTTTTGTCCACTTTCACATCAGAACTCTTCATTCCTGCACGTTTAATCTTTTAGTATTATTGATTTGGGTGTTTTGGTCCAGAATACAAAATAGGAGCCTTTCTCATGCAATAAGCAATACAACAATAGGGGGCTGAAAAAAGATGGAACAATTTTCATTTCATATCGTCAAGGTTGTCATTGCAACATGGTGAATCAGCACGGTTAGCACATCTGCCTCAAAATCGAAGGTTGCTTCGGCTCAGGCCCTCCTGTGTGGAGTTTGCATTCCCTCCCCATGCTTAATACGGGCTTCTGTTATCCCTGTGCACTTTGCTTCCTCCCATATTCCCAAAACATGTACATTTGGTTAACTCATGACTCGAATAGATCAATTGAGTAGGAACGAGTCGAGGGTTTACCCTGCTCCTCTCTCCCAAAGGCAACTGGAACATACAGAAATACACACGCACGGACGCACGCGCGCGCGCGCTCACACACACACACACACACACACACACACACACACACACACACACACATATATACATACACACGTACTGTGTATACTGCATCGCCAAAGGCACATAAATGCAAGATGATTGATCTCCTCGTTTTAAATTGGGCACTGTCCCTAATCCCATCATAGCTTTACCTGCGGTGGGATGCTACTGAATAGAAGATTCAACATTGTTGTAACTAACGAAGAGTGAGGCAAAAGCTCCTTGCTATCTTCCACTTATCCACATTCGTCTTCAGGCACACAATCTTCTCCTAGCGTACATTCCCTGGCCAGATGAGTATGATCCTTCCAATGTGTCCTGGCTCTGCCTCTGCCTTCTGGCAGTGGGACACAGATGGAAGAAAACTACCGGTACCTCAAAAGAAAACAGCCTCAACTGATTCCTATGACTGTGGAAGAGCAGCTTTTATACTGAGCGGTCTCCTGAGCTCCTCATCCTTATCCCCCTTCCCCCTAGAAAAAGGATGACCAGGAAAACTAAATTGTGTGCCCAGTGTCACTAATCTTTCACTACTATGAACCATTTTCTGTCATTGACAATACAGAATCATACTCTATAATTACTGTACAAAACAGGTCATAAAATTGTGCACTTCAACAAGAATCAGACATTGAAAATACATCCGGGACTTTAATGTGCTCATTTTCATTCGAGTAATCACAGAAAAATAACACTGAGTTGTGGAGATGGAGCTGACGAGGCAGGAGGTGAAGATGAGTTGAATTAACAGTTTATTCTCCATTTCACAAAAAATATCAAAGCACAGCTCCTTGGTGAATTACTTTCAGTGTAATCATCACGTCGTAAAAATAAACCTTTTTCCCCCTATGCGGAAACCACTGATACACAACTTTAATTGAGTGATGTCAAATTCATTAATAATAAAAACAAACTGCCGGATCCAAGCGTTGCGTTCAGTGTGAAACAAAGCATCGCACGGCTTAACTATTATCTTGGACAGCAGCGATAACATATACGGTAGTTCTAAGAAGACCAATGTGGTCATCACAACTGTTAATGGTAAGAATACGTTGTTGCCAAAATCATACAAGAAAAAAAAATCCTTGTGTTTCCCAGGCAACATCATACCTGACGTTCATGCGACACTGCTCTCAAACTTTAAGTGCCACCTGGAGAATCTTCTCCAGTGGTTTGTTGTAACACAAGCAAGAAGTTGCATAGGCATGTTGCTTTTTGGGCTTACGCTTTTTTTTTTTCCACAAATTGCAAAGAGCACGTTCAATGTTTTGGTGGTCTTTTTTAATGAAGACTTTCCGGCTGATCCCTCTGTGTTAATGATCCCTGGGTTAGACGCTGGGAAGTGTACCATTGTCACAACAGCGTGGTTTCTCAGAAAGTCTGGTCCAGGTGCATGAAGATGAGAGCCCAAAAAAACAGACTCAACTTGTGGTTGTTAGCACAACCCCCAACAAGTTCCCAAGCTGCGCAAGACATTTGAAAACACTGTGGGGGCTTATGGTGGTTTAGAAAAGGAACTGTTCAAATAGACCGCTACAGGAAACAAAAGCTGTTGCAATGAATGGCTTGCTGCTTCTTCTGATGTTGCACAGGAAGTCGCTTCCATAACTGTTTCTTCGTGAGAGTCCTCAGGAATAAAGTGGAAAATGATTTCTCATTCAATTGAAGCAGAGTGACAACATGGTGTTCCCATCTCCAGGCCATTTTCACTTCAATGTGCTTTTCTGACTGTGCGGCTTCTCCCATTGGATGAAAGTCTGTCATTTAAGTACCTTCATTTCAGATACGTGCTGTGACTCGAACAATCCTAAAACGTATAATCTTGCTACTGTTGCCAAATGTAAAATGTACAATTTACATCCTTGAAAAAGAGCCAAAACTCTCTGGATCCCTTTTGACACACTGCCTCAGCACCTCTACCTCTTTTTAAGACATTGACACTTTCATAATCCTTTGACAAATTGGAGTGCTTTTATCCTGAACTCGAGACTATGCTTTGACAAATAGCACAGCATTTCCAAGTTCTCAATCAGTTTAATGGCACATATTTGTTGTGGCTGACTAACTTGTGACGGTTGAAGCCACTTGATTTCAATTAGCTGCAGCACGGCAGACACACTTTTATTTTATTTTTTTTTAATGGACAACAGTGGAACACATTCACAAGCACAGTGTTCTAATTAAATGACCTGTGTTGGATTTATTTCAGACGAAATAAAAACCCAAGAACTTTTCCCAAATTAAAGTGTGCTTTGTCTTTTTCATGAATGTCGATGACATTCAAACATCTCTGGAAAACTCGATTCCATAATCTATCGACAGCTTCCACTGCAAATGAACCACATCTCTTTGTTAAGGCCTCCCAGCAACTTGCGCGGGGTGGGGCTCTCAGAGGTCGAGAAGGAGATTCAATGCAAACGACAAACGCCTAAGTCCCCGTACTTGGAAAAAAAGGACACTGAAATGAAAGTGCTTAAATGACAGACCAAAGACATTAGGAGAATCTTCATCGCCAGAAAAGTGTACAGCTGCCTCTTACATGTGTGGGAGAATATCGGCCACTTTGACATTGTCATTGAGTGGGATGTTTACCCACACTGAAGTCAGGCGAGTGAACCTCCACACCAGGGGTCACCCACCTTGTTGAAAGTAAGACCTCATTATTGAGTACTGATTAATGTGTTGGGCTATTATTAGTTTGATACACTTCTCCGAAATAATAAATCCGCTCAAACTGGCAGAGGATACTGTGGACGGGTGCATACTCAACCTACACAAGGCTCAGACACCATTTCTTACATTCACATATATTACTGGGTGGGAATTGAATCCATACTGCCTGCACAGAGGTCTGTCAAGTCAAGTGCTACGTCACTAGTGAGGTGTCAAAACTGACATGAATGAAATGAGCAGAAGGTAAGGTGAAATGCTGTGATGGGGGTGTTGGGGGGGCTGCATTCAAACTCCATTCTGTTCACATTATTTGATGACGTGTTACAAAATTCTCTGTACAATATATTTCATCGAAGGAACAATGATGAACAGGCGGATCGGTGCAGTGTCTGCTGTGATGCGGACTTTGTATCGGTCTGTCGTGGTGAAGAAGGAGCTGAGCCAAAAGGCGAAGCTCTCAATTTACCGGTCAATCTACGTTCCAACCCTCATCTATGGTCACGAGCTATGGGTCGTGACCGAAGGAACGAGATCCCGGAAATGAGTTTTCTCCGCAGGGTGTCCGGGCTCTCCCTTAGAGATAAGGTGAGAAGCTCGGTCATCCGGGAGGGGCTCAGAGTCGAGCCGAAAAGGGCATGTCCCACCAGCAGGAGGCCCCGGGGACGACCCAGGACACGCTGGAGAGACTACGTCACCCAGCTGGCCTGGGAACGCCCAGGGATCCCCTGGGAAGAGCTCGAAGAAGTGGCTGGGGAGAGGGAAATCTGGGCTTCCCTGCTAAAGCTGCTGACCCCGCGACCCGACCCCGGATAAGCGGTAGAGAATGGATGGATGGATGGAACAATGATGAAAATGAAAAGGCCAGCGTGGAAAGCCACAATGAACTTCACTCGCAGTCACACATGGGATTTAGAACAATTAGTTTAAAAATTGGATCAACCTGCACACAAAAATATTTTCCTGCTATTTCTGTGCTGTAGAAACATTGGTTTCTTCGTGTTCTTTTATCCTTCTTGTCATCATATGGACCACTGACTACCACTGTACAGGTATTGGCATTCTTTTTGTATTTTTTTTTTAATGGTAATTTCATCACAGGCTCCTCATGAAATATGTTCTTGTGATTTAATATGTACTTTTCTGACCTCCCTCAAATAATAAAAGAAATCATCAAGCACACTTCTGTCAGCACCGGCTAAGCTATACAATGCACAATGAAGATGGCTCGTTAAAAAAAAAAAAAAAAAAAAAAGCCAATGAGTGGATGGAATTTTTTGACAGTTTCCTTTATTTAAAAAATAGTTGATTTGAAGAAGAAAGCCAAGGGGAGTGCACCACTTATTCAGAGTGCTTTCACATGTAGCAGAAAAAAAACCTAATTCCACAGGACAAACAATGCTGGCAAGAATCAGATAGTGCCATCCAACAGAACACAACATCAAACACACCATTTTTAGAGCACACATCTCAGATATTCGGCTTAAGCACAGGCGGGTTGGAGAGTTAGGAGATCAAAGAAATAATATGTCAAAGGTGGCAAAACACACACACACACACACACACACACACACACACACACACACACACACACACACACACACACACACAAAGAAACTGTCTTAAAATTCTCCACAGCAGACAAAAGCCAATTACTGCATAGCGTCCTTCCTCCATCTCTGTGGCTTAGTGGGTGTTTCCACAGATGAGAAGGAATCATTTACACTTAATGTTTCCAAGAAAAAAATACTAGATGCAAATGCAGTCAAATATGATATGAAAAAAAAAACATTCTAACAACAAAAAAACACATTTACATAAATGTACACTGCTCCTCTCTTTAAAAAAACACAAGGAAATGAAGAATTAGAGTGGGTTGTTTTGCATTTTAAAATGAGAAAACTCAGGCATCGTTACAAGAGGCAACCCACAGTTTCAAAGACTCTCACAAAGAGGCAGGTTCAATACCGAACCTAAAAATGACAATGTGAAAAATCATGTCGTTGCCACTTTGTCACCTTCTTGAGTATTCTATAATTAGTGAACGCTCACAGACACTCAGTGTCAACGCAGTGGTGGGACCTGCATCAACGCCACTGTTAGCGTCCTTATGTGTGTGTGTGTGTGTGTGTGTGCGTGTGTGTGCGTGTGTGTGTGTGTGTGTGTGTGTGTACATAAATTGCAGCACCATAAAATTACAAATTGTGTTAGGAATGATAATGAAATAAGTTCACCATTTCTATTGTTATTTATATATTTAATAACCCACATTCCTGCTCTTACTAGAACACTGTTAAGAAAACAATTTCTTTGCGACATGACAATTGATATGTTACAGTGTAATCCAAATTATTCTACATGCCTGTACATTGAGAAAGGGTATGAATAATTTGGAAAAAAAAAGTATATATATCCAGCGAAAATATATTGACTCACCTCCCGAAAGAAAATTCACCTGGACTCAGTATTTGGCCTTGGAAGGAATCATTTCAGGATTAATTTAATTTGGCCGTCTACGTTTACTGTGAATCGGTGCTGTGGAGTTGAAAGTGCCCTTGATATGAATTTTCATTACGACAGCGAGGAATATGCATGTGTACTCTGGTTTGAGTGAGTGTCTGCCAGTAGCTGTAAAAGAAATTCCACTTAAGAAGCATAGAAGCGGGCTAGGAAAGTACTGTAGTTTCCTTGCATCTACTTCAGAGGAGGCAATCATCTTTACATGGTGGGCTTATGTAAAAAGCTGATTGAATGAATTGAACATTGTTCATCATTGGACCTCGCACACTGTCACGTTCAAAAGACTGAAAGCTGCTGATCATTCCATCACGTTGTGAATCAATTAAACAAGATTTTAATAAGAGGGAGCGTGACGACGAGTGTGAAGCACTGAACACCCTTTGTGGGATTCAAGTAGGGCTTCGTGACCAAGTTCCACCGCTATCAATTCAGACTTAATTGTCTTTAGTGCCCGTCGCTGTGTTAAGACAGAACAACATTTTAAACACCTTGTAAAGAGGAACACTGCGTTGGACTAATCCCTTAGCAAACCAACACTTAATGATGGCACATTGTCACAATGGGCCCTCGTTGTGAGCGAGGAAAAGGCAGTAGGAAGAGCAGAAAACGAGGACGACAAAACACACTAAATAAAAACAAACAGTCAAAACAGCGACAGCCAATGTACAAAAGCAACGGTATTGAACATCTTTTGTTGAAACAGCATTCATCCTTGGATTGAGAAGGAACATGTACAAGGCCATGAAAATGTGAAGAGTTGAGAGGGAGTTCACGCCGGGATGAGCATTTCAGATTTTCAGCGTTTGAGAGTTTTGAGGTTGCGTATCAAATGTGTCACGCTCAATGTCTCTTGTTTTGGCTAAAAAACAGCTTTATTGCAGACTCTAAAATTTTCCAGAGATGTGAATGAGAGTGTGAATGATTGTTTGCCTACACTTGATGTGCCCTTCAATTGGCTGGGCGACCAACCCAAGGTGCACCCCGCCTCTCGCCCCAAAGACAGCAGGATAGGCGCCGGCTCACCCACGAGGATAAGCGCAATAGAAAATGGATGGATGGGCAACACTGCAATATGTATTCAACATCTTGCCTCCAGTCAGGCTAACATGCCATCTGACTGACTGAACTGTCACAGCTGTTTCCTCTGCAGTCTCTCCAGGGTTTGGTAGAACCCACACAGCAGCCATCCTGCTGTGTGTCGTCCTCTCCGTCTGCAGAGTGCGGCTGTAAATAAGGGATGTGCCGAGAGTTTGCGCAAGCGGCCGAGCGGAGGAGACGTGCCCACTCGTGCCTCCGCTCTACATCAGCAGCTGTCATGTTCCACCCTATGGACACGACCAGTGGAGTTGGAGCATATGGGTCGCTGCATGTCACTGTGATTCTTTTTCTTCCTGTCGCAACAGACCCTTCACTTCGGAAAACTGTCCCTCAAAAACAAAGGTCTTTGATATAAGATGGCAGGGGGAAAAAGGAAAGAAAGCGTCTATAGGTCTCATACATTCTGTCTTATGATCAGCTTGCAGTCGGAAAAAGCTAAACTTGAGTTGCGACATGAAAATACACAATTCTGGACTTCTGTTCAACATTATGATGATCTCATACACGCTCGGAGGTTTGAAGAATATGGAATCAATGCTAATATGAGAAGACTATTTGTTATATATGCACATTATAGCAGCAGCTGTGTGTCAGAGGTCCAAAGGTGCACTTGGAATAACAACATTGCAATTGTTTTTCGATCAGCACCAGCAAGGAAATGCTTCGACTTGGCTACGACTTGGATGATACTCGAACAAAATATACAGGGAAACCACGAGTTACTTTCTCTCCAAAAAATAAATTTGCATGTATCTCTTTCCTAATTGCTTCCAAACGTGCATATTGTCTTGGAGGAAAAAAAAAGCCTCTCAATTTGATTAAGTACATTATAAAACAGGGAGGTATGCAAAATCAGTTAAGGTTGGTGGGAGGAGTTAAAGTATAGGCAAGGTAATGTTGCAGTGTTTTTATGTGACTTTATCGCAACACTGTCGAAATACAAACGATTCAAATCGTAAAAATGATAGATGCATTTCTATTTGAAATATTATGACATATTGGAACTGCAGAATGACAACAGCAAAGAAATTTTGCTCACTGATTTCCAGTAAGCCTTACTGAGTGCCAGTAGGATTTGTACTTGCCCCCCCCAAAAAACAAACAAACAAACAAACAAACAAACCAACAAAACCCTCAAGATGCTAAACATTGATAACAAGATTTAAAAAATTGCTCAGTACAATTAAGATTATCCACTTTAAATAAAGAAAAACAGCCATAAAGTAATATTTTGATGAGGGAATCTCAAGAAAATTTCCAGATGTTGCTGTCGCTACACGGTCCTATTTTGGAGTACAAATTATGTTCCATCTCGAGGGAAAAAAAGTGTTAATAACATCTTTTCAAGCTGTCTGCCCATGATTGTACAGATGCTGGCCTAATTTAAGTAGCATAATAATAAATGCCAGCCCGTCAAAGTAGCGCCGTCGACATTTTCACCGGATGTTAGCGAGGTTCACGGCACCTGGCACCTCGATGGTCAGGTGTGAAATACGGTACACTCCAGATTGCTCATTTCCTGTTTGACAGTTGAGATAGGGGGAAAAAAGTACAAAACCAAATTGAAATAAACTGAGCCATACTGATGGAATGATGTTTCACGTGCTTCCCACCTGGGGCCATTTCCATTCAAGTCCCCATACCAAAACATATCGAAACCATCCCAAGTATTTTTAGTGATTGAGGAAGCAAATTGATTCTCAAGCTTCTTGGGAATGTGTGATCAACAGTCCCAAATAGATGTTTCCTTTAGGGCACGTTGCCAAAGCTATCCATCTCAGCTTTGATCGACCTAGACTCCCACCACGCTGTCCTCTGGCTGCCGGGAAGCAAAAGGCATGGGAATAGGAGTGGTCGAAAAACCAGAGGTGTGTCATGAGTGGGAAGATCATCTGGTGTAATATCTGACAAAAGGGACTCATTTAGGCAATGGGAGGAAATTCACTCTTTTGTTGGGTTTGCTTATAACAATTAGTGTATTTTCCGCACAATAAGGCACACCGAAAAGCATTCCATTTTCTCAAACACCGACAGTGCGCCTTATAATCCTATATGCCTTATACTGTATATGAATGGGCTATATGAATAGTGTACTACTGTAGCTTCCATGAGCTTTATAATGCGGTGCGCCCAATATGTGAAAACAGTTTTAAAATGCATTGAATTTGCCAGTCACCAAAGGTGCGCTTGATACACCGAAGCGCCTTATAGTGCTGAAAATACAGTATTTAATCGTATTACATGATGAATATATGGCCATGGCTGCTGGTCTCAGATAGCTGCATTAGGTTCCGATGGGAATTTTGATATTCACTCACACAACATAACAAAACTATCTGAGAGCATGTTTCTCAAAAAATATTTGTTTTCTAAGACTACAGCAACATTTTTCCTCATGAATTTTACAGTTTTTTTTTTTTTTAGGGGGCTTAATGCTCCTTTGTAGTGAGGAAATTTAAAGATTAAGGGGAAGAGAGTTTACCCCCACGACTCTGAGACTGATGAGGGGAGGACACACGTGTGACAGTGGATTATGAAAAGGGAAACCATTTGCCGCCTCTTTGAACACAATTTATGATATCAGCATGAATACTGTCTTTGCCTCTAGTGCCCATGATTCTCTTTGTTTTTATACCCTTCTTTTTCTAACCGTTGCAGTGTGGAACAATGTGATAAAACACACACGTACACTACAATTTAGTTTGTACTCTCAAAGGGGGAATGTCATCACCCAGGATCTTTCTCCTGACAGTTCTGGTGGAGCTTTAATAAACAACCATTTTACACAATTTATATGCCTCGATGGGAATTGTGGTGATGCTGGTGTGTGGCAGCATACTTTGTGTGTGTGTGTGTGTGTGTGTGTGTGTGTGTGTGTGTTTTTACCCAGGCAGATTTATACTGTTATCCAAAGAATAAAGCGGAATTTAGTACAAAATGATTCTTCTCCCTTTAATAACTTCCTTCAATCCCCCTCACTTTACCCAAAATGCTCGTCAAAGGGAAAATATACGACTCATGGATCATAATAAACGCCATCCTGACATGTCTTCACGTTAAATGCAACACACACTATATTGTACTTACATTCCACAGGAGCATCACACACATACAAAAAGTATTTCGGAAAAAAAAAAAAGGGTGATAAAGGATTTGAAGGTAAGTCGGTGAAGTAGAAAACTAGCATGCCTTTTAGGATTTTTTTTATCCATTTACAAACGAAAATGGGGGGTCGATTTTTTTTGTAAGCATAAAGGAAAGTCAAATACTCCACAAGAAATAGGTGGGGAGGAGTTTTTTTTGTTCTTTTCCCCAATGGGTGGGGAGTGTTAGCAAGTCTTAAATGTCTTAGTGTCTGAGTGCGCTTCCCTCCAGCAAATTGTTATTCCAAGCAAAGAAAGAAAACGATTTAAAACAAAAAAAAAAAAAAGGAAGGAGTGACAACCAACAGGATTCTCTTCAGTGCCAAATGACTTGTCCCTTCTCCTCTTCCAGTTGTGTTACTCTTTGGCAAAAATGAGTGGCGAAAGGAGAGAGCCCGGATAGGCGACGCATGGAATCTGCACACAGAGTCTGGGAACAGAGTCAAAGTAATGTAGTGGCAGCGGTGGTGCGGGACCAGGGGGTACATTTAATCAGAGTTCCATCCCTTCAGGAATTGATGGGCCTCTTCTCCAGAGGCTAGGCATCGTACTTCTTCCCTGTTCTGTGGATGTGATGGAAAAGCGTCATGGAGAATGCCATGCCCAGAAGCTGTGGGGGGGGGAAAGAGAAGGAGACAGTATGTGAAACATGATGTGTGATTTATGTAAGCACACGTGGAGCACATTTGCTTCTATATGGCCCATACGCATTTTGATGGACAATTCATCCCGCTGTGAAGCACCAGCATTTCTTTATTCACTCGCCTACAAATGGAAGTTGGCGAGCGGAAACGGGAGGCGAAAGCATTTAGTCAAAGAAGTAAATGGAGATAGATGAAGGCAGGGTATAGCGTCTCTTTGAAGTTGTCATTACCTGTCCTATTTGTACATCACACACAGTCGCAAGGCTCATTCTAATAACTTTTTCTGCTGAAGAAAGGAGCATACCTTAGTACCCCCTCGCTAAGAAGTAAAAGTGATTGATATTTTAACTGCTTAGGCAAATCATTCACTGTCGATGAACACATCTCTGAACACAGAGCATGCATGTATACAAGTATATTTAGCTCCATACAAACGTACTCATATTCTATACGTGAGTAAAAGGACATTCTTCTGTGTAAAAATACTTTGCTTGAGATAAAATGCACAGATTCTGAAATGGACTTGAGTTCAAAAATGGATTGATTTCCATTTTGATAACTTGGCCCAAAGGGAAAAATAAAATGCTCACAAAATATTCTTTCCTCATCTATGAGCATGCATTTGATGTTGTCATCAACAACATGAAATCATTCTCTTAAATAAAGCTGTGGCTAGGGAATAGCTTGCTTTTCTAAATCTGTTTAATAATGCTTCCGAGTAGACATGACTCCTTGAATTACTGCCCCCATTTATCTTTTCCCCAAGATGTCTCAATCTTTTAATCGATGAAGATCTCAATCGAGGTTGACATGACCTCTCTCCATTCAGATGTTTTTACATTGTGTCATTATCCGTGGAGATTGTACAAAAAAAAGAAAGAAAAAAAAGCCTATTTTGGCAGAGAGTAAAAGTCAAAAGGCAACAGGAAAATACAGTAAAACAAAATACAGATACCTGAGACATCTACTTAAGTACAGTCAGGAGTTGTACTTTGTTACTTCGTGCCATTTCGACCTCACGCAGGATCAAAGATACCAGTGAAATGTAACTTGCATATTTACACTATTCAACACTCAAGTATGTGTTATATTTGACCCAAAATATAAAAACCATTTTCAAATACAACAGATATCCCCTATTTACCACCCCCAAGTGTATACAATTCAGAAATCGACAAACACTCTTGGTAAAATACATCACATAGAGGTCACACAAAATCAGAATCTTGAGCCGCCGTGACTCATGATTGCTCTTCAGTACGAGTACTTGACAGATGAAAAAAAAGTTGAAGTTAGACCTGTCACTTTCTCGACAAAGGTAAAGTTCCGTTTTCAATTTTTACATTGACAGTGAGAGTTGTGTAGACGAAGTACTGTACTTTGAAGAAAATCCCATTGTAAGTTGTTATCTGTCAAAAGCTGTTGAAGGTAAACTTCCAGCTAAGAAAAAAAAAGGTTTCTCCCCAGCTGACCGGTGCAGCTCTGATACAAGTGAGGTTTGGGCAGAATGAGTTTGACGGGTTTTTATCAATCATTGAAGAAGAATGCCGAATACTGTCGAAATTTAGGAAATCACAGAGGAAGAACTTCCAAGACTTACTGTCCTATTAAATGTGTATCATGAAATGTTGGAGACTTGTGATGTAGTTGATAAAAGTTTGTTTGCAAAGGGAAAAACCCACTTTGCAGTTGTTCGCAGCCTGAGCTCTATTAATATTTGTCTTTCGATCGCGAATCATTCCTAGATTCTCACTCATGTGTCCAGGTAGCCGACGAGGCTACTTTCTCAAGTGATCAAAGTTTTCTCACGCAAGAGGCACACAAGATGGAGATCTGCTGTCATGGTCTTCACGAATATGAAAGCTCAACACAAGCAATGTGTAGGCATACAGACAACCAAAACTGATGTCAGACAAGTCAGTGTGCGGTTTGAGTCTTTATCGGAGTCTGCAAAGAGGACCGATATCCTGCTTGTGCTCGCATGAGTGTGTATTTGTGTGTGTGTGTGTGTGTGTGTGTGTGTCTTTCGTGGAGAGCTGCAACAGAGGAGAGATAGTGTCAAATAAAAGACGGATGTAACAGGAGCTTGTAATCTTTTCACAAATGTGAGGTAAAGCACAGGTGGGAGCCTCAGGTGCAGCATCCGAGGCTCAAAATAGCAAACGACTCACTTAAAGACACAAATATTCAGTCACCAGCTACAATATCACCTCAACAAGGCAGGCCCAGCACCGGTCCTCGAGGACCGCTGTCCTGCGTGTTTTGAGATGCTTCCCTATTCCAACACGCCCGATTCAAATGATCAGCTCATCAACATTCTCTGAAGAAGCCTGACAATGATCCTGATTTTTTTGAATCAGGTGTGTTGTACTGGATCTCCTTAGCATTGGTGAGTGAAGTGTCTACTAAATACGAGTATTTGGGTAATGACATTGTTTTGTATGATTTCACGTTCTCAGCATAAAATGGCTGGAATACATGAATGTTAAATGTGAATCCTCTTAACACCTGAATCATATCTCGATTTTTTTTCATTTCAATTCCATCGCTGGCAGCTCCAGTCTTTTGCACTTTATGATTGGGGCTCGGGGGGGCAGTTGTTTTGACCAGCTTGTTGTCTAAATGCAAACCTTTTCCAAAACTCCGTTTTTATGTATTGCTGTTTGGTAATTGTACCCTAACAGGAGCAGTCAACGTTTCCAGGTTGAAGAGTTCATTTCTACAAACTATTTGTTCAACTAAATTTAATGAGAGGTACAGTCTCATTAATGTATTTTTGTCATCTGCTTCTTTTTTTTTTTTTAATCCACTTTGTCTTCTGATGGGTCACTACTGCCTGCTTGGAGTAAAGCCATTGTGCTTTGAGTTGCTCAGACACGAGCAGTGTGTGCGTGTGTGTGCGTGTGTGTGTGTGTGTGTGTGTGTGTGTGTGTGTGTGTGTGTGTGTGTGTGTGTGTGTGTTGGGTGCTGTCAATGTTTTTCCAAGATGTGGGTGCCCAAAACACCCACTGAGGTCAAATCTTATAATTTAGCCGGCAGTACATGCAGGCCCATAGGGCTGAAGGCCAATTGATGCAGACGTGTTGCAATGTCGGCAGACAGAGATAAATGCAGCACCACAAACGTTGCATCAGCACATCAATACACGTCCTACCTGCACAACCACGATGACCATGCCTATGGTTCCCAGCATGTGCTTGTTGTCATCAAGCCATTCTTCTACTTTCTCAAAGCAGCCCTAGATGGAAAAACATGAGGAAAAACTCAACCAGTCACCTGTTTGCCTGAAAGCTCTGTAAATTATCCAGTGGACGAAAGAGCACTGACCTAGTATCAATGTGAGGTGTAAAATAAGTGAATTATGAATTATGAATTTTATATCGAGACTTATGGGTCATACAAACAGACGTGCGTATTAAACTTGCAACGTTTCTGGTTCATTCAGAGGTCGGTATTCTAATAATGAGGTGGGGTCATGCTGCGTTCAGCTGCAAAAGAACATCACAGTGCTGTGTGGTCATTTTCTTGGGGCGAGATATCAGGATTTTAGTGCTGCGCCATCCCAGTGGCCCAGCTCAATGGCTACTTATTCTCACCTTGGCAATTATGTAATTCCCTTCTTTGGACTGGACTAACCACATAACAGAGTGGATTAGGCTTCTAATAGGAGGAAATAGGGAAACAGAGTGTTCCACAGCTATAAAAAAAATGGCTGTTGCCACATAATGGAAAAATCCGTAAAGCAATAAAAATAACATTTAATAGCCTCTCTATTTTCTCTGATTAGACACACTAGGTTGTTAAAGAAACTCAGCACCAGATGGACCTCCAATTACGGTTGTACTTAGATTGAATGTATAAATTGGCCATGTCTAGAATCTGACCATAGTAGAGCTCAGCCCCAAATCAGAATATTTAGCATAAAAGTGCATTGCAACGAGAGCAATCACATTCGCAAAACAACTTATTCTTTTCCCCCTGCATTTGCTTTGGTATTGTATAATTTTTTTCCTCAACAAAAAGAATAGTGGAAAATACTTCCCCCTACCAAAAAAACCAACAACGAAGTGCACTGTACATTACTGTATATATATATATATATATATATATATATCACAAGTACTAAAAGTTTTCAAACATTTCATTTTATACCTGTAACATTCAGAAGATTATGCTCAAAATATGTAATTCAGGGCATTGGGCAAGAGCCCCAACAATACCCAATAATATAAACTACAACTTATGCTTGTACTATATCCATAATACTCATCACTGCCATCACTGTAAATTGTTATATAAAAAAATTATTAGATTTATCTATCTATCTATCTATCTATCTATCTATCTATCTATCTATCTATCTATCTATCTGATTATGAGCTGTGATTGGCTGGCAACAGTTCAGGGTGTACCCGATCTACGGCTGGGATAGGCTACAGCACGCCCACGACCCTCGTGAGGATAAGCAGCTTATATAATAGATGGATATAGATGGATGATTATGATGTATGATCATTCGCTTACAAAATGGAAAAAGAACATCTATTTTCAAAAGATGTACCCCATTATATTCTGAATTCAAATTCAAATTGTTGAACTACATTAGCAAGCTTACCCGATTCCAAAACATGTTTGTGGAGTTACGCCCACAGTTCTGGTAATGCTCCTGGCAGCAGCGGTCAGGAACGACCTTCTCTTTCAGGGCCTCATGCCAGTCGGTGTAAGCTATAACGCCGCAGCACTTCCACTGGGTATCCCACACACAAAAAAATGCAGTCAGTGAGCCAAACAGTCCATCAGGTTCCTGAAACTTAACTTTGAAGAGACTTCATTCGCATTGTATTACACAGTAATGGAATGTACTCAGAGAGACCAGCCGTGAAATTCAATGTTGCATTAATACTAAGACTAGAAGCCAGGCAATACATTATCAGAAATGTAGTTGCTCTGTGAATGCATAGCACATTTGATCTAACTGTGAGGGTGGCCTACCTCTGCCTGGATGATGTTCCAGGCATTTCTCAGACCGATGTTGTTTTCAGAGTTGTACAGAGCCAGTCCGTCCTTCAGATCTTGTTTCGCATTCTCACTCACCTGCAGATGGAAGTGACATCAGTCATGGTTAGAATGCCTTTGAGTAGCAAACCATCCCTGTGGAGTGATCACTGAACAGCAGTGAGAAAAAACAGTGTGGAACCGAAACCTGGAGAGAGCTGTCAAAAAGCATGAACCAATGTGCGATTTGATCTCAGCTACTTCAAGCATGTTTAATGGTATATCATCCAAAATCTGAGCTGTTCTTGCTGTGCCATAGAACACAAACTGTCATTGGTCGGAATTGTGCACTAACGTTACCTTTGAATTCAGGTCCATGCGTCTGTCTGAATCGGTAATGAGTCAAAAGATCCTTTTGACAGACAAAAAAAATAACATTTGTGGAGGTTGGGCTCAGATGCAACAGTACTAGTGACGGCTTTGGCAACAATTTAAGAAGTTAATATACAAAGATTGATTTTGACATCAAGGGCCCTATTTTGGTAGCGTGGCGCTCCTGCGCTCGGAGTAAAAACGGGCGGATTTCGTTTCCGTGCCAATGCAAGACTAGTCTCATGTTTTTGAGTCTGTTTCACGCCTGTCTGGGCGTGATGGTGCATGAAGCAGCCTTGCCCCCCGCGCACCTGATAATATGGTGACAGAAAGTAGTCTGCAGGTGAATTGTTGTTCATAGACATCACATCACATTGAGGATTCATGATCGACCAGTGGACAGGAATACTTTTTTTCTTGAGTTACCATGGAGTACTTTCATGATGCCAAAATAGTCATAACAATGAACAATTGACCAAGCCACCTATTTTGCATCCGAAAAATTTCACAAATTACCATCAATCTAAACTATCACAAAAAATATTCCTGAGTGAAATAATGATGTAGTCTGAAATTACTCAAAAATTTACTTACACTGTGTGAAATTTTGGTCTGTTTAATATAACACAACTAATAAACTTTCAGAAACGCAGGAATGATTTGGTAGTATGACTGGCAACAGATAGTCACACATGATTACACAGGTATTGAATTATTCTGCCGTTTGCTACGCCACTGGCATACATAGAAATATATTTATGTTCATTGAATCAATCATACTTTTTGCACAAATTAAGTCAAATTGGATAATTTCCCATGACACTTCTTGATGATTTCTGTGGCACAATAGTGCGCCATAGCACCTTCGATCGGAATCACTACTCCAAAATGACAATTTGTCAAAAATAGAACATTTATTGAACTGCATACCTTACACAAGATATCATGCATTTACTCAGTAACAATCTATTCTATAAAACGTCCGTAATAACTTAGCCACACAGGTTGCCACTCCTGGACAAATTATATATTCATCTATTTAGTTTGCTCATTGTCAAAATCAGGATAAATTTTGGGCTTGAATAGGGGAAGATTTTAGGTCGTCTCACTCACGCACAGCTTCAACATACCCTCAAGCAAAACGTGCGTTCATCGTTTTCCTTGTGACTGAACTCCAACAATGTGCTCTGGGTTGTGTCATGTCTGTGGGAGATTAATATCTTATTGGATGAGTTAATTAGAAACAAAAGTCAGTGGCTTAGTTCTCCTGCAGTTTGGTTTCCCCATGGGGGATTCCACTAACAGCCGCAACAGATTGAGGGGCACTTCAGACATGTTGTAATTATTAGAGAGAAAATAGGCACATTGTCCCTGACCCACACATACAGCTTCACAAAGACCATTAGTCACACAGAGGTATTAAAAAAAATGAGTAAAGGGGTAATGATTCAGATCATCAACTTCAGACCAAGAATAAAGGCAAATAGTATTGTCTTCATCATAAACATTAATATTTCCAGTGCCGTATTTTCCACACTATAAGGCGCACCGAAAAGCATTACATTTTCCCAAAAGTCGACATTGCACCCTATAATCCGAAGCACTGTACATATGGTGTTAACAGTCTCTTTATATTCCCCATTGAGTTGTTTCCCTGTTAGTGTTCCTATGTCATCTAGTGGTGATTATTAGCAGGAACCACTTGTAAGCCAAAAGGGTTCTGCCCGACACTAATTGACAAGTAAATTCACCAACACACTCAAACAGACAACTACTTTGTGAGCTCTGCACTGCCCTTATGAAACGAAGATAATAGCAAAAGTATAGTTAACTACTGACTGAATGAAGAAGGAGACAGGCAGGATGTCTCAGGATAGTTAGCCATAGGTGTATGTGAGCCCACAAGGTTTGTGTGCCTTTTTGTTGAATCAATTGTCTTCATAATTTTTGTCTTTCATTTATTGTTTTGTAATGCCATTTGTATTTATGTCCGTGTTTGTGACCAGTTCTCATAGCTTTGTTACAGCTGCAGCGGATGTGAAGGCTCTATATAAAATAAAGCTGTTTTGTATTTTATTGTATTCCGTTTAGCCTAGCTCCAACTAGTGGATGCATAGCGTAACCGCAGTCATTATTGTCGCTTCTATTCTATGTGCCTTATAATGCGGTGCACCCTATATATGAAAACAGTTTGAAATAGGCCATTCATTGAAGGTGCACTGTATAATCCGAAGCGCCTTATAATGCAGAAAATACGGTACATCGCTATTCAATCAACAGTAAGCAAAAATAGGGATTGCTTTGCTCAAAAACAGAGGGGTCGATGAGATCACAGCCAGCGGATTTGTGTTATCTTGGTTTCTTCTAAGTTTGAGTTGCAGCTGTTTTTTTCTTTATCATCCTTCAGTACCAAAGCCGTGGTTAGTGGCTGAAGAAGCCAATCCAATGAACATATTTGTTAAACACATCTGGATTTAAAATAAGCATAATTTATTTTTACAAAACCTGCCCATAATTCTGAATAGAACATCCACAATTATTATGGAAGGAATATTGTAACCTCTTGTGCACAGAATCAGCTGCATTTGCTTTCGACCCATGCAGAAGCCAGTGACGTGCATTTCGATTATTAGATGCAAGATAATGTTAATGCAAGCATCTGGTGTGACATGTAATATACTTGTTCAGACAGCAACATGACTTTCAACATAACAGACGGGGGAAAAAATGGCCGTTGGATGTGAACCCTCTGCCTCTTTGGGATTCCTTTTCACACAGGCACTGACCCGCCTCTGTTACAGCTTTTAGACCACCTCGGTCTACATCTCATATCAGCGGCTATTTATAAAGAACAGTGACCTGGAATTGCCTGAATAAAAATCACAGTTTTAGCAGACAGTGGCGAAGATCGCCATGACAATTAGAGAGATGCTAAAAGCTAAAAGTCAAAAGTGATTAGATCTGAGTAATTAATCCTCTTTTGCATTAAAATGCTTCGGTAACCATTAAACATGCAAAGCCTATTTCCATGACCTCTAAAACGTTGGAAATAAGATTAGGATCACTTCCAATAACATTCTTCTGTGTGGTTTTATAACTTTGCTGATGCAGAGGAGCGTATCTATGTACGCCTTGTTGGGCTGCAGGCCCCGCATTTTCTGCATCTGTCCTTGTACAAGAAAATGAGATGAGGAGCTTTATCATCAATCTCGTACTTTGTTTCTGTCGTCTGCTGACATTCTCAGCTTTATGCAATACTATTCGCTCATTAACGACTTGTTGCAGTCACTGGAGAGTAACCACCTTCTACTCCACACCCCAATCCACCACGCATGCACACACGCACGCACTCACAAGGCCATGGTAAAATCGTCTTGGTCTCCAATGACTGCACATCTTTCATTTAAAGTGTGAAAACCTTTGTTTGCGCTTGACATGAAACCTAACGATCTTGATTTAAGGCTAATGAAAGGTAGACAAATGACTGCAGCGCAAATATGAATTTGTTTGTGCAATGACCCATTTTTCTCCTTTCAACAACGCATATTATTAACTATTCATAAGACATATATATATATATATATATATATATATATATATATATACATATATATATATACATATATATACATATATATATATATATATACATATTCCAAAAGTAATTAGAAGTATTTAAGGTGCATTACTTTATTTGGATTATATTAATAACTCATTTTTTTTCTTTTTTAATTAATTTAATTGTAACCTCTCAAACATGTGAATAGTATACACGTTATGTCAAGAAAAGATCAGGAAGCCAAATGAGCTTTTAGACCCAATGCATGCCGAATAAGTTATGATTTTGTTGACACCTGAACATGAAAAAAACTACTCCTAAAACTACACTAAATGGCCATGAAATTTGGAAGGCCGAAAACATTACATTTTAGCAAGTATCCCGTTATAATATTCAACCGGGAATAATGCTTGAATCCCAATTGCAGAATTAATACACAGCAAGTGGGTTTCTATGAGGGTTTTTTTTTTTCCCGACCTGATCCAATTTACACGTGTTGCACCTTGGTGGAGCTCTGTAAGCCTCTGAGTGCCATTCTAATTAGCCGTGGCACTGACTAGGAATGTCTAATGACTGAACTCTCAGATAGCCGCTCTAGTAGAAACATAGTACAGTATTGCATATTTACAGTAGGGAGTGTAATGAGCACTTAGTGCTTTGTGAGAATATTATTTTTAATCCACTGCTCCAAGCAACGGATTAAAAATATTCAATTATCAAATCTCTTCCGCACACGCGTAAACTCTCCATGTGCACTAAGTGCTTGCTTCAGTCAACATATGACCACTGAGATAAGAAATATTTCAAGACAACCACGCACTAAACATCTTCCAACAGGGACTGTGCACTTGTCACGGTTGCTCTTCCACTACTAATTTTACATTAATTGCTTTCACTCACTTGATTCCAGTCACTGTGCACTGTCCAGAAGTGTTGCGATAACTGCTCCAAAAGTTTAATAAATGATGTGGAGAGAGAGCATCAGAGCAAAAGGTGCTCAACAACACATCATTAGAGAGGATATTGAATTCCCTTGGATGCATTGGAAGCCTTGCCCAAGGCCAGAATGCTCAATAACTTGAGAGCAACACCACTGCTTGCTCTCTGTTTGGTTTGAAATAATAAATCACAGCCACAAATTGAACAGATACTGGTTGGTTGTGTGTTTGATGCAATAAGCAATCACCAAATGTGGCACAATATCAGATTGCCGTAGTAGCTGGATTCCTTATTTTGCCCCTCTTAATTAGTTCCCAAAAAGTCATGCTAGACATTTTTAAATGGCAACCATTCCTTGCTTCAATATTTTATGTTGAATGTGTATACCTCATATGAATTAGCCCTTATCCAATGTTAAAATACTTTGAACGCTGTTTGTTGGCCGATTTGCATGAACCTTTCTGGCATTGTGGCACACAAGCCTGGATAGGTCCCGTCCCACCAGTAAGCCAATGAACACGATGAGTAGTGGTTGAATAGAAATATTTTCTTGGCTTGAGTCATGACAGAATCAAATCTCACAGACACTAAAAGAGAGATGGTGTGGTGGGGGAACATAATATTTGTCACTTTTTGCTGTTTGAGTCATGAAGGAGGCATCTTCCCCAGCCCCAGTTTCAAAAGTGGTATAGCCTTATGTCATCTTTTGTGAACCAGCAAGTAGCCTCGACGAGAAATCCTTTTAACCACGGCTAGGGTCTGCACTCCACTCAATAACATTCTGGCTCTCCGTGTAAACTATTGACATTGTGCCTCTGTTACTTCACCAATTTGAATCCCTGTCTTTATCTCACTTCCTACTCTCCTGAGTCGAACTACTGGCTCTTGCTACTTTCTGCAATGCCCTTCTTTTTTTTTTTTTTTTTTACTTCCGCCCTACATCCTGCTGCCCATGCTCTGCTGCTCCTCTTCTCTCTTTGCTTCTGCATTGTGAGCTAATAAACCCCTACCACTGTTTGGGTTGGCGTGTTGGGTTGACACAGAAACAATGAGGTCACAGCATTACAGACGAATGGCAATAATCTGTTTTCTGGCCTGGCCATCTGCTATTGTCAGCTGGTTGCTAACTGCAGGACCTGATTTAATTATAGTACAGATTCTGTATGGTAAAGAAAATTCCTTATGTTCATTCTACGTTGTTCACCTTCGGTTTACTGGGTTATGTTTTTCAACAGAGTTGAATTAATTACTTATTATGGTTCTATGGTGTTGCGCCATTTACAGCTGAAAGCATTCTCACTATCTCATTTACACAAGCAAGATGGCAGTTTACTATAAGAAATGCTACAGTCCAATCTTACTGTAGCTAAACTCTTACACTTGATCGATAGGGACAAAACGTTGGAAAGATTTTGAAGGGAATTGCAACATTTTATATCATTTAAAGACTAAACAATCGATAATCATCTGTCAATCTAAAATGAAAGGCGGCGAGTTGTGTTTCGTATTCCAGGCTTGTTAATAAATGCCTTGTGATTAGAAGATCAAGTAGCAGAAGGGGATTAATCATTCCTCTGATCACAGCCTGTAGCAGAGAATGCTTGATGTGGCATACCGGATACCACTGGAGGGAAGAAGGCCGCTGAATGGTCACCGCCTTTGCATAAAGCCTAGTCCTTAGGAACATACCATATCATCAGAGCTGCAGGACGACAGGCTAAAATAACAAAGATTTTATTGAAATAAATTGGCCTTCCTTTGTAATGATGTTTGAAGAGCAATAAATAAAATATAGCTGTGATCCGTATAGTGGTTTGGCATATCATTTGATGTAAAACATTATCTACACTGTGTAATTTTTCCTAACGGGGGAGACATAAAACACTGCTAATGTTCGCTGGAAGGGATGGAAATGAGACACTTATACCTGAGTAGGACATGGTGTTCTAATGAATCAGAATATGAAAAATCAGAGCTCTACTTCAATTTGACTGCTCAACATCAGGGAGCAAAGCAGTGTGGAGACTCTATTTGAATTTCATGGGAGGGGTCACAGTGAGGATTCTGCCCAATCCCCTCCATAAAGTTCAGACAATAATATTAGTGAGATAAGGCAGCAAACAAATTGGCTGCTGCTGGGTGTGCTTTGCGCCCTGATCCAAATCTAAAGATGAATTGGCTGCTAAATGAATGTTTTTATCTGCTTGGAAGACTAAGTTTGAATAAACATCAGAGAAGGGGCATTAACTGCGCCTAACTCCTGTAGGGCCTTAGCTAAATAGTCAAACAATATTTACATACAACACCATGAAAGGACTCTCTATTAACATATTTAAAGGGGCACTTGGGCCGGCATTGTCAAATTCTCACTATCAAGCTCAATGCATGTATTTTTTGTTTGTTTTTGTTTTTTGTTTTTTTGTTTTTTAACCAGGAATATGATATTAGCTTGAATTTTTAATTATATCAATTTGTTTTGGAGAAATCAATACAAAATTAACGACTTTGAAAATGCCTCTTGGAAATGGGCAATATGGCCACTCCCCTCCATCCATGTCTTGGTGGGAGTCACGGCAGGGACCAGAGACTCTTTATCCATTCAAAATCATTGTAAATACTTTGCTAATAATGCCCAAACTACGGGGATTCATCTGCTCCAAAATGTATGTGGACATCTCTACTTAGGCTCACTTCAACCTCTTAAAAGATCACAAAATGAGTCACCTTTCCATGGCTGGTTCAAGATGAAATGAGGAAATTAGCAGCTTACGTGCAGTTTCTGTCATGTCTGTTTTTCATAATAAGTCATCACGATACGAAGATTTTCATAAGATTAATTGTTAGTAGGTCGTTACATATTAGATTTTAATAAATAAGCGTTCGGTTGTAGAGTCGTCATCCTTGCTGGAGATTAGGAGCTCTGAAATTTTCAGTCTGTTCATCCATCTATCCATCCATTTTGTGCAGCAGCCAATCTGAGGCATTGTTGTTGGCCACGGGAGCCAGCAGGAGCTAATTTCATAGCTGCCTTTCTGCCTATACGGAGTCGAACAAAACTTTAGCGTTGCTATATGTCCGAAAACTATGATCAGTGACCACCAAAATTCATAATGCATATTTCTGCTGTTGTTCACTTGAATCTTAAAAAAAAAAAAAAAAAAAAAAGATCAGCACAATATTTTAGTTTTTGCAGCGATGATGTGGGTTTTACTTGTAGGAGCTCATATTTGATGTCACTCAATCTAAAATGTTGTGCACATCGCTTTTATATTTTCACAGGTTGAAGTAGACAAGAGTAGGAATGTGCATATGAATTTTGGTAATAAGTGGTACTTCTTTCAAACAAAGTGAAAACAGAACATGACAAACCGAGGCGCCGTGCCAATCTCTGGCTTTAGTCATCACAAAAAAGCCCTTAAATCAGATTCTTAGAGGGGGTGAATTTTAGTATTGACATCATTATTACGTACAGACCTACTATTTAAGTGCCAATGTTCAGCCCATCCTAGTGTCCTTTTAATGTACAATAATTTTGCCTGGTTAAAATACACGATGCTTGACAGATTCCACTGTCTGTGGCTAAGGCCAGACAGCTGCAGTGTAAACCTTCACCTACGGTTATGTTAGATTTTGTCATGTTATCAAGTTACTGAGATAAATCACAGAAAGCAGAGAGATGATCTACACCAGGGGTGTCAAAGTCGTTTTTGACGTGAGCCACTTTTGAGTTAGGTCTTCCCTCGGAGGGCTGTTATGATAGTGAAACCACAAAAATTTTCGCATTACTACTTTTATGGGTAACAAAATCATTGCAAAATCTCAACGTCATTTACTACACATCACAATTTGACATTTCGGTGCATTTTTTAGAAAGGTTCATGCAAGTTGACATACATGATTTTCTTTCGGGGGCCACATAAAATGATGTGGCGGGCCGGATCTGGCCCCCGGGCCTTGATTTTGACACGTGATCTACACACTCTGAGAATATATGAGATTCTATTTTCAATATATTGCCCATTGCTTACGATATTGCGAGATTAGTGAAAACTAAGTCACTCACTGGCAGTTGCACAAATTGAAGTCTCACATAGATTGAATAATAATAATAATAATAATAATAATTCATTTAATTTATAGAGTGCTCTTCAAAAGAAATCAAAGATGCTTTACAGTTTAGAATAAGTAAACAAAAAAACAAACAGACAAATATACATAAATCAAACAAAAGCAAAACAGAAAACCTGCAGTTTCCATTGATGCGATTATAGCAAATTAAAGGCAGTGTGGAACAGGCATGATTTTCAGGGATGTCTTTCGGGAGTGCATTTCAAAGGTTGGGGTTGGCCGAACCCCTGATATGGGCTGTTTGGTCCCTACACCACCAATGTCAGAGTTTTCATTGCCGGCAGGCAATCGGATTGGCTTCCAGTGAGGGGTGGACTCTGCTAATTGATGAAATGATTCAGAATGACTGCTTTATTACTCATTATAAAATAAAAAATTACTCATCACTGCCATCACTGTAATTTGTTATAAAACAATATTAGATTAGATAGATATTAAATAATATATATTGCCATTATAAACAGCATTTCTCTATCACAGACACACACACACACACACACACACACACACACACACACACACACACACACACACACACACGCGCACACACACAATATGCACGTGTGTGTATACAGGATATTTCATGAATTTTTTGACTCTCAAAATACATATGTACAATGATTAATTTGTCCTTGAAAAATAAACTCAGCGCTTGTCATAGCTTGTTATTTAAAACCCTCCTAATGAATATTTGTAGAACAATTTGGAGAAGATTGGACTCCAGATTGCACATGGATGTCTGTAATCTCTCCTTGAAATATTGTCATCTGTTGTCCCCTAATAGGCACACACTTAACTTGAAGCAAACGTGGGGTCATGGGAAATGTGTACTGAACCACTTGTAGCAAGACAACTGGTGGGGATTAGTCCGCATTTTGGGGTGTAACCTCGGACAGCAGACGAGCTTTATTTAGAATGGGGATATGTTGAATATATTCACACCTTTGTTTGAATTTAATCTGCATGTGTTAGAGATGTCACTTTTTGACTGACAGGAGCTAACAAAGGAAAACGAGACCAACTTCATTTTATTTAAAAAAACAAACTGAACCTACCTTATCTGAGTACACGAAGAACAGGATGAGTAATATCAGCTCTGTCAAGAGAATTATCAGCAGGACGATGAAAAACTGTCAGAAAAAAGGGAGAGGAAAAACTTTTTAGAAGCCAGCGAAAAAAAATTTAATTACGAAACCACTTTAGCTGACATCAAAAAGTCCTGTTAAAAGTATATGCTACGTGTGGAAAAAAACAACCATTTGACTTCACCAGTTCAAAATGCCACATGGAGATTAACTTTAGTTACGACAATATGGGAAAATGACATATATTACTAAATTCATGGCATATCAGTCACGAGATTAAAACACAGTCACACTGTTTTAAAAATCTTTAAGCAGAAAAGACCTAAATTGAGAGATGAAAGAGGAGGTGGGAAGAAAGCAAGAGTGGGGTAACAAGAAGAACCAAGTGCTGGAGGGCTCATGAGGGAAGAGAAAATGGTTTTAATACCTCCTAAGATTAATTTCCAACATAATTTAGGAGCTCATCTACTATTCTTCTCTCCTTACGTGTCTTCCCTTGAACTAAATATTTACCAAACACTTGGCATGGAAAAAGACATGCAAACCAAAATTCCAGACGAATGCAGTACAAGTATCTGTTGTGAGGACTATCATTTGTGTCAAGGCTCAAAAGGAAAAGGTACAACATCCGCTTGGACATACAGGTCATTAATTTAGTGTATCTCTAGCGGGAGAACCAAATCGTCAGCTGCGTGACGACTCGACTTTACTACTCCACAGTGACGTTGAAAAAGTCGCCTAACAACTAATCTTGTGTTTTCAGCATCTTGTCTTCAGCCAATCGGCCAATTTGCAAAAAACGTTCGACTCGCCCGTCTGATGCCGTCGCCAGAGGAAAACGCTCAGTGGACCAGCAAAATGTCCAGCCAACAAGGCCACACTGTCTTCATATACAATACCTGGGTGGACAGAACTGTACATAAATAACAGCTTGTGGATGAGAATAGCTGTTAGCCACCTCAGCTTCGGTTGTGCAGGGTGTTGCTAGTCGTAAAGTGTTCATACTCGCGGGACCAGAGGCCTGGCGATGAATGAGTGCAATCACACTAAGTGAACTTCCATCTTTGTTGCCAAAATGTTATGTCCAATAAAGCACAGGCAACTGTCACATAAAAAACTCATAGCACAACATGCACCAACCACATGGCTTCATGACGTTGTGTCATAACACTTGTTGCAGTATGGCATCCAGTTGTACTAGACTACAAGTCTATGGAAATATTTAAAGGGAAAGTCAACCCAAAATGTTTCTTGACAATATGTTCTATGCGCCTCCACTAGTCTAAACACGGCATTCAGATTAATATTGTGTTTGTGGAATATAAGTAAAGCAGCAAAATCCACAAATTTTTAGCCATTTAGCCACTTGCTGTCGACTGAAAATGACATCACAGTTGCTCAGGTAACAAGCAATCACGGCTCACCTGTTTTCTGAAACTGAGCAATGATTAGTTGTTACTTGAGCGCTGAGCAACTATGATGCCATTTTCAGTTGACAGCAAGTGGCAAAATGCCCACCCCCGTGATGGAAAAAAATGGATGGATTCTGCTGCTTAACTGTAAAGAAGATTTTTATGTCAACTTCCAATTCAACCGCTGGCATGATCGCTTGCAAACTATGCAAAACATACAAACAAGCTACCTTTTGCTTGGCAGCTAAAGGCAGCCATGTCAAACAGGAGGATTTGGTGGAGCTTTCGACTGATGTAAAGACTGAAGCGTAGAGAGCACAAATTCAAGTTCTCATCTTTTTTGCAGCACCCAACGGGTTGAACCTGTGTAATTAACTTGTGCAAATGATAACCACCTTGCAGAGCTTTGTGCAAACTGAATAACACCAGGAAAGGTGTCATAAATAGTACATTATTCTGTCGGAAGGTTTCGGTGTGCTGCATGTCCAGTCAACCGACCAGCATGGAGACAGCGGGGCAGTCTGATTGAGTGGGCTGTGACTACCATGGAGAAATCACACTGACACAGACACACCGGTGCTTATTTGCAAGATGGAAAAGTCGCTCGGTTAAGCTTCCTTTGTCAGCCCCTGATGTGCGGTGCAATGGAGACGTCTTGTCGGTTGTCTACCTGCTGCGAAAGGAAATAAAGTAACGATCTGAGGATTGGGGCATCATTGCTCAGTGATAGAGTGGTCAACTCCCAACCCAGTGGTTGGAGGTTCAATCCCCGGCCATTATGACCATGCCGAAGTGTGTTTGAGCAGAATACTGAACCTCCTGATACTGTCTCGTCAGAAGGTAAATGAGGAAAAAGCACTTTGAGTACTTAAGGTGGAAAAGCGCGATACAAGTGAATGTCATGATTCTGCTTCTGTTAGTCTCCAACAGGTGGCATAGGTGGGCTTTCTCTCCAGCTGCGCATCTGTCATGCATCACAATCATGGCACTATTTAAGGACTTCCGACAACTGACTGTCGGGTAATTCACCTTGCTCACGCCATTGTTCCAAGTGCAATTTGCTAGACGTTTCCTGATTTAGCCTCCTTTTTGTGCTTTATTACATTTAAATTGTGGTTTTTGGTTTGTACTTTTACTCACGGTTTGTATCATACGCATTTTTGTATTCTTGTTCTTTTGAGACATGTTTTTTTCCTTTCACATTTTCCTTGCCTTTTGCAAGCGCTTGTGGTTCTCATCTTATCCTGTTTGTTGACTAGCGTTATGATTTGTACTTTTTCGGCCTCGCACCATTTGTCTGTAAATTAAAAAAAATATATATATATATATATATAAATTATTATTAGCGACAATCTTTTATCAGAGTTTACTTTTACCGAGTCCAATTCTGTCCGAAACCATCCGGACACCTTGACAGTGAAAGCCCATTTACCATAATCTGTATTCTTGCTGCTCTTTCACAAAATGTGTCTTCAGAATATGTAATGGTACGTGAGGATGTCTTCAGGAGGGTTTTTTTTTTTTTTTCTAGATTAAATACAAATACAACTCTTGGTACATCATGTGCAATTGAGTGGATCTTAGTATTCTCCCAAAGAACAATTAACACTGCACATCTATGGTGCTGTATTTGTACTAACTATCTTATTCGTAATTTAGCGAACCATTAATGCTGTTCTGATGGAGATTAAAGAGTTCCACCGACATCAATCATGGAGCCGATTGACACTCTGTTTTAATGTAACAAATGCTGGCAACCTTGGGTAATGAATATAATAATAATGTTAATGATAATGTTTTGCGCTGATGATTGGTAATAAGATCTTATTTTGCCAGACTGGTTCTGACTGATGAGCGCGGGTACATTAATTTGCTATTAAACTGTGGATTATGCTGAGCACAGTACAGCATATATAAATAATGGAGGCTATGATAACATTCAGCACTTTAATGCGTGTTACTTAAAGTATATGTTCTGAAGGTGCAAGGCCATTATTTATTTATGTACGTTATATGCAGAAGAAGACTGTAAAAGGTTGTTTTGGCGTCTGCAGTTACATGCAGAAGATACTGTGGTGCTTTTCTTCCTGGAATGGATAGCGAGATAGCTTCTATCTATCTATCTATCTATCTATCTATCTATCTATCTATAAATCTAAATGAAAAAACAAACATTTTATTTCGTAATTTTTTGATTGCATTATCACCCAAAGTCAGCTGGGAAAGTGACTTAAGCAATATATTCGATATAAACTAACGAAGAGTTGGTGTTGCATGTGAGGGCATGATAGCAAGTTAGCAAGCTACCCACTTTGCTTCGAACATAGAACAAAACAATACAATTTGTTAACTGTAATGCATGCAGTCCAAGAGAGTATTAGCTCACTATTCTTACATTGTATAAACATCAATTGTGCTGCAATTTCTACGATGTTTGTAACACATGGGTTACCCCATATGTTACAATTTCTACAATTTTTGTAGATTTTTGCGTATTGTCATCTTTAAATCAAAGACACAGCATAAAAAGTGTGTGATATGAAATATTCCAATTCATGTTTTATTTATATAGATTTATATTTATGTTTTGGTCATAGCACAATACCGCTTTTATTGTCCATAGATGGCAAAAATACAAAGAAAAAAATAAGAACTATATGTGTATGTATAGCACTGATGCCACTGAACATGTCGAGTGGTTGAAAGTGAAATAAATATTCAGGAATAATACTTTTACAATTTTTGTAAAATTGTATGTTGCGTTATATAACCTTATTTAGATCGACTGCAGCACATGGGTTAATGAAACTGGATCAATGAAAGACTGCTTCCCAGCTCACACTGTACCCAACCCCCTTGGGAAGGGCAAACCCACGTTGCCTATTCGGGCTGAGCCCTGGCCACCAGGCACTCGCCAATGAGCCTCACTTCCAGGACTGGCTCCCGAGGAGGGCCCGATCACCCAAGTCCAGGCGGGTGAAATCAAGGTCCACTGTTTGTATTTATCGTAAGGGGTCTTTGAGTCGTGCTTTGTCTTGTCCCTCATCTAGGACCTGTTTGGCATGCGTGACCTTGCCGGGAGGCATGAAGTCCCGGAGAACTTGGCTCCTTGGATCATTGCACACAAAGCCCTCCATTATGATAAGATGATGCCTGAAGGGGGTGG